GGCAGGTATATAACAGGCGTGCATGTCATATTGTTGCATGCTTATTTCACACACAGGGTACTCGCTCGATGGGGCCAGCCTCCCTGAGAACGATCTCGCGCCATACATCCAACAGGCAATCGACCAGATCAACTTTGTCGTTGGTGACTCCGCCACGAGTAACCAGCTGCCCTGCGTGCATCTCTTGGTCACCCAGAACCATTCAATCTGCAGTTGTCGAAATTGGCAATGAAGACTTTGCATCAAATCGTGAGTCCTTTACTTCAAACTAACGGATGAATGAGCATGTCGATGATACACCACAAGGTATATACCGCTGGAGAGATTTCGCGGGCAACTTGACGGCTATATTCCCTCAGCTGAGTGAGCGCTACACTGCTGTCCAGGAGCTTGCCTCTGACTGATACATTTCTTGGTAGAATTCATCGCGACCTCGTACCCCTTCAATCCCATTCTCGATCCCGTCCCAAAGCAGTATGATAACGTGTACCAGACACCTGGATGGTTCGCAGAAAATGCGTTCTACTATGATTCTGTCAAGGTTCGTACGCTCTGCATTCGCCTCACGGGAACCTGAATGTGACACGGTTGAAAGCGCGACGGCACTTACTACTTTGAGGGTGAATATGCTGTTGTGTCAACTAACGCCAGCGATATCTTCGGCAAACCCAACAATGGTCGTCTTGTATACCCTAATATGCAAGGTGTGTACTCTCGTGGTGATGAACCATACCTGACGCCAGGATAGGATCTTCAGGAGAGGCCGCATTCATGACCGGTCTCGAGCGTAACAGTGACATCGTCTTCGCTGCGTCGTATGCTCCCTTGTTAATGGTGAGCTGACTTTGCATACTGCAACTAGAGTGAACACCAATAATCGCACTGTAGAACACTGCCAACTATCAGTGGTCACCAAACCTTATTGCTTTTGAGTGAGTCGCTCGCGACAATCGAAGATACATATCAGATTCATGTCTCCTCAGTGCGTCAAATGTGTACCCATCAACCAGCTTCTATACACAACAGGTAGTGATATTTGATATCTGAGCAGAATTGTATCCCTCAAACATCTGCTGCAGCTCTTTAGTCTCAACCGTGGAACCGAATATTTACCAAGCACCTGGCCTCAAAATGGGGCACTCCACTGGAGTGTCACGCGTGATGCACCCACAATACGATTATCATCAAGGTACTTAAGGCTCTAATTCTTCTGTCGGTTGCGACGATGTTGATATTTCGTTATTCAGATTGCCAACACAGACATGACAGATGAAGAAATGTCATTCGAGCTTCCCTTCAACGGTGTTCACGACACTGGCACTGCGACAGTACTCTCAGGCTCTGCCACATCAAACAACTCACCCGAGACTCCCAACGCTGTCAGCCCGTCATTTCACAGATTAAAACTGGTAAGAGTTTCTCGTACACTGCCCCAGCATACAGTGTCAACGTGCTGCGGGTGGAGGCGAAGTAGGGGATAGAGTATCGCTTGGCAACATATGCATGTCACACCAAAGAGACAATCATAGCCTCATACCAGGCCATTAATGTTTTTTTTTACCTTTTACGACTCAAAGATCAGTGTCGGCGCACACAAATTACTGAACATACTAGCAAATTTTATTATTTGCCAAAAGTGTGTGGACAAAAAATCGAGACACGATCCGTTTATTACAGACCCAGCTCTAGACACTGGGCATTGGGCTTGAGAAGGTCGGCTTGGATCTACTGTCTTGATATTGATGAACCAGATCTGAGGATTACGCTGAAAGACAATCCGGGCATGCCATGGCAGAGTCTGGAGGTGCAATAAATCAGGAATATTTGGTATGGTACGAAGACCGCTACCTACACCCTGGCACCCACTCCCTTCCCGCTCCTGCTACAATAGGAGGTATGCATGACATTATGTTCTATGATATAGTACAATAGAGTCGAATACTATAATAAAAAGTTGTTCGCTCAGCTAGATGGAGCGGACTGCGACGACGCTGGTGACTTTGGCATGATATTCCACAGCTCCCTCTTCTGTACCATTGTGAGTTTAACATCCTTCCCAACGTATGGCTTCAGCTAATCCCAGAAAAACAGATAGATAGGGACATCAGACGAGGGGCGGTTATACGGGTTCGCGAGTGCAAATGAGGAAAATAACGAAGCAAAAAGTAGTCAGAAAAGTAGTAAATCGATAATACCTATAGAACGCACCTCGCTTTTCTTGATTTCCTCTATGCTTGGCGCGACGAACACCCTCACTTTCTCGTCCAGTAAACGGTACTTCGACGCGCCACGGATGACATGTTTTCCTGGGCACCTGTGCGGTGTCCACCAGGGAGAAAGGCTTGTCTAGTTCCTGCGTACAGTGTGAGCATCGAAACGAGAAGACCGGTCGTTTAGACGGAAACCATGATTAGAGACAGCCCGACGCAAATGAGAAATGACAGCAACGTGTGTTCCACAATTTCAAGAGACAAAGTTGCCTTGGCTCACCTTTATAGAAGTCCTTGTTCCCCCGCTTGGGCGTCAAAGCTCGCCGCGAAGCTTTCGAAAGACAGACGGCCCGTAAAGAACATCGATGAATGGCTTCAAACCTATTAAACTCGGAGACGACTTCCGAAATTTCAATCATCTGCTTACATAACCAACTCGACATTTTCCTCGAAAGCCTGCTTTAAGAGGTCAATACGTGCGATCATGGGCAAAAAGAATACTCTGAATGCTCCGTCCTCCCGTGCGAACAGACCAAGACGTGGTGGACGCGCACAACGACATAAAAGTGCGAGAACCTCCCAGCAATCCCAGCCATCGTCTAGCTTCCCCGAGGACTCTGCCAAGCCTTCAAGCATTATCGAAGATGACAACTCAAATCATTCTTCAGGTGAAGAAGATGAATGCGAGTGATTTAACAAGGTAGTCGAATGGCCACTCATGAGCGCACAGCTGGGCAACCGCACATCGATGTACCCGTGGCGATGTGGGTGCGTTAACTTGTCATTCGCTCCGTGCCGTTTTATAATACAAATGATCAAGGACTTCGACCATTGTGATCCACGCCGATGCTCTGGGAAGAAACTTTCCCGCCTCGGTCTTATAACGGAACTGAGGGTGGGATCCAGATTTCGAGGCGTGGTCGTATCGTGCGTCTGTCTCGTTCCAAACGTCCATTCACACTCACTCTGACCTCATTCATTTGCCACCAGTCCAAAGGGGACCCTGTCGTGAGCCCAGCAGACAAGGAGATCGTCGGACGAGACGGTGTCGCCGTTGTCGAATGTTCTTGGGCCCGCATAGACGACGTCCATTCTCGAAAATTGCCAGCCCACACGAACGGCTTCGTAAGTCCATTCTCCTCTTACACATCTCCCTGGTCGATGATGGGTCATTGGCAGTCCCCTACTTGCTTGCTACTAACCCCACCAATTACGGCAAGCCTTGGCGGCTGAACTGCGTCGAGGCACTTGCAGCAACTTTCTACATTACAGGGTTCGATCAGCATGCGGAGACCTTGCTCAGTTCGTTTGGGTGGGGCGATTCGTTCTGGAAAGTTAATGGGTGCAGTTCTTTCACGATCATACCGCTCTGTACTAATTCAAATGTTGACGGTAGCCCATACCTCAAACGATACCAAACGTGCGCATCGGCGGAAGAGATTGCCGTGATGCAGGAGACCATTATTGCAGAGCTCCAGGAGAGCTATGAGGAATCACGCAGAGATAAAGGTTCGCATTTCTGTTTATGTCTTTCAATATCTCATGTCTAGAAGATGCAGCTAGGAGCACTGAGGATCTTCTCGTGCGGAATCCGAATCATGCCATGCCCAGTGATGATGATGGGTCAAGCTCTGCGTCAGAAAGCGACGTAGAATGATGTCACTGAAGGTAAAACATTTAGTTTAAATTACCCTACCACAGCGTCCTTTGGTCTGTACGCCAGTCCTAAAAATCATCGAGCAATCTTAGGGATGCAACATGTTCTTAACCAATCTCCTGAAGCCTCCATGAAAGTTCCGCGTTGGATGCTGTAGATGGGAAATGCAAATATGCTAACGCGATACGAACAAAACTCGGTCTGTAAGCATTGTTTAAGTTATATATCATAGCTACAATCGCGCAAGAAGTTCTTTCGATGCATGTGCACCACTCGGAAGCTGAATAAAATATATTATGCGCGTAGGTAAGACTCAAGTGAAATATCTCCTGAAAAGACGTGGTGTTTTGCAAGGTAAGGATTGAGCTGATCTGATCGTGTCTGTCACTGGTATGTTGGTCTGATGTGGGTGGTATGAGAGTCGATATCGAGTTACGGGAGTTCGGTGGTTGCCATGAATCGAGCAGGGGGTAGGAAATGATGATTGCGTTACCTGCTGGATCTGACTTGCTCCTCCGCTGTTCGCAGGCAGCTTCACTTTGAACACATTGGGGTTGAAGTAGGTCGCGAGAGGCTCATGAGGCGACGCTGTCAGCTGGAGTGATCGTGATTACCAACAATGTTAGACTTGCTGCTGACATGTGCATAAAAGCCCGGGACTTGCGCATGCAGGGAATGCATTCAATAATCCATAAGAATGCACCAAATCGGCCACAGACGAAGTATGAATCACTGCGTGAGGGTTATCTTATTCCAGCAACACGAAGGAACTTAGCGCAGTGCCATGGTTGAATGGCATCAGGTATCTGCAGGAACCGCATATAATTATGGAGCCGGGTACGTGAAGGTAATATTGGCTGTCAATTTCGCCCACTCTACATACTCGCTGCCATGCGTAACTGTCCTGAATAGCAGCTCCCGTGTCAAGCCTTTGAATTTCTTGCTAATATTGTGCCACATATATCAGGTCCGTTGAATACGATGCTACACTAGAGGGTATCAATATCAAATACATTTAGGCATCTTTGGTCAACAAGAGTGATGGATGGGATGCTTTCGCATTTGTGATTTCCTTGTATATAAGTACTGAAGCTTCGCTCAACGAATGGACACATTGCAGTGGCATCTCGGCTTACCTTTGAGATCCTCTTTTTCTAGAGCCTCGCCATTGTCGAAGTCGAAGAAGGAGGGGTCGATGGGGTCGGCCATGGGCTCGTCATCAGGGTCGTGGTAAGGCTATTGCGCGTGGTCAGTGGGAAAATGATTGAGAAGGAAACACAGACTTCGAAGTAAGGGTGTTGTAGAGCCTCGACAACAGTTATTCGTCGTCTTGGGCTGAATGTTAGGCATTTCTCTAAGAAATCTATTGCCTGTGGGAAGGAATGTCTTAGTTGTTGTGGACACAGGTGTCAGATGTGCGGGAAATGAGGTGACAACTCACAAGAGGGTTGGCGGCTGGGAAGAGCTGGGAAAATGGTTTGCTCTTGCGGAACGGCAGTGCACGGATGTATTCTCTTGATCGTTGGGAGGAGATGGCATAGAAATCATCGATGGAGGGTGTGCCGAGGACGTCTAATATAATTGATAGCTGGTCGTGATCTGATTTAACAAGGTTGTGGGACGATATGGGGTTCATAAAATGTGTGCATGATTTGGATTATACTTACCTTGATGTGGCGATGGGAATTAGGGAACGTGAGTAACTAGACAAAGGATGAAGGGAAATATCATACAATCACGTCCGGGAAATAGAGGTTTCCCGCTGAGCATTTCGGCGAGGACACAACCAACGCTCCACATGTCAATCGCGCGAGTATATTCTTTGAAAGTAAGCATGACCTCGGGTGCACGGTACCATCTTAAGATGCCGGGTTGGTCATGACAAGTTTTGTGGAGAATTAATAGTCAATCATACCTAGTCGCGACATATTCGGTCATGAAAGTGCTACTATCATTAGCAACATTTGGTGGCGGTCGGGCGGAACGAGCCAGACCAAAGTCGCATACCTGGGGGGTGCTTAAAGCTGTACGCATATGTGAAATGAAGTTAACGGCACGTACCTTGAGGTCGCAATTGGCATTCAATAACAAATTGGAAGGTTTCAAGTCTCGGTGGAGAACGTCTGCGGAGTGGAGTGCTTTCAAGGCACGTAATGCCTGGAAAGAGGGAAAATCGTTCGGTACCGAGGCTTATACTTGGTGTATGTGTATTCTGCGGCGTACCTGATAAATGAAATACTGACAGTGGTCGTCACTCAATTGCTGTGTACGTATGACGCGATGTAGGTCGGTTTCCATGAGTTCCTGAACGAGATATACTTCTCTGAATTGATCGAAGCTTGGAGGTTGTAGGATATCGAGGATAGAAATGATATTCTCGTGACGGAAATGGCGAAGAAGTTTTATCTCGCGTAATGTTCGAAGGCAGAACATGGAGTGATCAAATGGTGCTATGCGTTTTATAGCTACTTTGCGTTGGGAAGGGTGATGTATTGCTGAACTGAGAGGAAAGTGAGCAGTTGACTTGTAATATGCAGACAGGATATGACAATACCAGACGATACCATATGCGCCCTCTCCGATGAGCTCAAGAACCCGGTAAGATTTATCGGCGCAAAAATCCTCAAGAGAGAGATCCATGGTCTGCAATTTAGTTCACGGAAGATAGAAGAACAGATAGATGGACAGTACTGACATGCCGAACAATAACAAGGTTAATATTGGGGGGTTGAGATCGTGTAGAAGATAGGGGGGTTATCCGGTTAATATCGCTGATGGCTTATCAATCAATATGATAATAATTTAATTCCTTTAACGAGCAATCTCCAAGCACCTGCCAAGGCACCTTCTAACTCAGGTTTTCTCCTGCTCGTCCCGTTCTCCTCCTCCTCCTCCTCCCTTCTTTATTCCAATTTTCTTTGATCATGCCTTCAAACGAAAAATTGGATTCTGAAAAACTTTCAGAGCATGAGACCGAGAGATATCCAGATTCCGACCGTGACAAGGATAAATCTCACAAGTCAAAGTCTTCTTCGAAGTGTACTACAAGTTTCCTCTCCTCTTCCTCTCCTGGACTTAATCCATTATTTTCTAGCCAAAGATCTCTCCCATGTACCTTGCAAATTCTTCAAGGTTGGCGCTTGCACAGCAGGCTCTTCTTGTCCATTCTCCCATAACGTCCAAGAGCCTGGTCAGCAGAAGGACGTCTGCGCATGGTTCGTCAAGGGAAACTGCAAGTTTGGCCACAAGTGTGCTTTAGCACATGTTCTTCCTGGCCAAAGTATGTCCATGGACAGGAAAAATAAGAAGTCGGCCCAGCTCGCTGCCAATGCTGTGGGAAGTGGTGGCCCAAAAGATAGTTCAAAAGCAGGGAGGAGTGTCAAGAAAGATCCTCATGCGCATAATGGTTCAGGAGGTGCCTCTGCTGCAGGAAATGTTCGTGGAGGTCTTCTTTCCGGTTCCACGGCTCCTACAAGGTCTCTCAGCGCTTCCTCTCGTCCTCCAATTTCCATGCCATTAAAGGCCACAATTTCCCCATCCGCCCCCGCCCCACCCCTCAAAGATACCGATTTTGCTTCATTTTCCCTCCCAGATGATACAGAAAAGTTGCCAGCAGCGCCTCTTCAGAGACGACCTACGCCACCGCTCGAGCCTGAGTCACCAGCAGCTGCTCAAGCTAGCGAGTTTAAGGAAGACCGCAAAAGTCCCTCCCCACCAACACTCCCTCTCAGCATGCCGAGCACACGACGTTCAGGTCTATCACATCGTCCTACAGATTCCGCGGATCTTGGCCCCATTGGATCCCCGCCACGTGGCTCCCTTCCCCGCACTGGACTCGCTAATGGATTTTCACCCGGCACATCGCCTGCTGCTGCTCCAGTCTCATCCACGCTGCCTGCTCAGTCTCAGACTGTATTCCAGTCCTATGATGCCAAACCCTCGATACTGGACCCGAAACATCGTTCCGGGCTCGCCGCATCTCTCGGCACGTGGAAAACAGAGCTTGGTCCTGTCCCCTCGCAAGTTGTCAATCGTGGGGATGGAAGTCTTAATATGCGTGGTCTCGATCACGAGATTGCTGTCGAAGACGAAGACCTAGAGGAGTTCCTGCCAAGCTCCCTTAATGACCTTTTGACCCTCGAGGAACGTTCTCGCAGAATGTCGCGTACGAATTCTGTCCGCCCTGCTCAGGTACACAACAATGGTCTTGGTCTTGACCCTCCCTTCCTCACTGCACACTCGCAAGTAGAGGGTTCCCGCCACCATTATTCACGTTCCGTGCCTGCTACCCTCGCTCCTCGGAGATGTAAAGTCTATTTGGGCAGAGCGGACCGGAGGGCTTCCCGGCTCTCCTGACACATCTCATGCGTTCAATCTCGCAGTCGGCACGCCTAGTTCATTCAAATCCTCGAGCGGCTTCGGAGGTCGCTCCTTTACTAATGAAGACGTGAACCCATCTTCTTCCCTTCTTTCTCCATCCAATGCTTCAGCCGCTTTTCTCCCTTCTTTACACCAGTATTACCTTAACTCGAAGCCAAGTGGCATCCAGCGTTCCACTTCTGGTCTCGGCCGACCTGCTGGATCCCCTCTACAGCCACCCACCCCTCAGAACCCACCTCCAACCTCATTCTCCCCCCCTCGTATCAGCTCTCTCGGTGGTCATCGTACGCCGTTCGACGAACACGCATCTGGACGGCCTATTCCATTTGGTGAGGGTGAGGAGCGCCCAGCTGCTATTTCCCCCTCCATCCGGGCTCTGCAGGCGCACGCACCGGGGCAGAGTCTGCCCCAGGGGCTTGCAGCAGGTTACTCCCGCATCCACGCACTCCCGATGACAATGTCGCCCTCCTCAGCTGCAGCCTTCAGCCCCGGCTCCAACAACAACCCATACTCCCTCAACCAGGACTGGGCCGGGGGCTCTGCAACGCAGGGTGACCATCTTTCCGCTGCAGATGTGGGAGGAATGCCTTTCTCAAGCTCGATGGCAGGCCTAGAGTCGATGTTCTCGCGTCTGTCATACTCTGCTGCGGCAACGTCACGGTCGCCACTGAACAGCAGCCTGGCGCATTCGCCAACGCAAGGCTCGCCGCTGGGTATCCAGCGTGGCACGGGTGGCAACCGAAACTGGCACGCGCAGAGCCCGTTGAGCAAGCCTGTTGTTACGGCGGATGATGATGAGCTATTCAGTATGGATGGATGAATAGTAACTCCCCACAGAATCAAAAGTAAGTGTTGTAAAAGCAAGTGTACGCGATGACGAATTGTTGTTATAATTGCTAGCCGCGCCTCTGCTTTGGGTTCGGGAGGACGCCATACCTCACTAGTCACTCTCTTGTTGTATTGCATGGTGTATGTATGTGTGGGGGGCCGCCAGATGCATCTACGTAAAATATATTTATACCACCTTCTAATCATTGGTTCAGGTTATGATGTTAGTTACTGTTTTTTTTGTTGTTTTTTGTTGCCTGTGGCAGCCAGTCACACGTTCAAATTTTATTCCACGGAATTTATATGAATGGGTGTGCCTGCAGGAGTCGAGGTACCGAATTATATGTAAATTTTATTTAGACGTCTAGGCTGGTCATGAGCTATGTTTAACTCATTCTAGGTTCTTCAGATCTTCTGCAAGCCACCACTGAGAGTGCTTGTTATAAATAGTTCATGAGCATGTGACCGCGTCAAGTCGCGACTTGTCTCAAGATGCTCTTCCGCCACAATCATGATTGAACCTACTCCCATTATTGACCTCACTACCTCCAGAGCTGTAGGGACGTCGTCAGCAACACATTTGATCACTGCCAAAAATCTTCAGGCTATGCTAGATGATGCAAAAGCGGGACTCCGAATAGTTAATGCTCGTGCTGAGCTATCCACACATACTTGGGATGGGATTGAAGAATGGGTTGGTGAGGATGGCGCTCTGGGACTCAAAGATCCCAAGATCGTTGAGAGCGATGTGCAAGCACAGATCGTGCGTGTTTTACATGTCCAAACCATAGATGATGGCTTATTGGCGATTCAACTGTTGATCCTCAATAATAGTCTTTCCTGAGGAAGCTCAAGTTTCTTTACCTGGAACAAAATGCAAAGGATAAATATGTGAAGACCATTGTCAGTGACGATGCCCCATTGGTGACACCTGCACTAAATGAGGAACTTCGAGTACGGAATGAGGAGAAGAAGACTGCGCTACGTGAACACAAAGCGAAGCTAGCAGAAAGAAGGGATGATCTGCGAGCACTTTCTGGATTCGTAGAAGAAGGCGTGTATCGTGGACTGCTACATTTTTATGCGCTTCATGCTAATAATCAGCGTAGATTATAAGAAAGCGCAAGCCCTCACTCTCCAAGCATCTGCGCTATCACAAAAGATACTCGATGCACGTTTGTCGCTTACTCGCTTGCGACAAGCCCATCCCCACCCTCGGCTCACAATAACTACAGCGAACCAGCAACTCGATGGCCAGGTAGAAGAGATGCAAGCACTAGACGCGGAACTCGCAGACGCGCACGAGAAGATTGCTACTGTACGAGAGCGCATAAAAGTTGGGACGGGTCAGGTCGAGAAGCTGAGGAGTGTTAGAGCAGAGGTGGAAAAGGCTGTGGAAATCGGTGCGGGTGAAAGAGTGGAAGACGGAAGAGTAGTTGGACTGTATGATTGGTGCGCAACTTCTAACATGAGACTACTTGTCTCTAACTCTCTGATTTTACGCAGGTTCTCAACCACAACCTCGACCCATCATGCGCTCGTTTCACTTCTCTCTGCACATAGTGAGTCTGACAACGAGCTGCGCCTCACTTATCGCGTGCATGAGCGTGAGGTATGTATGACACTACTGTTCATACCTAATACGCGCCGCTTGGCCGAAGCAAGGGTGGAGGGCGTCGAGGAACGCGTAATCGGAGACGTTGTGGATGCACACGTCATGGAAAACGATGTATCTGGGCTTGTATGGGCTGTGCTCGCGAGAGCGAGGGCTACATAATATCATGCCTGTTGTCACTGGTCATTCCTTGTTGATACACAGGGGACAATGTCACGTCTACACGACAGTCACTTCTCTACTCCTACGAGTTGTCTATTACCTGGGAGTCATCATTCACGGTCGCTGCACTTACAACATCTAATAGACCATGGCTTACCATAAAGGACGGGCTGCATAATTCAGATATGACTCAGCAACGTTTAGATTGAGCCGGGCACTGAACCTGCCGTCGGCCACACAGAGGTTAGGGAGAAGGAAAAAACTTGTTCCTGCGTTCGGGTGAGTACGGCGTGCCCCACGAGAGTGCAGGGAGATTGGCAACTCTTGGGCTAGTGTTGTGGGCAGAACTGGCACTGCTAGGCAGATGGCAGAACCTCCCGAGCAGATTGTGACAGAACTCAAGGTGTACTACAGGCTATACTCTCAATTCACTTGTCGACAGGATGTTCATAAAGGGAAATCTGCCAAGTCCAACAGATATTGGTAGAATTGCAACCGCTGTGATGCCTGCAACGATGGACAATGTTCGAAACTCGGTGAGGTCTGCGCAGAGTCGCCGCAGACCTTCGTTATCATGAGCATCACCGTGACGACTTGCCGGCATTGATATCGAAGTTGCCAAGCCGCAGCTCAAGACTGATTTAGAAGACATTTGTAATGGGGAAAGAACAATGCACAGCGAATTTGCCTTGGACTGGGATGTGAATGGGACGGAAGTATTAGAAGGGAGCCTGAGAGCATTCGACTCTGCGAAACTGCCAACACTACTGTGTGTCGACGAAGGACTTAGTGCCGGCAGTGGTAGACGAGATAATGGTCATGGACCCCAATGCACTGGCAAGGACTTGGACTCACTATCTAGTGATCTCACATCAATGTGCCACACCATCAAAATTTTGGTAATTCTGCCACCTGCCACGCTGGCAGAATATGGTTCTATCAAGTTCTGCCAGCAACGCTAGGCCGCGCCGCCGCCGCCGCCGCCAGCAAATACCGCAGTAGCTACATCAGTGGTGCAGCAATTTCCTAGTGCCCGGCTCGTATATAAAGAGCCTACATGAATTGGATCATAGGCAGGCATCCAATTCTACTCACGTCTTCATAAGGTCGACGATTTGATCACAGAGTACGCTCCTCGTCAATTTCAAACGCTACTGACCGTCTATCTTCCTGCTTAGCGATATGCCACGATTGTGCGATGTAGCAAAAAAAGTATATCTTACTGTGAGAAGGCTCGTGAAGCCGGCGCAGACAACCCAACCAGCGCAGACAACCCGACCAGCGCAGACAACCCAGCCGGCGCCAACACAAACGGTGCGAGTGCACAAAGAGGCAGCGTGGGCAGTTGCGTTCTTCAAAGATGGCCGACGGGTCGTCACTTGCTTCAGGGGATAAAACCCTGCGAATCTGGGACGTGGAGAAAGGAGCATTAGTAGGAGGGCCATTCGAAGGACACAGTGACCGTGTAGTTTCAGGTCGCTGTATCGCCAGACGATAGGCGAATTGCGAGTGGTGGAGACGATAGAGCCATCATCATCTGGGATGTCGAGAGCAAGCAGATGGTATTTAAACCGCTGGTGAAGCATTCAGGCCTAGTTTGGTCGGTGCGTTTCTCTCCCGATGGCAAGAAACTTGCAAGCGGATCATATGATGGAAGTATTATTATATGGGATGCGGAGATTGGCGCTGTCGTCTCAACACTCGTCGATGATTCGCTGTTTTGTCTCGCCTTCAGCCCAGATGGGCTAAAATTAGCATCTGGATCATATGATGCCGTTCGGGTTTGGAGCACCGATAATGCCGAGCTTCTTCTCAGGATTGACGCTCACCAGGACTTTGTTAAAAGTGTTGTGTGGTCGCCCGACGGCCAGCAACTTATCTCCGTATCGGACGACAAAACAATCAAGTTTTGGAACTCCTCGACTGGGTTCCAGGTCGGTCAACCTTGCACAGGTCACACTTCCCCCATTTGGTCACTTGCCATTTCTTCCGATGGCTCCTTCATTGCAACTGCCTCGGACGACAAGACTGTGCGTCTGTGGAGCACAAAGTCACACACCGGCAGATAGGACAAGCATTCGAACATACCGCATGGGTTTACTGTGTTGCATTTTCTCCCAGTGGAGAGCTCCTCGCAAGCGGAGACTCTGATGGGAATCTTCAGCTCTGGTCCATCGAGAACACACTTTCCGCAGCATTTGGGATGGATTCCTCATACGATTTATACTTTGCGCACCGCAGTAAGGTGAAGTTGGGCCAAAAGCTCTATGCGAAGGCCCTTTCGGACGCGGATAAGGTGCGAACGATATCCGTCATTGTTTTAACAGTTGTGATGATGATGATAGGTCATTGAGCTCAAACCTTCGTCTTATCTCGGGTACGAACTGAAGTATGCAGCTCTTCATGGAGCACAGCGCTATGATGATGCATTCGAGGCCTTCAAAACAATGCTCTCCAAGTTGGACAACGCTCCTGACGCACAGACGCAAAGTAAGCCCAATTGATCACTAACGCGTCGACGTGATGGTCATGAATTCGTTCTCCAGAGCTACGTCAGAAATATATTAGTGCATCTGAAGTACTGGAAGCAGCTGTTGGACAAGCCATTCACGCTCAACTGGAAAACGCCCCCCTTCGTCTAATCAACACCTTTACTGGGCGTTTATGCAATCGAGACGCACAGATCAACGCATTCATGGAAAGCACAGAATACAAGGAGCTTTTTTCTCTATCAGTAATGCATGGGCCCCTCCAAACAGAGCTCATCAAGAAGCGGTCATCAAGTGTTTCAGTTGGGTCATGTTGTCCCATAGGTGGGGAGCCAAGGAGCCGGGGCTGCACGACATTCAGGACAAGGTCATATACGACTTGGATCCGGTCGGAACCGTTGTGAAGTTGCAGAGGTTCTGCAAAGTCGCTCGCAACGCAGGGTATCGCTGGGCGTGGGTCGATACATGCTGCATCGACCAGTATAACAACGCCGAGCTACAAGAATCAGTCAACTCCATGTTCATCTGGTATCACTACTCAGCGCTCACCATCGTCTACCTATCGGATGTTCCTCCTTCGTCAGAATCTGGCGCGCTCGAAAACAGCAGTTGGAACACCCGAGGATGGACCGTTCAGGAGTTCCTCGCTCCTAAAATTATTCTCTTCTACCAAGCAGATTGGACCCTATATCTCGACGACCACTCACGCAACCACAAGCAGTCTGTCAGTATCATGAAGGAATTGGAGCGTTCAACTGGCATAAATGCGCAGGCGCTCGTCGACTTCCGTCCAGGGACAAGAGATGCCCGAGAGAAACTTCGATGGGCGTCAAACCGTGACACCACGAGAGAGGAGGATATCGCCTATTCTTTGTTTGGCATCTTTGATGTCAACCTTCCTGTTATTTACGGAGAGAAAAGACAAAAGGCGCTCGGACGACTCTTGCAAGAGATCATAGCCCATTCGGGCGACATCACAGCCCTTGATTGGGTGGGACAATCATCCAACTTCAACAGCTGTCTGCCAGCCGGCATTTCCTCATACAAGGCTCCGTCATGTATGCTGCCATCTCTATCCGAAGACGAGATGCAGAATTCGGTCTCCACGCTGCGAGATACTGTGACTGTGGAGTCGGCTTTGAACCTGTATACCCTCCTTGAGAATCTCAGCGTTTCTCGTTTTGCCAATGCCAGACTGCAATTGCCTTGCATCGCATTTCCTCTCACAGAAGCCAGGCGGAGCCCTGGTCAAGCCTACGGGGCTAGATGTTTCACTTATGACGTCAAGGCAGACGGGCTACAAGACCTGCTGGTCACAACAGAAGACAGGCTGGTTGAATTTTCGCCTGAAAAGCGTACTGAACAGTCATTCTTACTCGTCCGTCCCTGGAATCGGTATGATCTCGGGCTGAGCACGCAGCGTGCAGAAGGTTGGCGCGAGCTTGCTTCTCCGTCAGATGATACGCTCGGCAGCTATCCTGGATACAACGAGTCGGCTACGCGAGGGTTGCGGTTGATCGTTCGCCTCGGACGGCCTTTTGGCGCACTTTTGCTAGCGCACCAGTGGGGTGGTGAGTATAAGAGAATCGCTTCGGATAACACTATCATCGCACAAGTCAGGGACATGGCTTCTGTTGATGACATGATGGACGTCAGGATGCTAGATATATTGTAGCTGCGAAGAACAGGACATTTTCATCTCATACGCGTATACCTTGACGCATGAACAGTATCTCTAGAATTTTGTATGGCATCGATCTCGATATTTCATCATATATTGTCTCGTATACAAACAAGCTAATAACAAAATCAGACGTCCTAGGGAAGAGGAGTTCAGTGCAAGCGCTTCGCAGAACTGCGCTCATTCAGATTCGTCCGGTCTTTCTAACGCGTCTCTCAACGACAGGCAAGCAAACCACCACGATTGGTCTTTTATGTAACAACACTCACACCTTTATTAAATATTCCCTGTTCCCTGATACTCTCATTATGTCGGTCAGTCGCGAATTTCACATTGTTTTTAATCCTTTCTTATACTTATCCGTAGGCGAAATTCGTGTTCAAGCAACACAGTATGTCCAAGACCGTATCACCGCACTTTGAGCAACCACAGACAATTATCAAAATGCATCAGTCGCATCCGCGGCGCAAATGCAATGAAATTTCACCTTGCTTGCAAGGTTACATATATAGCATGCGACAAAATCTAACGGACTGTTTCAGTGCCAATAAGTAATAATCGATATCCCCGATTCCTGGCCGTTATTCGCAGGAGCCTGGTTTCCTCCTCCGACCACGACGAGCTCGCACTGTCTGGGGTCAGCACACAGCTGCCTGCCCGCCCCGTGATAGCAAGGCAACGTTTGTCGTATGCAGGCCACGTCATTGAGGATACACCACTCGCATTTGTCGCATTCCAGTGGGAGTATACATCATGACAATGGCAAGACAACCGTGACATCTAGACGATGATGAACAACTGCCGGCTCGGTAGTCCTTCAAGCTTCAATTTTTGTGTGGACGTGTCACGCTCCTTTGTAGGACGGACGATTGTCTTCCTATAATGATCTAACAGCAAATGAACTTAGTATGCGAACCGTCGCGTGCCAGCAGTATTTCATGTCTGCACCCCGGGTCCCCAGGTGACCATATCATTTGATATTCAGGCTCGGGATCAGTTCAGGGTTGATTCTATCAATGTGCGTGGGGTACCAAAAAAGACATCTGCTTGCCGTCGTGACCACTAGTACAACGAACATCCAATCCTTCTTTGCACCCCATCAATCATGCTTCAGCTACCTGACCTGTACAACGCGCAGCTTGTCCTCAGTGCTGCGGCTTGTCTTGGTGTTGTAGGAGTACTCACTAGGGCTTACCGTCATAAATCAGAGGGCCACCTTCCTCTCCCACCTTCCCCTCCCTCTTGGAGGCTTTGGGGGCACTTCCTGCCGCATCACCAGTAAACTTTCGAATTCGATCTGTTGTCCTTTGAACGCTGATTGTGTCCTCTCACCGATAAGCCCATCCCTCAATATAGCGAGATGGGTTGACAAGTACGGTCCTCTGATCACCGTACGGTCAAGATTTGATAACATCGTTATTATTGGCCGTTACAAGGTCAGTCCCTACATACTGAGTGTCATATCTGGGATCAATGTTCTATTGCAGGCAGCCGTAGATATCATGGAGAACCAGGATAAATTTACCGCCGATCGTCCTCGCATGAATGCTGCTGGAGAAATGTCTACCGGCGCAATTAGTATTGCGTTTGTGCCCTTTGGGGACAGGTTCCGTCGGATGCGTAGGTTAGTAATCTACTTCCTCTCGTTTATCTCCGTTTTCAACGCGATGTAGAACACTTCATTCGCATCTCCAGCCTAAAGCAGCTGAGGCCTATCAACCCCTGCAAATGTTACACGCGAAGAATACAGTTCTCGGCATTCTCGATGATCCATGCAACTATCATAACCATGTGACAACATGAGCGCTTTCGGCGATGATTGTACTTTGCTTACAGATGGCTTGAAGTTATGCTGCTACTACAATCATGAAAATTGCATATGGAAAGAGTACGCCCACATCTGCGACCGATCCCGAAGTCGTTGAAATCAAGCAACGGGTTAGGATGTCTACTGCAGTCACGCGTCCTGGTGCTTACCTAGTGGACTGGATCCCGTGGCTCAAATATCTTCCTTGGTATGGACGAGACTTAAAACGGGCATTTGAGAGCACCAAGAAACTCAATACTGGTCAGCTGAACCGCGTGAAAGAGCAAATGGTGTGTATTTCCTTCTCAATCTTGACTTCATATCTGAGCTATTGTACGGCAGAGCGACAAGGACATCGGTCCTTCGTTCGCGAAATATATGCTAGAGAATGTCCATCTCCATGGTTTGACAGAGATTGAGATGGCCTTTCTTGGCGGTTCACTTTTTTTAGCTGGATCTAGTACCGTGAGGTTTTGTTTGTTGCATCCGGAAATATGTGGCTGAAATCAGGCGAAAGACTTCTGCAGCAATATCCACGGTACTTATGGCAGCTGCATGTTTCCCCGAGGAGCAAGCTCAAGTTCAAGCCGAGCTCGATGCGGTCATCGGAAGGCTCCGAGGTAGCTTTGATTCCCTATTGCAGTGCTCTGATTCAATCACATCTGCACAAAAGTGCCTACTTTCGCCGACCAAGATTCTCTTCCTCGCCTGCAAGCATTCATCTCCGAGGCTTTGAGATGGAGACCACCCTTGCCTACCGGTGGTAGGTACCTTCCTTTTGGTTCTATCCCTAAATTTCACAATAATGCACACTGCAGCATTAGCTCACCGAACAACCCACGATGTGATTTGGGCAAGTGATCTTTGAACAACTTATCGCATGAATGATGATCCGGACCATCAGGAAAACTATCGTATTCCAGCTGGGACCACATTGTTTGGCAACCTTTGGTAAGCATCATGCTGCAAGATACGAATGATCTAACGGTTACTGCCTTAGGTCCATCTCTCGAGATCCAGATGTCTACCCGGAGCCTGACGCGTTCAAACCTCAGCGCTGGATTGACGACCAATATCGCCTAAAAGATGATTTAAAATTCTTTGTCTATGGCTTTGGTCGGCGGTAAGCACTGCCTTTCTGCTACTCATTTTTTCAATGACATTACTTTCAGCGTATGCCCCGGTCAACATGTTGCGAACAGGTAAAGTTATTATTCCACGCACATCGTCTTCCGAACTCACTGTGATCAACACAGATCGGTGTTCATCAACTCGCTCCTGATCATGTGGGCCTTCCAACTCACTCTGGATCCTGCGGGGCCGCTGGATGACATGGGATTTATGAATGGGGTGATGTCAGATGTCCCACCATGTGCAATTAAGTTTGAGACAAGGATTACGGAGTTGGAGCTCAGGCGCATGATGCAGCATTATCCGCAGGATGCATGAGAAGCTTTGATGCCTGGATGGATCAGGGAGAGATCGAAGAACCAGTTCCCAACGAATCGCCAATTGTACGCATTGGTGCATCCCTTCAGGACTCGCAGTCTGTTGTAATTTTGCCTTTCATGCGATTTCAACTGTGCGTTATCATCATCATTTATCTCATCTTAAACAGACCTCGTTCAAATAAAGCAAGCACATGACGGGACAATTTGCAGCAGCAACTTGAACAAAAATCGGGCACTGCCACGGGCAGGTACGGTATACAATTCAGGAGCGTGGGGTGGAGATCTCAGCTAGACTGTCACTTCCAATTTAGTTTGATACATCTACAGATCCCACGCGACATATGCGGATGGATGAAATTCACCGGTATAGACGTGGATATATCTTCCCACCCAAGCAACTCGAAAAAATTGCGAGTTTCTCTTCTGCGATGGCTAGTTTTCGCCTTCGTCAGGTGCCAGTGGCAATAACATCACAAGTGCGACGGCAAACGCGAATCATTTCCCAGCAACGTTTGACCACTCCCAATCGATGATGATGCCAAGGATATCCAGCTTGGTCGTTGATGAGTATGTGGTCCAGTGTTCTGCCGGTTGCCGAACGTTCGCCAAAGTCGGTGAACGTTCACGTCCAGTCAAAACTCACGACAGCCTCAGCCAGGCTGATCCAACCCACTTCGGAAACCTGACTGAGCGTGGATATTTGAACCATTTATGGATAAGCGCGTATGTACAGTGCGGACGAACGGCACAGGGGACCAGTGTTAATACAAGAACTGAACTGAGTGGGGAGGACGGAGTAGAATCTGAGTAAATATATACAGGATGACGAGTAGACAGGCAATGAGAAAATGATCGAAAGCGGGAGTTGGGGACAATTGGTGCGCACGCACCGCTACGATTTGTACGACTGGGGCCTGGGAGGCATGACTGCAACGGGCCCCGCACTGAGTCTTTGCCACTGGCACAGTGGCACAGCTGCTGGAAGCCGGACGGAGTCGGGTCTCGGGTCCTGATACCGGCGGGCGAAGAGAATCGGCAAATTCCGGGTACGGTAAAAACCTATACTAGTAGTACTACCACACAAGAACCAAGCTTACGTCTTTCCCCGCCTCTATTGCTATTGCTACTCGTGTAGCTCGTTAAAATGATTCCGCGTACTACAATATGGCGTTTTCCAAGCGTCTTCAGAGCTACTGGTGCTGCTCGCTTCACTCCTACAATTGTACACCGGACTTTAGCTACTCCCGCAACACCACCTTCTCCGAATGACCCCTTCGCAAATGGTACCAATGCCTACTATGCAGAGGAGATGTACAGAATTTGGAAACAAGATCCAAAGTCTGTGCATGCTTCTTGGAATACATACTTTTCTGGCATGGAACATGGTCTTCCTAGCGCCAAAGCTTTCCAGCCACCCCCAGGCCTAATTACGCCCCCTGCAGACGGTGCCCCTGCGCTATATGCCGGCGGAGGTTCTGAGCTCGATGACCATCTGAAGGTGTGGCTCCTGCTCTCTGCTGTGCTGCCGGGTAGCTGATCCCCTGTAGGTTCAATTACTTGTACGGGCCTACCAAGTTCGTGGCCACCATGTCGCCGAACTGGATCCTCTCGGCATTCTAGATGCTGATCTCGCAGATGTTCACCCTCCTGAACTTGAACTAAGCCGATACGGGTTCACCGAGCGTGACTTGGACAAGCAGATTGCTCTTGGACCAGGTATTCTGCCCCATTTTGCGACAGAGGACCGGAAATCAATGAGTTTGAGGGAGATCATTGCACTTCTCAAACGGATATACTGCGAGTTATGTTTATTTATTTACTTGACCGAAATCCTTATTTTCTCTGTAGGCGGCGCTGTGGGTATTCAGTATGTTCACATCCCAGACAAGGAGCAATGCGATTGGATCAGAGAGCGTGTCGAAATTCCAAAGCCTTGGAACTATACGGTGGAGGAGAAACGCATGATTCTTGACCGTCTTATCTGGTCAGAGTCGTTCGAGAAATTTATCGCAAGCAAGTACCCGAACGAGAAGCGTTTCGGTCTCGAAGGCTGTGAGGCGTTGATTCCTGGCATGAAGGCGCTCATCGACCGATCCGTCGATCATGGTGTCAAGCATGTCACAATGGGCATGCCTCATCGTGGTCGTCTTAATGTTCTTGCCAACGTCATTCGCAAACCCATTGAAGCCATTCTGAACGAGTTTATGGGTACGGATGTTGACAACCCAGCGGGCGACGTCAAATATCACTTGGGTGCAAATTATGTTCGCCCAACACCGTCTGGCAAGAAGGTCTCTTTGTCACTTGTTGCCAACCCATCGCATCTAGAAGCCGAGGATCCTGTTGTCCTGGGCAAGACCTATGCCATACAGAATGTGGAGGGCGACGAGTCCACTCACAACACTGCAATGGGTGTGCTGCTGCACGGTGATGCCGCATTCGCTGGTCAGGGAATTGTCTACGAAACCATGGGCTTCCACAACTTACCCAACTATGGTACTGGCGGTACCATCCATCTCATTGTGAACAACCAGATTGGTTTCACTACTGACCCTCGTTTTGCGCGTTCCACCCCTTACTGTTCCGACATAGCCAAGTCTATAGATGCCCCAATCTTCCACGTGAACGGTGACAACGTCGAAGCCGTCAACTTTGTCTGTCAACTCGCGGCTGATTATCGCGCAAAGTACAAACGTGACGTTGTCATCGACATTGTTTGCTACCGTCGTTACGGCCATAATGAGACGGATCAGCCCCATTTCACTCAACCTCGGATGTATCAAGCGATTGAAAAGCAGCCAACACCACTTACCCAGTACACGAAGTTCTTAGTCGGCCGTGGGACCTTCACTGAGAAGGATATCGAGGAGCATAAGAAGTGGGTCTGGGGGATGCTGGAGAAGGCAGCCGGTGCGGCCAAGGACTATGTTCCGACCAGCAAGGAATGGCTATCCGCATCTTGGCAGGGTTTCCCTTCACCTCGACAGTTGGCAGAAGAGACGCTGCCAACGCGTGCGACAGGTTCTGATGAAGAAATTCTCAAGCGCATTGGAAAGGCCATCTCATCATATCCTCCTGGTTTCGCCCCGCATCGCAACCTTGCTCGTATCCTTAGCGCCCGTGGCAAGACAGTCGAAGAAGGTCTCAACATTGATTGGTCAACAGCTGAAGCCCTTGCATTTGGCTCTCTCGCACTCGAAAAGATACACGTGCGCGTCTCCGGTCAGGATGTGGAGAGAGGTACATTCTCTCAGCGGCACGCTGTCATCCATGATCAGAAGAATGAACAGCAGTATATCCCTCTGAATGACCTTGGTTCAAATCAAGCCCGGTTTGTCGTATGCAACTCGTCGTTATCCGAATACGGGACTCTCGGATTCGAACTAGGCTACTCACTAGTTTCACCGAGCTCTCTCACTATGTGGGAGGCGCAATTTGGCGACTTTGCCAATAATGCCCAGTGCATCATTGATCAATTCATCGCCTCTGGCGAACGGAAATGGTTGCAACGCTCCGGCCTTGTCATGAGCTTGCCACACGGGTACGATGGTCAAGGTCCTGAGCATTCAAGCGGAAGGATTGAGCGCTTCCTTCAACTTTGCGACGACCACCCTAACGTCTTCCCTACACCGGAGAAAGTCGAGAGGCAACACCAAGATTGCAATATGCAAGTCGTGTATCCGACGTACGTGTATTTTTCTAACCTTCATGACGCCACTGATCTGATGGGTTGCCTTAGTACTCCCGCTAATTATGTAAGTTCCGCCCTTCAACTTCGTGAGTACCCCACTAAGTTTCTTGTAGTTCCATGTTCTTCGTCGTCAAATTCACCGCGACTTCCGCAAACCACTCATTATCTTCTTTTCTAAATCACTTCTACGCCATCCCAATGCTCGTTCGGATCTTTCGGAGATGGTCGGCGACACTCACTTCGAACGCTATATTCCCGATTCCCATCCTGAACACCTAGTGCCTGCTGAGGAAGTGAGACGTCACATCCTCTGCACCGGTATGTTGCATGTTTGTTTAGTTGTCGAGTGAACTCAACATGGGATTAGGTCAAGTATACCAGACCCTCATCCAGGAGCGTGAAGCCAAGGGCATCAAAGATGTGGTCATCAGCCGCATTGAGCAGATCTCGCCCTTCCCCTACGATCTCGTGAGTTAGATTCGTTTAGGTCGTCTACAGTGTTTCACCAACGTTTACAGATCACTCCTCATCTTGACAAGTATCCCAATGCAGATATACTTTGGTGTCAGGTAAACCTTTGTGTCAACTCCTGGTACTCCAGCTAACTCTTACGTAGGAGGAGCCACTGAACAACGGGGCGTGGACTTATGTTGGACCTCGTATTCTGACTGCCGCCAACGAGACACAGTACCACAAAGGCAAATATCCGTACTACGCAGGAAGGCAGCCGACGGGCTCTGTCGCTACAGGTAGCAAAGTGAGTAGTTGGGTCTTTGATCGTCTACCCATTCTAACCCACACGAACAGGCCCAGCACAAGAAAGAGATTGAGGAGTTCTTGGCCGCTGCCTTTGCTTAATAGTGTATGATGCTCAGTAACAATAATATATACATATCATAGCGGCGCGCAAACGCCGGTCCCCTCTTTTGACTTACCGGTGTACCTTGGCCATAGGGGCATAAAAATCATCTACCTCAGGTGTATTTTCAAGATCGAGAGCTTACTTTTAGCAAACAGGCTAGGCGACATTTCACCGAGATCTATACTCATTCGTACGTTCGTATGGGGCACCTCCGGATCCGAGCACTCCGAGTCAGCGCACCAGCGCACATAACTAAACTTCTTGATACGGAAGTTCAAACATGCTCGAAACTATTTTGTCAACCGCCATTCTGGTGTTCTGGCAGACAAACTCACATGCTTCTAGCTACATCACCTTGTTCCCGACATCCACTTTAGTGGGAGAGGGTTCTATAGAAAATAAATGCCATGCCGTCTGTCATTTCATGCGCGCAAATTACCTCCCTTATTTGTTACTGGGACCCTGCTGTGTCCGATGCTATCCTTGGTTTGAAAACTGAAACTTTGAATCAAAGTGCAAAAGTAGGTGAGCGTTCTCCCCGTCATATTTACGACCATGATTGCTTGTTTATCTACCGCAGACGGTCCACCGTGCGGTGCTCCATATTTTTCACAAAACACCCTTCTGTTGTCTGTCACATCTGCACGATGCAAGTTACCCAAATCTGACTTTCGTTGTCCGTGCCTCAAAGTACTGGACCCTCAGGCCTCGGGTTGCGGTGAGCATGTCGCTGGCCGAGGAACGAGGCCGAGCCGATATGCTCACCGTGTGCCCGCTATGATCGGCGGTCCCGTAAGATGCTGAATGATATCAGTGAACACGATGTTATGTCCGTTCTGTTTTTACCTGTACTGGTAGAGACTGTATGTAGAGATATAACTCATGATGCATATGTGTCAGGGGCTGGCGCGGCCAACGTGTTCAACTTGCAAGTTTCGTGGGAATTTAAATATTTAAATATTCATGGACACTGGACTACCGTCAGTCCATCACGTGACAATCACGTGTACACGCGTTATGGTTGACATCCTTTTCTGCACTGTTGACAACACTTCTTTGCAATCAAGTTCCTCAAGTCCTCTTCAAATCTAGGCCGGGTCTTCGAAAACACATGTCTGGCGCACACAAGATTAAGATCGCCGCGCGTCTGCGACCTCGCATTGAGCACGAGATTGACGACCAAGGGATACAAATTACGCACGACGAAGACGGAGAGGGACCGTCGTGGATTTGTGTGCCCAACCCACGGGACGTGACGCAAATCTTTCGCTTTCCGTGAGTGCGGGTTTTTTCGATTCTAGCATGTTTAGGTGTCATGTGCAGCGACTTATTATTCAACTAGATTTACCAGTTGCTATGACCAAGATTCTACACAAGAGGAGATCTTTGAGCAGGATGTGAGACCGCTCATTGACGTTGTATACAGTGGCGTCGTACGTCCTTGAATTTTCCTTCTGGATTCTTTTATATCAATGGACATAGACCGTAACAATCTTTGCGTACGGCGTAACGTCCTCTGGTAAGACACACACAATGCAAGGAACAAAAGCATGCCCTGGTGTCATTCCAAGAGTTGTTGAGGTGTGTATACTTTCCGCTGCATGTTCCGCGTTACATGATTGCCAATGCCACCGCGACAGGCCATGTTCGAACAGAAAGCAGTGCTGCTAAGGTCCAACGTCGAGCTCGCAGTATCGTACATGGAGATATATAAAGACGAGTGTTATGACTTGCTAGTTGATCGGGAGACGGTATGCTCAAATTCTACTGACCGTCTTCCAATGGCAAGGTTGCTAACTGATGTCCCGGGATGTGTAGGCTCCAAAACTCCCAGTACGAGAGAATGATGTAGGCCAAGTCTTTGTTGCAAACTTGAGTTCCGTACCCATAGCCTCAGTCGAGGAATTCACTGCAATTTATTCGTACGTACTTTATTTTAGTCACTCGCATCATCGCGGGTGACACCCACGCATCTGCTTACCTCTGAATGCAGCCAAGCATCAAAGCAACGCTCAGTGGGCGCAACAAACCTTAACCGTTCTTCATCTCGTTCACATGCGATGTTAACACTGGAGGTAACGATGACTGATTCTTCGGCAGAGAGGTGTAAGACCCAATCGTGACCTTCCATCTTCCCTAGACAGCTAATGTATCATATCCTTCTAGCATTGACAGGAAAGATTAACCTCGTTGATCTTGCTGGTTCAGAGAATAACAAACTCACCGGGAACGACCCCACACGGATGGCTGAGAGCGCAGCCATCAATAAGAGCCTGAGTGTCCTCGGGCAGGTTGTACATGCATTGAACCAGGGGGCTGTGCGTTTTTTGGTCAATATGAAGGCTTATAAACTGATGGCATGCGCAGTCTCGAATACCATATCGCAATTCCAAGCTCACGCGCATCCTCCAAGACGCCCTTGGCGGGAACTCCGTGGGGTTGCTCATTTGCAATCTTGCTCCTGGAACGAAATTTAGGCAGGATACGCTGAACACGCTAAAGTGGGTTGACATTTATATTATTTCAAGATCTTTAGCCCAGCTCACAACCACCTTCAGCTTCGCAGTGCGGACAAAGAACGTCGAGAACAGACCGGTGGTTAACGAACGCGGTGCGCTACCATTACCGAACTGTCGCATGATTCATGAAAGCTTAATGCTCTGTAGACATGCGACCCCCAACCCAAACCCCACTTTGCAGCAATCCTACCACCACCTCCGAAACTTGCTCCCGCCATACTCCAGCCTTTGGAAGCTGTTGCAGGTCCATCGCGTGGCCCACGTCCCAGCATCGCCCGTGTCGCACCCAGACCAAGCCTTGCTGGCGCAGGTCAAAGCAGATCTCGCGTACCACGCGCCAGTGGCATCGGGGTATTTGGTGTCCAGAAGAGACACCGTCCTTCGGGAGTGCCTGCACTTATTAGTGAGACAGCAGAGACAAGTGGTAGCTCAGGGATGATGCAGTTGACAGATAAGGAAATTGATGAGCGGGTGCGCGAATGCTCCTATTCTGGATCACCCTATACGTTACTAAATACAAACCGATAGATTGCAAGAGCCGTCGAAGTAGAAGTTGCACGCCGTCTTAAGGAGCGCGAAGAGTTTGAACGAGAGGAGAAGGAGAATATCGCATTACAGCTGAATCTTCAAAGAGAGAGGGAGCAAGAAAAGTTGAAAGAAGAGGACCAAAGACTTCCAACTGGGGTGCTTACCCCGCTCATGGCCCGGCACCGGGATCTGGATAATGAACTTCGTGCGAGGCTCGAGGAGTTGGAAGACAAATAGTACGTCCGCTCTACCGGCGAGGTCATGTCACAGTGCTGAATGACTTACAGCGAACGCGGAACCAAAGAACTTCAGCTAGCAGATGTGCTTTCACCTGCTTCACGGAAGAAAACCGGACGCGCGTACGTGATGCTGGCCCGCGCTCACTCCGAAAAGTACGTGTCCGCGTCCCGACATATGCTATGCATCTACCTAACGACGTTAATAGGGGTGATCTTCAAGTAGCGCTCGACCTATACCGCAAAGCCGAGTCATATGTCCCAGATAACGTCAAGTTGAAAGAGAGGTGGATACTTTTTGTTATTCATGTTTTCCTTTGTATGGTATCCGGGTCAAAGCGATAATTCTGACGTTTTTCTTTGCTTGTCTTTTCTTGTCTCCGCGCGGCGGCATGCATGAAACAGAGTCATCGAGATCGAGTGGGCGGTGAAGAATGGCGCCACGTTCGTCCCTTCTCCGAAGAAGCCCAGAAAGGCAAGGAAGACGAAGGCTGGAAAGCGCAATGCGGTGGGCAAGAAGGGCATGAGTGGAGACGAGGATGAAGAGGACATGCCGATGGATGGGATCCATCAGATGCTGGAAGGCGAGTCAAGTGGATCTGCAAACCCGCTGAAGAGGTTTAAAGTCGAGGAGGATGTTGTGCAGGCTATATCGGAGACCCCACAGAAGAGGGTGAAATGCGAGATCAAGGTCGAGGGAGATGCATGAGCTTTTGTTAGTTGCAGCGCCGCAATGTCACATGTATGACTGTTTTGTGTGTTTAATTTATTTTCCACCTGGTGTGCGACTATTCTTCATAGCGCTCAAAATATAGATTCGCCAGTATCAGCTGCTTCAAACGCCCCAAGTCCTCTTGGTCACACTCAAGTCCGTGGGTGACCCTGCGGTTTGTTGACGGGTGTATGATGTCCCGTGAACCGTACGCAATCAGACTGCACTGTCAGTTTGCTGTCAATTCAGACTTTTGCATTTCCCATCTTGCAATAAGCCAGTCTCCTGCATCCGCTAGCTTCGCCGCGTGGCAAACAAAATAGTTACTTACCTGACATCTACAGCCAGGCCCACAACGGATATTAATCATCAGGTTCGTGAAGGCCAGAAGCCGGTTTGTTTCTGCAGCCCTGGTATTTATCTTTTTCCTGGGTGCGTTCCCAGCATGTTTGCCTCGAATTTTGCGCGACAGGACAGTGGACTGGTCAAATGGTCAGCCTCTTTCACATGTGGTTCGTGACAATCTTCCCTCAAGGCTCTATTTCAGATACTGAAAGAGCCTGGACTCCGCACTTCACTTAAGGTACAAGTTCCGTAGAATAGTAATTGTCTAATATCACTACCTACTGCAAGGACTGGCATCGGTCAACTCAGACTTGAGTGAAACGATAGAACCCCCTGGATCACGAGCTACAAACGGGCCAAAGATCACTTCGGTAGTTGTAGGATTCGCGGCTCAGTAATCGACCAAGGGCATCGGACCATTGCCGCTGCTTGTCGTGAGTTAATGACAAGACCGATTGCTTGTGAACTGAGTGGACGACTTCTAACGAAAACCCACTTACAGCCGTTTGCAGAACACTAGGCCAATCATCAAAAATAAAACAGGACAGCGTTGTTTGAATTGCAATGTCCGATCAGATGCGATGATCCTTACCACAAATTTCTGGGTATGTAACGTCCTATGGTAGGAACGCGATTGATCGTCAGAAGTTGAAAGTTCGTGGTTTTCCGAGTCGGACTTACTATAGTTACTATAGCTAGTAGCTTGCCGACTTATGTTTTTTCTTTTTTGGGGCTGGCCTAGGCCTAGCCTTCTGTAAGTACAACTTCTGTATGTTACTATGTACTCATGAGTCATAAGAACTCCGGAGATGATGGCGATGGCAAATCTCGGTGGCTATACAATAGCATAACAATCAAATCTAGTTAGCGGCTCGTTGAGCGCTCGTTTTGGGATACATATGTAGTCACTCGTCGATAAACACTGACTCGAACAAAACGTAGTCACATCCCCTCGCGGTAGGTGCCGGTGAAGTTCGAACGCAAAGCCAAGCAAAATCAACGATGCAACAACAATGCGGTTGCAACGAGGCGCTTAAGAAAGGGAACTCGACCCGCAAAAGGAAAGGCATAAGTTACAACGAGTCACATCTCTAGTCACGTGTAGCACGTGCTCGGGCGCGCCCCCATTAGTCAAGTGGCGTGTCCCGCTTTTCCCAGGCGAAAATTGGAAGATGGACCCCTGTTTTCTTCAACTCAATCTACCACCATCCTTACCGCCGAACAAAGCCAAATCTCAAGTACTACGGAAGTGTTATGGTCGCCTCGAAAACCAAAAAGACGTCCAAGTATACGTACGCGGAACGTGAGTAAATTTTTTCACCTCCTTTAACGCGTGTTTGGAGGGATGGCAAAGGGCATCGCTGATACTGACGACTCTCAATCTAGGGGTTCTCAGTGCATTTTCGCAGGCACAGAAAGAGCACAGGAGGCACAGTGTACATCTCGCTACCCTTCGTGCGCATGGTAAGGTGTCCATGCTTGCAAGGGGATTGTTTCTCATCACCTTTGTTACCAGTAAGAAAGATCGCGAAAGATAGGAAAGATAAACTGGGACCTCAGTGGGCATCATGGGTAGGAAAGGCTGTGAAGAAGCTTGTACGCCTAAATATTTCGAGTTCTCTGAAATCTACTGATTTTAAGAGAGCAGGAAGAGCAGGGAGTTTTGCAACCTATAGACTCTAGTGGGTATGTGGGCATGACTCCAGAGGGCAAAAAAGTGTAAGTCTAGTTGCTAAAATCATTGCAACGTCGAACCCAATTCCTTTTAGCCTCTCATATGCTCGTCGCAAGTTCCTTCCGACCGCCGTTGGGGACGCATCACCCGCGCAAGAGGATGCTGTCTGGAAAAACGTCGCCGAACATTTTTCCCCTTCAGTGTATAAACGGCAGCGCGCGATATCTGCATCTCGTTTTAGGTCAGTTTTCGGCGAGGAAGAAGCTGAGGAAGATAGCGCTTCCGCTCGCGGAAGTCCTAGGGCAAAGAGACAGCGACGGGCACCGTCCCCCGTCAAGCCCCCCGATCGGTCCTTGACAAAGATGACCAAGGCAGAGGTTTGTTTGACGTTGTCAGTATCTTAACTTGCACCTCACCATGATACGTAGCTCCAAGCTAAGGTCCGAGAGCTCCAACAGGCGAAGCTTACAGATCAAAAGCTGAAGGGGCAACTTGCGGACCGCGATGAACAGCTACGCGAGGTTCAAGCTGAACTCAGGATGTTAAAACTCTCCGCTGAAAGGGCGTGCGCGGCCTTGCGCGAAGAAGAATTGACAGAACTGGATGAACAGGAATTTCAGCACAACATGGACGAAGAATTTCCAGTGCCAGATTTTGCAACATTGTAAGTCCTTTCAATGACTGCCTGCTCTGTTTGTTATTAACGCACTTGGAAGTGATGTCCAGACCCCACGCGCTGGAACGCCTCAAGATGCAGTTGTGAGACGGACCCAATCGGGCTCTATCATTCACGACATCTCTATGCGGCCCACTCCTGCACCAAGCTCTCCTGGTGCCGAACGCGACCGGAGATACCGAGACGATGAAGACGTGTTTGCGGACCAGCAGCGCGACCATCTTCGTACCCCCGAATCTCTGCCAGACCGCAGGACCTCACAGACCGATGAACAACAACAGCGTGCTCTGGCGAACACGGTAAGCTCACCATGTGACCCTGTCTACTTACTTTGTTGACGTTCCGCATAGATTGATGCCATAGAGAAGGAGATGACGAAGCACGTGACAGAGATCCAGACTCTCAAAGACACAGTTACCAGCCTTCAGAGCGAGCTTGACAACCTAACAGGCGCAGCTGATGACCACAAGTCACGCATAGCCGACCTTGAGAGCGAAACCAATGAACTTGAATCTGGGAAGCGCGACCTGCAACAGTGCCTCGCTGATCGCGATCACAATATCACTCAACTCCAAAATACAATTCTTGAGCACGAGCAAGCTGCCGTCCAGCTCAATGTAACGCTCGCTCACAAGGACGCCTCACTAAATGCAATTTCCATAGAGGCTGAGACGCTTTTGCGCACCAAGAATGAGATTCTTGCTAGGGTTCAAGGAATGGAGGACGAAATGACTGCTGTGCGGAGCGAGAATAGGCGCTTGACAGACGGGCTCGCTAGTTCTCACAGAGAAGAAGAAACCCTTCGGGAGCGGATGGTGGAACTCGCCCGAACCACAGAGGAAAGACAAGGGGAGCTCGCCCAAGCCTTGAGTGTTGCGCAGAACGAAGCCAGACACGGGGCTGTACTCGCCCAGGAGCTTCTCGTCATGACCAAGACTACCAAGGAGCTCGAAAAACAGCTCTCTGAGGCCAACAGCACCGCCACGACCCTCGATGCTGAACTTGCGGAAGTCCTTGGATGCAATGGTCAACTTCAGCTGGTTCTGGAAGGGTCCAGGAAGGAGATTGAAGAGTTGAATAGCAGGATCACGTTTTCCGAGATGAGGGAGGCAGGATTGTCGTCAAAGTTGCTCACCGCTGATGCGACGAAGCAGTTCTTGGAGGATGCCGCTGCAGTCGTAAAAAACACTTCACGAGTTGAACGAGTGAAGGCGCAGTCTACCATTCTTGGGCTCCTCGAGAAGATTGATGGACTGCAAATTCTGCGCGACGACGAAGTGCGGAGTTTTGCCGACCGGATTGCAGCTCTAGAAGGTGAAATCGAGGATCTTAGATCGAACCTTCACAGCCTGAGCGAGGCTCGGCGGAGCGCCCTTTCTGCTTTGAAGAAGTCCAAAGACGACTTCACGCATTTGGAGAATTTACTCGCCGCAGAACAGACCACTGGTAATGGCCTTCGGGATAGTCTGACTCAAGCGCAAGAGCAAACCTCTAGGTTGAAGGCAGAAAAGACAGCCTGCGAGTCGACAATTGTCAATCTCAAGGCCATTTATGATCAGGGGAAGAAGATGCAGACAGACTGGATGTCTGGGATAGAGAGCACAGTATGTCGTCTCGTGATTTGTTTGTCGTGTGAGACGCTCAGAACGAACAGTTTGCTTCTGCCCAGTTGGGTTCATTGGCACACGCGTAACGATGCATTTGCCTGAACTACTGCCAATGCTGATGCAGAGTCGGCAAAACGGTCCTCGATGTTATGGGCAATGTAGGTTTCATGTGAGACTGGACTTGAACATTTATTGCGGATATACTTAACAATATTTGTCTTCATTTTGAGAAAAATTTAGTTTATGTTAAGTAGTCGCAATCAAGCGTTAGCATTTAAATCTGTCTGCTTTGATGAATCAAAGTTGAATTATGCCTTGACCATGTCTTCAATGAAATTTAAGCTCGTCATCGTACGCGAGCACACCTATTGGGAATCCTTCAAGACGTGGCAAAGATATTTATATGCTCAAACATTGGTGCCTAGCTGTGCCTAGTTTGATTGGTATTTATTGGATGATGTCAGATGATGTGCCGGGCCCGAATTTCAGCGCTAGCGCTTAGGCACTGACAAAGTACTTTGTTCTGAATCCCTTTTCAGGTCGTGTGCTGTCCTGTGAAGTCGTGCGACTGTTGTGACACTAATCAGTCCTACGTGCACAGCTCGTGAACCCGAGTGCGGAATGGGAATTTGGTGGAAACCAGGGTCACTGTTATGAGGTGGCACCGTGGAGTCTGAATCCGAGTCGGTGTCTCCCGTCAGCCTGAGTTGTCATCTTATGCACCGAAATGCACCGAAAGTTGAAACCATTGAACCATTCCCCTGGCACAGCCTGGCACTTCCTGGCGGCAGTTTCCAACGTACTTAAGCGTACTTGCCGCACAAACTCAGCGGTAGTGAATGTCGGGAGCAATGACCAAACATTACAGCAACGCATGACAATCTATATGACAGTTTCTGACAGCCTACTAGTAGTGCGGGGTACAACCGTTGGACCTGTATGGCAGGCCCTAGATCTTCATTCTAAGGGTCGGAGATAAGAGCTTATCCCGAATTCCAAGCGAGGGCACCTTGCATTGTCGGGCTGGTCCGAGGTGGTGCGGAAGTGGAGTCGGAGCAGGAAATGTACAAACACGTTGTGCAGATAATGCAGCATGTGAGCAGGCTGGAATTAGTTTATTGAGAGATTGCGGTTGGTTCGAAGATTGTCGAGGCTCGTGAGTTAGGCAAAGACCCCGGAATGACCCCAGCTGATCTCTGAAGCGCGAAATTTTTGACATGATTGATCGTGAGCATCAGTAATTTCTGTCTCTTGTGGAGATACCTTGACATATATCAAAACGAATCCTCTGTCCCGCTTATTCTGGAACGATGTCTGAACGCGGGTCCGTGCTGAAACTACGCAGCACCAAGATCATTCATGAAGTTTTGCCAGACAGACTTTTTCGCTTGCTCGGGGCCTCGCCGCCTCGGAGATGCATTTGAACAAAAGAAGAGAAACGAAACAACTCACCGAACTAAAAAAAACATGACTCGTACCAGAAAGGAGACTCAGCAAGATTGCAACAATGTAGAAGATACTAGTGGTGGGCGATATGAAGCAGTGGCTGCGGGGTTCCACGTCACACGATAGGCGCGCGCACAAAGATAATAGGAGAGCTCACACGAGGTTCTTTATTTGATTGTGGAAGTTGGAACGCACTATGTCCACTAGTGGCCCACAGACGAGCCTATCGACGAGCCTATTGATGTAGGGCTGTACTTATGAGTGGACTTGGCCGTTGGTGGCTAGCCTCTAGTGGTGAGGCTCACAGCCGCTGTTTTAGATAATTGACTTAGACTCGATCTGAAATGAAATTCACATGCAAACAATGCGATCCGGATGATTTAAAGACCGAGGAATGAATCCGAGTCATATCCATTTGTGTTAAGTACTTGAACCTGCTACATCAAACGCTTCAACTACTACTTGAGCTAACACTCGTCGATGCCATGTCTGCTGCTTTTCGAATCTCTCCAGCCCTATGGGACAAGATTCACCACTTTGCAAGCTTTCCTCAGACGGGCGGTATGTCATCTGATATCCTCATAACCCATTGCCCCGGATCTTTAATTTTTATAATCTACAGTCTCGCTGCAGCAAATGGTGCTCTTCGGTCAACATCCAAGTCAGGGAACTCTCCTTAAGGCCAGCCAGTTCCTTGCAGGTAACTTAATCTCTGTTTAGGTTCGACTAACTCTGACATCATGGTCAGAAGAGCTGCCCGTCCGCCTTGCGCATCGTGTCAAGGAGCTCGATGAACTCCCCCACAATCTCAGTGACATGCCTTCCATACGAAAGGTCAAGAATTGGTATGCTCAGTCCTTCGAGGTCCGCTGTAGCCCATTTTCTTTTATCTCCACTTCTTCTCACCGGATCTTGTACAGGAACTCATCAGCTTTCCTCCCGTCCATCTCCCACAACACCTTCGCCAGCAGCTTTGCTCGACAGGCCAGGATATCTTCTTACCTGACAGTACCCCAAACCCAAGTCTTGCCGCCCTCCAGGACCACGATCACCCTCTCTTCAACTTATCCCGTCTCAAGGGCAATGCAAACGGCATCGGTAACGTCAAGCTCAGGGTCCCTTTGGAACGCAGGTTCGTACCCCCTTATCCCCCTACAATCCATGCATACCATGCTCACTTAGTACAAGATATTACGCAAAGTCATCATCCATCGACTGGCCACCCTCCGTTCTCGACTATAATGCCCGTTTCACCCGCATGCTCGAGGCCATCAAACGCAGGCACGACCCTACAGTCACAACAGTCGCACAGGGCGTCCTAGAATGGAAGCGCAGTCAGAACGCAAAGAACATTGGCCTTGATATACAGGCTTGGCTTGATAGATTCTACATGAGCCGTATTGGTATCCGCTTTTTGATCGGCCAACGTTAGTTTTTCTTAGTTTTTCTCCTTATCATTGTCTCATCTCATCTCCGTTGCTTTTCCTCAGACGTCGCACTAAACACGCAACAGCCACACAAAGACTATGTAGGCATCATCTGCACTAAAGCTGTACGTTGCTGTTCTCTGTCTTTCCCCATTCACTAACACCCTTCCTTCGCCGCAGAATGTACACGATATCGTACAGGAAGCCATCGAAAATGCCCGCTTCGTCTGCGAGGAACACTACGCCATGTTCAAAGGCCCCCCTGTTCAGCTCATTTGCCCTCCCAACCTCATCTTCCCTTATGTCCCAGGCCATCTCTCCCACATCTGTTTCGAGCTCCTCAAAAACTCCCTTCGTGCCGTCGTCGACCGCTTCGGCCACGATGCACAAGACGAAAAACCATACCCGCCCATCAAAGTCATCGTTGTTGAGGGCAAGGAGGACATCACCATCAAAATCACCGATGAGGGCGGGGGAATCCCGCGTAGCGCCATTCCCCTCATTTGGACATACATGTATACGACTATGTCGGGACAGAGCATTGATCAAGACTTTCAGGCTAGCGATTTTCAGGCTCCGATGGCAGGATTTGGGTATGGACTGCCATTGTCGAGATTGGTGAGTGACGTGCGCGTTTGTCGGGGTTTTGCGCTGATATGTATTGTTGACAGTATGCGAGGTATTTTGGAGGCGATTTGAGGTTGATATCTATGGAGGGGTACGGGACGGATGTATACATCCACCTCAATAGGCTTTCGAGTAGCCGGGAGCCTCTTCCATGATCCGCGTGCATCTGATTGATCATATTTGCGGTAGAAGAGCTATGTACACAATATAGGGAGGGACCTACTAGTAGATCCACTCGACAAGTACTGACTGTAGTTCACCGGCTCGTTCGGGACCAGACAGACGACTGTTTCACAAGCTTTATGACACGGCATCATTAATGCAATGTATATATTTACATTAGTAACATAGCAGAATCGAAAATTGGAATACAACAAACACTATTTCGTTGAGGAGTTGACATGGGGAGGAAGAGATCTGGCACTCGATATTTCGTGTCTGTCGTCTGTATCGGTCGGCCAATGTGTTGCTGAGACGTTGTACATTGTACTGTATATAATAGCAGAATCGAGATGCAGAAAGAATAATCCAAAGGGTGCCGGTACCACAAAAGTACAGTGATAGCACAAAGCAGAGCTTGTCGGGCTGCGTACAGATGTCTACATGATTTTGCATGCGTGTAGCACTGATAGCGATGTGCGATGGATTCCATGTGGGAATCAAGAGCGCTAGCCTCAGGATACTAACAAAATCTGCGTGGACCTGATCAGACTGTCCTCAGAGTGTCACACATCGACAACGCAGAACCGGTGTGGCTGGCCATGTGCGTCCGGCCATACATACGATCACAAGCCCCTTTTCATCGAGATTAAAAGCAACGCTGTACTGCTTGTGGCCTTGAAGACACTCCCCCGGGGACCCGAATCGGCAGGGGTTCCACGCAGACGAACTTGCAATTTGGAAACAGGCCGCAGACGTCAAACCCGCGATCACATTTGCAGGACTTGTGACGAGCACTTGAATATAATTCAAGGATCTGCCGACTAATTGAAAGAGAAATACAGGAATAGATTGCGTGACGACGTCCGCCGGAAGGGTTCTCGACATACCTTGATCCGTGTACGTTTGAAATCATCTGACATCACTAGCCCAGTCATCTTGGAAGGACGATACAAGTTCCAACAATCAAATGGCATTCCGCGTCGTGCCAACCACCAGGCCTCAGGTCTGTGCACCTGTTGTAAATCTGAAATGTCCTTCGCCATGCACCTGGTGTCCATGCGCGTAGAGAATCACGCAGCAGGCGACAATGATAAGAGTGATAACAGATGCGGCTTATATGTCAAGCAGGAATATTTCGTCAAAGCTGATCGTATCACACACCTCATCGAAATCTCGGATACATCCAACATGTGGTTCACTTTGCCGGTCAACCCTAGTGGCAGACAAGCCGCCTTCTCGTTCCAGTTCAACCGGAAACAATCAACGATATCCATAAGCTAGCTGTGATATCGAGCCCGCGGCAACTGTATGACAACAATTCTGGTGAGGAAGGGCTCACGCCTGAGCATGAATACTCAGACGAAATGAGGTCCTGAACCAGGGATTACATACTTATGCCCTTTAAGTTCTTTTCCAATCGGCTTCCCGGATCCTCCCCTGTTCGGTTCCGACATGAGGTAAGGTTCAAGTCCCCGCAGCGCCAAAGCCACCAGCCAGAAAACGTCATGAGTCGGGATAACCTGTAACTTGATAACCGGCTTCTACAGAGCGATCTTTTGTAGAACCTACCTCAGTATATGTGAAAGAAAGCCTTCAGTGAATTGAGACCAGCCAAACGCGAACAAGAGGCCCACCTTCAACCTGTCGACTTGTTCTGTCATGTAGAAGCGAAAAGAACGTACCATGAGGAAAAGAACAATTACGGGGTCTGCAGCCTGCATTGATTAAGTTGACTCTCGCTACTAATAGATCATTCAGAAAAATTTATCGTTGGAATAAGAGGTAGACATATAAATACAGACGATCTGTTTCACGCACTTGAGACTTTGAGGACCGAATCACATATGTGCACTGGCTGCGTCATTGTCGTATTGCCGCCTGCCATAATTAAGTATTCTCCATGTTGGTAATTCATGCCAATGCCATGGCTGTGCGTTGAACTGACTGGGGGGATCATGCAGTCCTTACTGGTATGTGCAAGATCTTGCAAACTGAACCTGGAGAATCTTTAGATCTATGAGTCTTTCGCACAAGCATCCAGGTGGAAAATAAATTCAACATACTAGTAGAACAGTCGTATACATCGTAGGCCGCACCTCTTGCGCATCTCCTGAGCTCAAAAACACCCCTCGTGCCGTTGTCGAGGGGCAAGGAAGATACCCCCATCAAATTCACCGACAAGGGCGGGGGAATCTCGCGTAGCACCATTCCCCCTCATTTGGACTTACATGTAATGCACACGACCGTGACGGCGCTGACGGGGCAGAGCCTAGCAGAGCATCGATCAGGATTTTCAGGCTCCGATATTTTGGGTACATGGGGTGCCGTTGTCGAGATTAGTGGGTAGCATGCGCGTTTGTCGGGGGCGTGCACTGACCGGTGTGGGACAGCGTACGAGGCATTCGGGAGGTGGTTTGGAGCTGATATCTATGGAAGCGTTAGTGTGGAACGGATGTATGAATCCATATCAATAGACTTTCGAGCAGTAGCAAGCCTGGCAGTCCGTGCTCCCGGGGTTGATCATATTAGAGGAGCCGATGTACACCATGTGCAAAGTTTCTACTCGATTCTGACTGTGACTGACTGGCTCGTTCTCGGGACCAGAGCCCAGACCTTATGACACTGTGTTATTAGTACAATGTACACGATACCACAGCCAAATCGAAATGCAAAAAAAAATAAAAAACCATGAAGATGAAAGTACTCATATACAAGGACAGCATCACGCAGAGCTTGTCGGACAACGTACAGATGTTTACATGTAGCATGCATGTATAGCGATGTTGGGGTGTGGCGATAGCGTGTGCGATGCGAGAAACATGATTAGAAAAGAGCCAAGCAGGGGGGTATTGACAGTGTCCGAATGGGAACCAAGAGAGAAAACTAACAAAATCTGTCTCACCCAGGCCCGTCCTCAGAGTGCCATGTACGCTTGAGCGATGTCGAAGCGGGTATGTGGATTGCAGGATTCATGTGTGCCAATGACGACGACAACGCAGGGCTCGTGTGGCTACCCATGAGCGTCGACCAGTCGGCACTATCATGTGGGTGGACCAACGTCAGATGCTGGTATTGCTGCTGATGGTGTTGTTGGTGTTGTTGGTGTTGTTGGTGCTGCTGTTCCTGGTGGTGTTCCGGCCCACGCACCTCCAACGCATCAACTTCCTCATACAACCTCTGATTCGCAAACCGCAACTGCTGCAGCTCATACTGCCAACTACTTCCCCGCGCGGTATCTAGCTCATCGAATATATCATTAGCCTCAGCGTGAACCAGCGTATTGGAGCTGCTTGAGTTACTGAGTATCGTGATTTGTATGACGAGCGGGTGAGCAAGTGATGGGGAGGGCGCTTGGGAGGGCGTCGAATTTAGGATTGGGATGGGTGGACAGTAGATTACGAGCCGCACGTGCACTGTGCCACGATCTTTACGCAGCATCATGCATACTACTGCAGACGGCTCGCTCCCCGCGTGTCCACGTATCTGCGTCTCATTTCCATTGGCGCGTTGAATCGCCGCCTCCACACGACCTCGATCCCCACCAATGACCATCGCACCCAGAGACTTGCCGATAACCTCACCAACGCTCCATCCAAGGATATCGCGAACGCTGGCGCTGGTGACGAGTACGGTCCCGTTTGCGCTCACCATGCCCCATACCTCCTGTTCGCCAAGCCCGCCAGCATGGGCGATCGAGCGCCAGCTGAGCGAGGGCATCCATTTGCCACGACCGGAGAGGATGATGGCTTTGCGACCTTTACCAGGTTCGACGTGGAGGCGTCCCCGGCACTCGATCCAAGCGTATTCAGAGGATTTGGCACGGGCCCGGAAGAGGAGGTCGACTATTTTGGGTTGGCTGGGTAGATTTAGTGAGCTAGGTGGTATTGGGGAAGTGGAGTCGGCTGATGGGGTATTGGGCGTAATAGAGGACTCTTTGAGCTCGCGCATGAGTGGGACGAGGTCTGCAGGATGGCAGTAGTCAGATATGCTCTTTCCGACGAGCTCCTCGGGTTCGTATCCCAGGACAAGGCGCACACTCGGGGCGACGTAGAGAAAGGCGCCTTTGAGGCTGAGAACGATGATAAAGTCGGGGGATTTTTCGAGGAGGAGCATGTGCAGGAGCTGGTTGCCGTCGTGAGTGTCAGGTTTGTCAGGGGTGGCTGTAGATGGAGGGATATTGACACTTGTGGAGAGGGGGACCGATGAGGTGAATTTGGCGTCTGTGATCAGACTACGCAATTCTTTGCTCAGTACGCTATTTGACGGCAAGGCAAGTCGACCTCTGGATGGAGGCCCGAGCGGGGATGGCACCGGTGCGCCTGCGCCCACGGTGTAATTGACGATGTAACTCCCATCGCGCAGTTTCTGCAGAATCGCATTGGGTTGTTCTGTAAGATCGACCTGGAAACCGACGTGATAGGCGACCTCGTCCGCTTCTTCTGGACGGTTTGATATGCCACCCCTGAGGGGAATCACAGTGACGAGATTGGTGAAGGGCTGTCCGCCTTTGCGGTAATTGGTGATTCTAGTTTGGCACTCCTTGTCCGCAGAGAGAGATTTTTTCAAATGCGCCACAGCATCTGGTGCGACGAAGCGACGCTCCTCGCCCTTTTGTACGTTTCCATCGGGGGACTGCAAGAAGCGACAATTGCGACCGAGAACCTCGTGCTCAGCATAGCCTGTGAGGCGATAGAAGGTGGGGGAGGCGTAGATGATGGGACAGTCATGGCGACGAACATCGACGACAGTAAAGGAGCAAGAACTGTCGACGGGACCGAGGACGACGATTGGGTGGGGACGGGAGACTACGCGAGAGAGGAGGGAAAGGAGGTCGAAACCAGAGGAGGAGTAAACAGGAAGACCTAGGGGGGATGGTGCAGAGAAGCTAGTTGCAGCATTAAATTTGAGGATGTCTGCAGCTGTAAAAGAGGAATTCAAGGTAGTTTGGATTGGAGGTGGTGGGGGTGGGTGAGGGTAGTCGACTTGGGGATACGGTATAGAATGAGGTACATTCGAATAGGCATCGTAGCAATTGCTCGATTGCGCATTACTAGCACCAGATGCTGCCTCGACGCTCACAGGGTGCCTCGACCGAGAAGAAGAACGAAAACTATACGAAAAATGAGCATTAGAGGATATCACAGGTATTATTTGTACTCACGGGGCAAAGCCATTGTTTGCAAACCAGGATGATGCGAACGAACCTGGACTGTCAAGAAGACCAGCTGGTAGGACCTCCGCACCACCACCTGGGGCTAATATTGGAGGTCCATTGTACATGAACTGAGGTATCTGAAACTGAAGCCCATTAGAGTAAGCATGACCGTCATCAACATTATAGTGGCCATCGTTGTAATCGCCGTAGTGATTAGAGTACTGCTGACTCCGCTGCGGCTCATCATGTGCTAAATATCGCTCAAAAGGCATGGTGGGCGGTCTGCAACAAGATCATCCAAGAGGAGTAGAACTTAAAAGTCGATTTTGGGGGTTGGTACTTAGAAGAAGTGTTGAAGCATCCACCTTTGGATGCTGGGTGCTTTAATTCACGTTAGTCTAACGTTATAAAGCCGGCTGGCCGCCGTCAACGGTCTGCTTTTTACCTACTGCAAACATTAAGTTTACCTCACCAACGCTTCGTGTAATCCACGTTTAACTCCACTCATTTCATATTACAAATCACACGATAGGTGTACCTACAATGCAGTACAACGACAAACACCTTCCCGTTTGTGTCAATAACAAAATTCTAGCATGCAGGCTGTTAATCTTTGCCCTCGTTCCCCTAACCATCACCCACATTGGATGATGTAGTGAATAAAAGGGCAAGTCTCACTCTGTCTCAAGGTCAAATACTTTGTCTATGAATCGCGCCGTGTCCTTGGCGTGAGAGTGAATGTTATCACCACATATCTATGCTTGGAGTTGTACACCGTCTGAAGGTCAAGTACTTTGTCAATCGCGCCGTCTCCTCGGTGTGAGAGTGAATGTTATCACCTCATATCTAAGCTGTGTACGCTCCAACGAGCCCAGCTGGCTCAGATAAGCTCCATCCCTGAACATCGTATGCGTCAACTTAGAATATCCCAGATAACCGCATAAAATTATACCCACTAGAAACTCTTCTCTCCTCCTTAAGCTTCAAGTGATCCTCACGGCCCATATCTGTAAAGCCACGCTTCTTTGACAATAATCCTTTGCCAGCCTGGGAACTTGTACCATCCGTGGTGGAGAGCCTCCTAGATGACCGCATCGTTCGATTCCTTGCAACGGATGAAGAGGATGATCTGCCCTATGTTCACCCACGCGAGCGCATACCAGTCTGAAAACTGGATGGAAAACGTAAAACATATAGCACGAATTCATATCCGAGTCGCAAACCTATCGGCACCTGCGCAACTCAACATCTTGTTGATTATATAGTGACGTGAAATGGGTGGACTCGGACACGTATGTGGAACGAGTCCTTGCCAGACGTCTTGATAACGTACTTCTTGGCGTAGATGCGAGCTGCTTCAAGCGCCTAGGGGCTCAACTACTCGTACTCGTCGGAGACGAGATGGCAGCAGAAAGGGAACTCGTCCACAGAAACACGCTTCCGGCCGAGGTCGAAAATTCTGATCTATAGGAACGGAATGAGAACGTTCGTGACGAGGTGTGAATGAACGGACCTTGGTGTCAGCCACACCACGAGTTGGGGTAAGGTTTGTCCTTACAGTAGCGGTAGCAGTGGGCGGGACGACCGATTGTAATAATCTGCGGCAGGATTGAAGTCAGCACCTGGGTACATGGTCTTGCAGAGTCACATCCGAGACAATAGGATTACATCCACCCCGACTAATCGCAATCCAACATTCTTTCGATGTCAAATCACCCGAAGCATCTAAGCGTCATTCGACAACTGGAAAAGTAACACTCACATGTTACATAGAAGTGAGGTGCAATGGGTACTTGGCAGATGAGCCCTTTTTATCAGTGGGAAATCGGATTACCAAAAGATGACAAACCTGACTCGGCAAGTGCCGGGGGACTTCAGCTCATGCGTCAACGTCTGGTGTTGCGCTCGCTCCAAGTGAAGCTTAGATCATAGGCAGTAGGGAGGTCCCGAGAGTGCTGCAGTGTAACCTGCCAATATCAAGTTATACGCATGGTCTGGACAAGAAATCCGAACCACTACGACGTCGAGATCATCTTTTGTCATAACTGCGATAGTCACCAACTAATGTTACAAACGATAAATGAAAAGGTACACAATATCAGTACTTATTTCATGGCGATCAAGAGAAATTGATGAAACGTCGCCTTTAGTAGAACTGTACTCGAGTCTCGAATTTCGTGATTGAATCTTGAATCGCTTTCTGTTTCTCTCTCTTACACATCTCATGGTATTGTGTCGATCCCTGCCACCCTGCCCATGCCGTCTCATTCAACACACCCCACCATTCGTCTTTGAACGGGTGTCCTGGTGCGCCTGCATAACCCCAAGGTTTGGACGTGTACGGCTGCACGAACGGATTGAGCACCGCCACAAGATCAGGATGAACTGGTCCTGTGAAATGCACGACTCCGGGATCCTTCATGTCTCCCAATGCCAGGATATCTCTATCAGCCGAGCCAATCTCCGCGTAGGTTCCGAGTCCCTGCGCATTCCAGCTCAGGTTCACTTCGGTCCAATCGCCAGCAAAGTGCAGATTTAGCACGTCCTGGTCGCGATAGCGAGCGTCTTTCATCTCACGCACCCGAGCCTCAAGCTCAGACAGACGCGTTCTTGCCTTTGCTAGGTCAATCAGGAGCATGCCTGCGTTGAAGTACCGCCTTCGTGAGACGCCATCATGACCCATTGGGAATCCAACATCCATCGCTGCACCAATCGAGGAGCCCTCCAAATCAGTGTTCCACAACTCCTCTAGGCTCCTGCGCACCAGCATGTCTGCGTCCAGGTACAAAACCCGCTCCACTGGCAAGATCTTCATCATATCAACTTTCGCCCAGGTTACGCCTAGCACTGCAGCTAGACTTCCAGTTGGAAGATCCAGGAATACTAGTGTAACATCGTGTCGCTCGGGAAGCGACGACTTAATCTTTTCTTTGTCTTCCACACAAATTCCACAGTCCACGATATAAATTGTCATACGTCCCACGGTCTTTTCGATGGCGCTGCGAATTGTAACAGCTGCTGCCATCGCATACGAGGTGTCGATGGCGAGGACCAAATAGATCCCTAAGCCCAGAGCGCTTGCGAAGCGCCGCTCAGCTCTCTGGTCTACGAGAAATCCGATTCGCATCTCACTGGTCTTCCTCAAGATCATCTGGTATTGCTCTGCGGTTTTAGACAGATGTTCATACTCCCCTGCATGGAGCGCAAGGAATGCATCGATTCCGCGGCGGGGATGGTGAACACTTTCGACGGGCTGCTCGGGCCAATTATAGTCGTCCAAAATGAATATGCATCCCTTACGCGCGAGGCGCCATGCAAGTTCTGCATCTAAGAGTGTATCATCTGCGCGGTGCGATCCGTCCACATACACCCAGTCAAATCCAGCGCTCGCGTCCCGCACTATCTCCTCTTCCAGGAGCGCATATAGTGCGGGGACGCTGAACTGCGGGAGTATGCGAAATGGGCGACCCGTCCGTTGAAGATTCTGTGAGAGCTTGTGGTGCCGCTCACGTCCCGCGGGAGTACGCATGAGGTCGAAATGGTCAATACAGACCATCTCACCGCCTTGAGCGCAGAGCGTGGTGAGTAGAAACACTGCGGAGCGCCCTTCCCAGGACCCGATCTCTAGGATACGTGGCTCAGGCGAAGTCACGAGTGGGAAGAGGCTTTTCCAGGATGGAATATGATAGGTAAACCAGTCTTGTGTTGGCGTAAACTCGTATTCACCTGTAGATACCGACAGATCAGTAACTGTGGATGCAGACATGTTTGGCTGCAGGTTGATAATCAATGTGAGCATCTCAATATGTGCACGAGGAGTGGAGCTGACCAATTGGTACATAAGGTGTTATGAACTAGTCCTGGTGCTGTTTCTTGACGCCTTCCAAAATTTGTGATTTGTACCTGTCTATACATAGCAGGAGTCCATCAGACCGTCGTATCAGTTATTTTGTCAAGTGATCCCTTACTTTTGGTAAAATTTCGTTACCTTTAGGATCTTGAAGGGTCTTTGTGTATTCTGATTCGAATCTTAGGGTGATGGTGCATATCAGGTTCACACAGCGAGGGTTTCGACTAGACTCGTGACCAGCCCCTCTATGAGGCACCTCTATCGACTGTTTGCCTCATAGAGGGTCACCAGTCTAGGTTTCGACATTTTACCACATTTTGCCACTAGTGAAATCACATTCGAAATGCAGTCTAGAGCGCCCCAGAGCGTTCCAGGCTAGGTCTAGAATGCTCTAGCCAGGTCTAGATCTGCTTTTGATTGAAATTTTGCAGGAGGTAAAATGACCAAACCTCCGATGATGTACTTCTCTCACTAGCACCGTTGCTATAGTATAAACAGGTATAAATACATTCTCTGCACACGCTTACATGTGTTTGGGCTCGTCGATCCTATATCCTATCTCACTTTTGCACAGTTTTTGCCCACCATATCAATAGACGCGCTCACTCGCGTTTCGTGTTGACCATCCTCTGATACATTATCGATAGAAAGGTACATACAATCTCCCCTGAGTCGGTCGAAGCAGCTCGTGGGTATGTTTCCGAACTATAGTACAGCGACGGACTCAAATATTTCAGTCAAAGAAACAATGGCGACCACAGGCAGCCCGCGTCGGTTTCTCGTTACCGGCGGGAATGGCTTCATTGTACGGGCCTTTTTGCTATATACATGGAGCAATGTTGAATTCAATGTTCCCTAGGGGTCATATGTTGCAAAGGCATTATTTGAGAAGGGCCACTATGTTCGCATCGCAGATATCAAGCGGACCTCATATTTCAACGAGCGCATTTCGAATGAGGTTCTCGTTGGAAACCTCTGCGATCTGTCATTTTGTGAAAGCGCTGTTCAGAGCATGGACACAATCATGCATTTTGCCGCGACAATGGGTGGCATGGGTGCAATCCACGAAGCAAACGATTTCGTGATTTACAATGACAATTCAACAATGACATTCAGCCTCGTACATGCCGCTGTAGACCGGGGTATTCAGCGTTTCTTCTATGCATCCTCCGCCTGTGTTTATCCAACATCATTGCAGCACCATGGAACGAATCCCGTATCCCTCCGCGAGCATGATGTATGGTCTTCCGGAGCCCCAAACCCGCAAGGCCTCTATGGTCTTGAAAAGCTGAACTCCGAGCTGCTTTTGATGCAGTTTGTCGAGAAGATGCAGATACGCATTGCTCGATTTCATAACATTTTTGGCCCATATGGCGCATGGGTTGGTGGGCATGAAAAAGCGCCCGCTTCGCAGCTCAGAAAGGCGCTTGCTGCACACATGGATCCTAGCACCCAGCATGAAATCGAGATCTGGGGAGATGGGAAGCAACAGCGAAGCTTCCTCTACATTGACAATTGTGTCGAAGCAATTCTCCTTCTTCTTGAATCCGACTGCAGCGAACCAATGAACATTGGATCTGATTGCTCGGTGACCATCGATGATCTCACGAAGATTGCCATGCAATCTGCAGGCATGGACGTAGGAGATCTTCATTTCAGATACATGGATGATTCTCGTCCTGTTGGCGTCCATGCCCGTAATTCAAACAACGAGTTCATCACGAAGACATTGAGCTGGACTCCGAAGATAACTCTCGAGGTCCGGTATGATGAAGACCGCGGGCTGGATCAGAGGGGAGATGGAGAAGATGCTCAGTGATAACGCCAAGACTGCCCAGACAGAGCTGCTGAGCAGTTTTAAAACGAGCAAGGTCATATACTTGAATCGGCCCACCATTATATTCGCCATCCTACTTCCCATCACATCCCGTGGTCTCGAGGGACCGGAGAAGAGCCTCGATAACCTTCGGATCTTTGCAAAGTCTCTTGTGCGCACCACATGGCGTGACACTCGTGAACTTGGACTCGTCCACTTTCAGGTGAAGATATACTTGGGAATTGATGCAGATGATGAGTTTCTCCTGCGCCCCGCGGGAAACGGTGAAATGTTGAACATTGAATCGCTCTTATCGGAAGAGGGAATCACGGATGTTTCTACCGAGATCTGCAACGTATCCCGTGGTCATGTTTGCGCCATTTGGCGCCAGTGTGCACACCGGGCTTGGAAGGAAAAGGCAGACTATCTTGTTCTAATGGGCGATGATGTCGTTCTCCTCGATGAAGGCTGGATGAGAGACATCCACGAACAGTTCACGCTGATTGCACAGCACGAACATGTCCCTCAAGGCATGGGATGTGTCGCCTTCACAGATGTGACTTTTCCCGGAATGCCCACGTTCCCCGTTATCCACCGCACTCATATGGACACCTTTGGCGGCCAAGTCATACCCAAGGTTTTTATTAATCAAGATGGGGACCCATTCCTCTTCCAGCTGTACCGCAAATGGGGCTGCTCTCGAATGATACCCTCAAGACTTTCCAATGGCATTGGCGGAAGCCTACCTGCACGCTACATCCAACAACATGCAGATGGATGGACGTTCGGCCCGTTGACCGAAGCGGCATCAGTGCTGGAAGCATCGTTGGCGACGTCTTTCCCAGCCGCTACTCGCAAAATGACCCTGGACATCGTCATTCCAAGCTACCGGGTTGTGCTCGCTTTCCTCGATCCCATCCTCGCCCTCAAGGAGTCTCCAACTTGTGATACTATGTTCATAGTCATCATTGACAACCCGCACTCACCGAAAATCACCGAGCTAGAGGCAAAATATGCCCATCGCTCAGATGTTCGCATCCGTGTCAATGAGAGTAACCTTGGCGCCTCGGCGTCACGAAACAGAGGCATGAAGGAATCTGCCGCAGATTGGATTCTATTTCTTGACGACGATATCACGCCTCAAGGTGACATTCTGATCGAGGCCGAGAAAGCCATTCGTTCGAATCCACAGGCTGCTGGTTTCATTGGAAACATTTATTTCCCAGTTGCCAGCACTATCTTCACTAACGCCGTTCATCTTGCTGGCGTGACTTACTTTTGGGACATCGCCGTGAAGATGCCACAGAACGAGAGTGACATGCCCTGGGGTGTCACAGCCAATCTCATCGCCCGTCGTGTTCAAGATGGTGTGGAATTTGACTTACAATTCCCGAAAACAGGCGGAGGAGAAGATATCGATTTCTGTCGGAAGAAGCGCGACTTCTCTGTTGCTCACGGGGGCGAAGGTTTTTATCCCGCTCCTCGTGTCGTCGCGACTCACCCTTGGTGGAGTGATGGTCAAAGATCGTACTGGCGTTTTTACATGTGGTCCAAAGGCGACGGGGGGCTCATCAAGCTCTACCCAAATCTGACGTATCTAGATCAATCTCCCAACAGCGCAGAGCTGCTCTTGATCAGCACAGCATCGACAGTCCTAGGCGCGTTAATGTACCTCTTCACAAGGAGCTCTATCGTGTTCATTGTTTCAATGAGCCTCGCAATGGCGACGGTCATTGCAAACATAGTGCACGATATGTACCGTCATTTGTGGAGAGATACGAATCGCACAGAAGCTCTCAGGTCTTCACTGAGAGGACCAGGATGGGCTGTCGCAGTCGCCGAAAGTGCGCTGATCAGGATGGCGAGCGAGGGTGGGAGGTTGATCGGCTTACTTGAGCGTGGAGAAATTATGCTCATTGGGCACAGGTTTGACTGGTTTACAGGGAGGGCAGGAGACGCTCCGATGAACGAAGAAATAATGAATGGACAACAGAGAATGGCGCTGGTGGCTCTCATCTTTGGTGTGTTGTGTTTCAAGTTTTGCTACTAGTGCGTCGCTGGGGCTATCAGTTTGATTTTATGTTTGATTTCTACTCATCCTTTCTCCGAGTCTGCACGTCTGCGGATCGCATGATCAGTGGTGTACGATATGTATCATCTATCCTTTCTCCGAGTCCGTACGTCTGCCGTGATTGTTGGTGTACGATATGTATCATCCTAGGAGTATCCTTTTTCCGAGTCCGCAAGGTCGTTGGTGTACGATACGTATCATTTTAGGAATAGCCTTTTTCTGAGTCCATGTGTCTGCTATGATTGTTGATGTACCATATGTACCATTCTAGGAGCATTTGTCTCCCGATTCTTCGTTTCTTCGAGCCATACAACCTTTGACGACATGCATATACCATTCTAAGAGTAGCCCACCGTAAGAAAAGTCGTGTTAGGCCTAGGACGATGGTCTCCTAGCCAGACCCATAGAAGAAGGAAGACGGTCATTGGCTTTAATGAAGCGAACGCCGAGTGCAATAGGCAAGCAGAGACCGATCTGGTTCCATTCGGTATGAAAGACGGAATGAAAAAGAGAGAGAGAGAGAAACCGAGAGGCAGCCCAAAAAATTCACGCGACTGCAGCGATGATTAGGCATCAATCATAATGGGAACGCAGTAGGAAGGAGCACTCCACCATAAGACAAGTTCACAAGGAGCTTTTCCTGAACCAATTCAACCTAGCTGGGTCACGCTGTAGACGGAAAGTAGGAATTGAATACCTCAGTTCGGGTAGTCCTCCGTACAAGGCATGATGCGTAGGGGACCAGGGACCGAATCAGCCACGACACGCCATCCCGTCATTCTTGTCAACAGTACTAGCCATCATCGGGAGTGAAAACGAAAATGTCATCACCGGTTGGTGTCACCTCCATCCCTGCACCACAGCTATCGATGGTAGGCGGGGTGATGGTACTTTGGGCAGACCTGTCCCCCAGCTGTGGAATCTGCATACAGTCTGCGTAGACTCTGCGTCACAGCTAAATCCCGCACTTCCTGAATGAACGACTGCCATCTTACATTTCATGCAACCAGATCCGGGATATGGTCTAGCAGAATGAGACTGGGGGCATGAGTGTGGCACGACTTTACCAGCCTGCGTCGAAGAGCAGGGCATCTTGAAAAGAAAGAACGACTGCTATCTTCCGTCTTATGTTACCAGATCTTGGATACCCAAAAACTAGTGCCACATTAGACTGGGATTGGCAGTATGGTCGGATCACAGTTCATGCAGTAGAATGGTGAAGAACGACAAAGGGAGCTTTGGGTAGCTCAAAATCAAATTACTTCCCAACTTCGGTTAGATAATCTGTACAAAATATGCTGCTATAAATCTCCGGTACAGCGCAATTGTATCTATACAAAACATGAACGAGAGCATTGCCAAGGTAAATCGTAATACATATGCAAATGCGATGGAGCGATGAGTGCTGAAGACCAAAAACAAAACAAAAAAACTAGGTGCAATCCGTTGAGTGGACCCATTAGATCCGGGTGCTTACAATGAGCTCCGGACGACGTCAGTAGCGGGCGATATGACAGCGACCAATACTGAGATATCTGCAGGCTCTTGAGAAAGGTGCAAGTCATCAAGTCAATAAACGCACCATCTATTTTGCCGCCTCTGAATGGTTTCCCTGATTCCCTTGCACGACATGCAAACGGTACCTCATCCTCCATATCAAACACGCCGTCCTCAATGTCTCGCCCCCTTCTCTCGCTCACGCGACGTGCACGTGAACAGAGCGCTTCGCTCAGCATGCCTGCTAGCGTTCGACGGCCCAAAAGACCCTCACGGCCCTCCTTGTCACTCTTCAGGAATGAGCGCTTGAACCGCACTACTTCATCCAGTACCTCATAATCCCACAAGTTATCAGAGAGCCCATCGGAAGCAAGAATGAGAATATCGTCTGATTGGACTGGGAGGCTGAGGATCTGGGCATCTCGAGGGCGTGCAGAGGATGCTGGACCGAGCTGCACGGGTGTGTTGAAGGCTCTCCACATCTCTTCGCTGCGCCACGCGATGTTCTCGTCGCGCACCAGCATGCCCATGCAGTCTCCGAGATGGGCGATCTTGAGTACTGCGTCATGAGTTTCTTTGCGAGAGGCTGTGTCCGGAGGGTTCTGGAAGATGAATGGGCGGGGTGGGGAGGTGGCTGGGGGAGGCGTACTGGAAGAGTGTTGGAGGACTGCGACGAGCGCTGTTGAAGAGCCTGTCATGAGGGGGATCATCTTTGGAAGGGAAGGTTCTGGTGCATGTGGGGTGGACTGTGGGGAATCGGCGGAGGTGGTGAGGGGTACCTCCTCGGGTATGGATGCGAGTCCTGGAGATAAGGCCGCCTTCGTAGGCGGACAGGGAGGCTCTGGAATGACATGAGCCTTGAGGGTCTTCTCGTATGCACGTTCGAGGATCATTAGGACATCCAGTCCGTCTTCAAGATCCTCCAAAGAGTCTTCGAGCTCTTCGTGAAGCTCGTCTATTTCGGCCTTCCACGGCCATGCGGCATTGTGGACCGTCGATCCCGGATGCCGGTGCGGTGATTTGGACCGAGTAGGGGATACATCCCGGCGACGGAATGATGAGGCCTCGGCTTGGAGGGCCTCTGCCGAACAATGGTGCATTAATCGGCGGGCGAATAATGCACTAGGTGACGGATCTGTGGATACATGATTTGACGAACTAGTATCTGAGAGTAAGGTTGAGAATATGAAAAGTCTGATGAGAATCTTCAAACATACCAGGTGTCTTGGCTCTTGACCAACCGCCGACACCATCTGCGACGCCCATAGCATTCTCCTGTATAAAGTAGGCATCCTCGCCAACTTGGACGGCGAAACTGAGATCCTCTTTCTGAGGTTGGGCGTCAATCTTTCGCCAACTATTGCTATTGGCGCCGCCTATGGCCATGCCCCTCCCCGAGACTTGGGCTTTGTTCTTCTTCGGTATACCATATGCACCGACATCGAGATGGTAGCGAACCTTTTGCTTCTTTTCCCGTGGATGGGAGTCAGTGTGGGAGTCTGCGACGGCGATATTGTAAAAGGGTATTGGTGCGAACGGGGAATAGGGAAAGAAAGAGGAAGACTGGTGTGAGGGAGGGGTGTGGGGAGGAGAGTTTGGGTTTGCTTGTGGTGAGGTTAGTGCCAAAGAGAATGGGGGCTGTCCATGTGATTGATGTGCAGAACCCTCGCCCTCTGCCTTAGCAGGAAGGCGGGATGTGGAGAGAATGTGGGGTTTGCTAGGCTGTGGCTGAGGTGGAGGTGGAGAGTCGAAAAAAGCAAGTGGATTGGAAGAACTAGTAGGTGCATTGTAAAGAGAACGAGCAGAAGGTGCTGAACCAGATCGTCTACGGGAAATTGGAGATGTGGAAGGTGCCGATGAGGATATGGAGCGGGGAATGACAGTGTAAAAGCGCTTTTGAAAGGTCTTCATCGTTGGACCTGGTGCGCTCATGTTGAGCAGACCGTCGTGCTCGATGAGCAGAGACTATTATTGATTGTACTTATACAGTCTGCAAGTATTTGATGTAAGAAGATGTGAGAACAGGCAGTGCGGGGTTAGGTGGCACCGGAAGAACACGGATGGTCGGGTCACAAGACAAACTCACACGATTTCATTGGTCACATACTCAGAGTTGTACTACGGTATATGCGAAAGCTCGTGCATGAAAGGCGAAAGATATAAGACTTTGGGTTCGCATCCTGCAAAATAACATGATGCGGATGCACGACATAGCGCAGTTACTTAACAGGCAGTCGAAGAAGAGCCATGATGCATAAAATAGATATAGTCGAATCTAATATAAGGCGACTGAACACACCTTTCGGCGCTTCGGAAAAGACAACCGCAACCCCTCAAAAGCTACCGTCTTTCAAGCCAGGAAAGGGGATGATTCCCGGGCCAGAACTTGGCCTGAAATACATATCATCCCATGATGGATTCGGAGCTCGCGACTCGCGAGCCCAGTTTGGACAGGCGTACTTGACAACGTCTGCAGCTGAACAACTTTGCTGGTGCGCTACATTTGAAAGCCCTCAAATCAGAGATTGTCTGACAATGAAGAAGTGGAATAATCGCTTCAGGGATGCCCGGGATTCGGCAAGCTTTCGACTGAAAAGCTGTCAGTAAAGCCAATTCTGGGACAATAATGAACGCCGTTGGAGTAGACTGCTATACGTGGCCATCGTGTGTCTGCAGCCAGTTCCGCTTGCAGTGGGTCTGTTACTCTGTAGCTAGGATATTGTGGATCTCCCAGACGCCGTAATAGACCTGGCTACGGTGGCGAAACGAGGAACGTCGATGGATATTTTGATCTTAGCAAGTCATGGGGTTTGATAAATAGGCTCTGCTCCGAAATTCCGAGAGTACATTGAGAAGAGCCATCCTTTCTGGAATTCCTTCAAGTGGAAAGAGTAATGAGCGAATAGGGAGTGGGGTCCCGGGTGATGGCATGATATGCACTTCAGGGAGGTTGTATTGCAATCAGAAATATAGCCATGAGTGATAGATATTCACGGGAGTACTAGCTATGTCGTTCGTAGGAATATTCATAGCGCATCGGGTCCAAGGGAAGCGATGAGGGGCAACGCGCTCAAGGCTGGCACGTGTGGGTCGTATAACTTGTAGACCTCTGTTCCTGGGAAGCCGTGCAAGCATCTTCACAATGAAATGTGCCCGCCCGGCTTGGCAACAAGCTGCTCAAGTTGGACCGCGGATGGATTCGATGAAATTCGGATGCAATGAGTCAACATTTCTCTTTGTCGGCTGATATTAATAATCGGTGAATAGCCTATAGGTGCGATGACCTGGGTCCCTTGCCAACATTCATGGGCCCCGCACCCTTGACAGAGAGGCTATGGTATGGTACTGTCAGTTGTCACTGCAAGCGCCAATGTGCGATGCGAGAGAAATTCACATAAATCAAATGATGAACGTGTTGGTATAGCCTTGCTGCGCCTGCGAGACATCCATAAATAGGATAGGGCTGCGGCTAATTTTATTTATGAGCGGCAAAGGCTGAGATCAAGGGTAAGGCCACGTAAATATCATCCTGAATGTCGCAACCACCACCAATTCCACCTCTTCCAACGGACTACGGTGCACCTCGACCACCACTACCACCACCTATACCACCACTTCCAATAGAATATCTAAGAGAACAATCCAAATCACCTTTACCTGCTCCTCGTGCTCATCGAGTTGATCTAGATCTACCATACAACGTGAGTTCTCATCTCCATCCATCCGTACATGCACCCAACTCATTACATACTAGATGGCTAGATCCTTGGATAATGCTGTTTATCCCCCTCATCAACGTAACCCAAACCCAGGTTTCATCCTACCACTTCCTACTGCCGTTCCTCTCCCTGTTTCACCACGTCCACACCACTCTCCTTCAATGCCACCACCTCAACCTCACTACCCACGACACTCTCCTCCTGCACGTGCTCAAAGTCAGAGCGCCGTTCCCAGTCTCACAGCCCCTATTCCAACCGTACAGTCTCTCTCCATCGCACTTCCCACAATACAACAGCCCGCTCACGATCCTGCACTCAAACTCGCTTGGGCCCGTGACGTTCTTGTCCTCGTAGATCGTACTCAAAATCCTACCGCAACTGACATCCCAGCGGGTCCAGTCACAATTACTGATCCACAACTACAACGTCTCATCGCAAACCGCAGTCCCTCTCATACAGCACCTTGCAAACATAAATCAACAACCACTTCCTCTATTCGCAGCTGAAGCAATATACCTCCGTGCCACCCTAGAATCAAGCGGTGCTTACCCGGATCGCATCCCACACAATCCCCGTCAGGCATTCCGCGATTTCGAAGCGGCTGCACGTGCAGGTTACGCTGCTGCATGGTTCCGTCTCGGTCGCGATTACGAAAACTTTAACGATGCAGTCCATGCCAAAGACTGTTTTGAACGAGGCGCAAAGTTGGGCGTCGAAAGCTGTGTTTATGTACGTCTCTCAATTTGTTTTTCTATCATTTATCTCACCGGCTTCTAGCGCATGGGTATGGCCAATCTATTGGGTCAATTAGGGTTTCCTCCAAATCCGGCTGCTGCCCTCCCCTTTTTGCAGCGCGCAGCTACACTCGCCAGTACTACTACCCCTCAACCCGCCTATGTCTTTGCCCTCCTTCTCCTCGGCGAATTCTCCGCTGCTTCATTGCCTGCCTCTCTCCTACCTCAACCGCACATCGCTCAATCAGAGGCCCGCCGCCACCTCGAGCGTGCAGCCTACCTTGGTTTCGCACCCGCACAATACAAGCTCGGTCACGCTTACGAATTTGCAAGTCCACCTTTCCCCTTTGATGCATTGCTCAGCGTCCAGTATTACTCTCTCGCTAGTCAGCAGGGCGAGGTCGAGGCAGATATGGCCCTCAGCAAGTGGTTCTTGTGCGGTGCGGAAGGTGCATTCGACAAGGACGAAAGTCTTGCTTTCACCTTTGCAGAAAAAGCTGCCAGGCGCGGGTTACCAAGCGCTGAGTTTGCCATGGGGTATTATAAAGAGGTCGGCGTGGGCGGTGAAAAGGATATCCAGGAATCGATGAAGTGGTACTCCATCGTATGTCTTCTTTTCGTGTTCATCGATTATCACTCACGAGTTTGCAGGCTGCTGAACATGGAAACACAGATGCTGTAGAACGTATCGCAGCGCTTAACCAGGTCGTCCCTCAAGCCCTTTCACGACAAGAGCACGACACCATCACCGAAGCCCAACTTGTCCGAAAGCGTACTCAAGCACGGGAACGATCAAGTGGACAGCCACGCATGAGCGCGGAAGATGGAAGACAAGTCATGGAAATGGCGAGAAAGAGTTCAATCGTGCGACAGCAATCACCACCCCAGTCGCATGCGCACATGATCTCGCTTGTTGAGAATTCATCGCCTTCTGCTGTACCCCAGCAACTACCTCCACAACAACAACAGCAACAGCAACAACAGCAACAGCAACCGCAGAGGCAGTTCGCGGGTCAACATCGGTACACCCTTGTAGACCCTGGATCTGGGGGTGCGCCGCCGTCGCGTCAACAGTCACCGTCACAACAGCCACAACCACAGCCAGCGTATGCAAGAGCGGCTGGGAGACCGCCTGGCCAGAGGCAGGGATCAGGGCCGCCTCAGGGGCAGTCACCACAGGCTCAGGCTCAGGTCATACCGGGCGACAGAGCACCTACTCCTCAAGGGTCTACACGTCCCCCGGGTCCAAAACCCCCCACGACGTTTGCAGAGATGGGAATTCAAGGTGCAAAATTAGAGGAGAAGGAATGTGTCATTATGTAGGTGCTCCGTGTATACCCTTTTTCGAACTCTTTTTTTGGCGACCATGTTTCAGTTTGTGAGCTTTTTACGTAGGATTACATGGACGTAATGGCTAGATGTCATGTTTTCGTTTATACCTGGTGTAATGCTATCATGGGCTTTATTATAATTGTTTGGCTGTGTAGCCTCGGTGATGAAACGTTGCGGGATCTAGGAAAAACTTGCTGCTGCGTACTTACGTTCCTCTGATTGATCGCCGTCTAGATTACGCGGACTGTAGGCGCGGACATGACGGAACCTAGGTCAACACCAGAGCTCTGTAGTAGCACGGAGTAGGAACGAGACTCAACGTTGAAGAAATGATCCATAGAACGGAATCCTACAAAAACCTTGACATTTCCAGCACGAGTTGTGCTCACGTATACCTATCCCATACTAATCAATAATCTGCCGACGGTAAAAAAAAAAGTTAGTGTATGGTTATCAGTAATGTATGCAAAAGAGTAAGGGGAAGCGCGAGAGTGGTTTGATTGTTCGGTATACCAATGCAAGGATCGTGTGTAACGTGAAAGTGCAAAATCAAAACATGTCGACTTGAAAGCAAAATCACGGTGGTATCAAAAAAAAAACCACAAAAGGGAAAAGAAAAATCAACAGTCCCATTTCATCAGAGATCAGCACCGACAGCGTCTACGACGTATAGGACTTGCTGTGGTCGGACAAACAGTCCCCTGGACTCAGATGTTGACAGGTCCGATGCTGCAGGCGACGAACTTCGCATCCGCTTCGTGCGGTCCATTCCTACCGTCAACTGGTCTCCTTCTCGTTTTAGCCCGCGATTATCCCTCCCTGATCCGTTCATCCAGTCCATCTTCCGCCGTCTCTGCGTCTGATAATCGTCTGCGCCAAACTCCCACTCTGACCCATTACTCCCAATATCGAAATAACGGATGCCGCCCCAGGACCCATCGTTCCACTGACGGCCATCTGAGGGGTCACCAACCCAGGCCTCCAGTGGTACTTCGATGCCGACCCAGGGTCCGAGCTCACCCTCAACTTCGCCGATGTACCGTGCAAATGCCTTGAAACGCTTGCGCTTCGATGACACTATGCACGGAATGCCAACATCGAGCGTCGCGCCGCGAAGCTGAACTAAAACGTTCGCCTCCTCCGGGGAGGCAGATGATTGTTCGGGAGTCCGTACGCTTGTGGTGATCGTGTCTGATGACCCGCGGCGGGTGAGTGAAGGAGGAGAGTCTGCTGCAGGAGAGGCCCCATCTTGCGTCGGAGAGTTGGTATCATCATCATTGAGGCTGGTGATCTCGCGATCCTTGCCTTTGTCCAGGTCGCTAAGTGTAATGCGAGGCGATTTTTGAGAGTGGTTCTCGATGACTCTGCTGAGCGGCTTCCTTTGTGAGGGGGTAGTGGTTTTGGCAGGTGTACGCTTGGAGGGGGTGAGCTTGGTAAATTCAGGTGTTCCCGCGGCGGACGGATGTTCGTGTGGCGACGGAAGTGGTTGTCGTTGAAGTGGATGCAGTAGATGACAATCTTTCTCTCACAGGAGTGCCTCTGTTCGTCCCAACCGTCCTTGCGCTCGCATTTGATACAGTGGATCCTCCAGACCCCTTCCTTGAACGGGGCGTGAGCATTTCAGAATGAGCAGTCCTGAACGTAGCGTCGCTTATCGCACTCGACAAACCCGAATTCGGGCGGGGAGCAGATGGAATACGGAGTGTGGATTCTCTTGTGGAGGAACGAACGGTGGAAACACGTGAACGCACCGAGGGTGCAATGGATTTTGGCTTCGGGGAAGGTGAACAAGAAGTGATGATTTTACTCAGCGCGGGCTTGGTCCCATTTGGCGTAGGACTGACATTGCCTGTACGAGGCGAGGGTGTCTTGCGTTGCATAGCCTTCTCTGTCGTACTCGATCGCACGGATGTGATGCTCTGCGAGTCAGGTGTGAGCTTAGAGTCAGGGCGTACATCGTTAGGCTTGGGAGTCGTAGCATTGCGTGGAGACGAACGCCCAATGGTGCGCACGCTTGCCGTGGATGATGTCATTGTAACCTCACGGGCATGTTTGTGAGGGCTGTTGATATTACGGCTCAGCACAGACGCGCGCAGCGAATGCACACTAAGTGCATCAGAGTCTGCATCTCCAGTTGCAGATGACTTGCGGAAGGCAGTGCGCCGGAGGTGCGAGGGCTGAGCGGGTGATATGAGGTCCTCAACAGAGACTTCCAGTTCTGATAAAGATACAGACAAGTTTTATGAATCAAAGAAGAAGACGAGCACATAAAACGTACCCTGAGAGATCTCTTTAATGGCCCAGCCCTCGAGGCCATCGAAACCACCCTGCTGACGCGTGCCCGTCCACCGCTTTCGGATGTACCGAATGAGATCCGCACGAGCGTCTTCAACTTGCACGCGGATGTGCGAGGTGGCGGAGAGCATGGCAGCGTCTTCATCTGTCGGGTGTGGTCGTAGGAGGATATTCACAAGGCTCTGATCAAATATTAGCATCATGATAATTGACCTCACGTCAATCCTCACCTGATACATTGTTCCAGCGTGTTTCTCAACCATTCCGCGTTTAAATCGCTTCCATCACCCAGGCAACCCTCTCGCTATCATCAAACCTCTCGCCATCAGCCTCCATAATCTGTAGCCAATCATCCTGTTCGAAACACTCGGCACTCTGACTCACAAGACATTCATCGATCGCTTTCCGCGCCTGTAGCACCATCTCCCGCGACGTGTCTGCCCAGGCATCAATGACAGAGTCAAGCTTTTTTATCGCGTGCTGCGCGGCGAATAATAGGGGAAATACGTTCATCGGCGTCGTCCGCTTTGCTAGACCCTTTAGCAGATTTTCTCTGATCTTCTGCGGGAGCGATGCGAATTCAGAGATGCACCAGCCTTCCCCGAACAGGCCTACGAGTGCCCGTCGCGCGCCCCGTTCCAAGTAAGTGTTCTTGACATCGTCTGCAAGCGCAAATTCGAGCACACGTGGGGCTCGCCGAGCGCACTGTCGGCACCGACACCCGCCAGTACCCCACTTGGACCCTGTGATGCGCTCATACTCGTTGAATTCGAGAGACGCATGAAACAGCCCATGAATCATCTCGTACACGATCCGGGCCTGTATTTCAGCGACCAGCCCGTCCAAAGATAGGTAGGTCGCCGACTTAAGGATCGCGAACGCGGTGTCCAGGTCGTATGTCCGGTGGGAGAACACGAGGGTTCCGGTGTAGATGTACCCCAGAGTAAAATGGAGCGAGGCGGGGGTAAAAGGAGGCGAGGGGAGCGTGACTGTGATTGGTTCGCCAGGCTTTGCGGGCTGGGCCCAGTTCAAGAGCTGCGCATGGAAGTAGGGGGAGCGAGACACGAGAATGAAGCGGTGGGAAGAAAAAATAGCGGTTGCTGGCTCGTGATTTGTCGAGGAAAAGGTGCCAGATAGAGCGATACGTACGTCAGAATAGAGACGAGATCGCCACATAAACACGAGGTCTTTGCGCAGCTTGTCAACGCGGTTCTCCTCTGCATCAACAAGCTCGCGCGACTCTGAGGTATCAAAGAGAAATTCAAATGCCTCGCCAAGTCCCTCGCCTGTGTACAAATATTCCAACTCATTGGAAAACAGCGTTGTGCTACTAATAGCTGGTATGCGCATGACGGTGTTGAGGTTGGTGGAGGGTGAAGGGGATGATGAACGGTACGGAGATGGAGAACGAGATGTCTGAGCGTAGTCCAGGGTGAGACTCAAGGACATGGCAGACTGTGCTGGCGCTGGAGAGGGACTGGTAGAGTAGGGAGTCGGGGAAGCGATGGGAGGGGGACGGAATTGAAAGTAGCGTTGCTGGAAGGAAGGCGGGGGCGCGTGCATACACGATAGCTGGATTTTATTAGCAAAGACGCGATGAGCGAACTCTAGGTACAACTACCTTTGTGGCCCCAAACTTCATCGTGATCATCGTTATTATCGTCGGAGTGGAGTTCCCAAACAACATCTGCAAATCGATCCTTTGCTTGGTGAAAGAGGTTAGTGAGGTCATTACGCCAGGCTCGTGTTGACTGTCTTGTCGCTTCCTGGACAGTATACGATGGCGTAGAACCAACACCGGCCATCGCCATCGCCTGCAACGATGAATACGACGAGCAATCGAATGGAGACGGTGTGGAGGACGGTCACGAAAGTTGCAAGCACCAGAAACACGTGTTGTAATAGGGTTAAGGTTATTGCAGGTAAGCCAAAGAAAATAAAAATATTAATTCCAGGGTTAAGCCACTAGTCGTAAGTACAAGGATATGATTATGTAATCACCGCAAGCAACACGCCCCAAACCAACTTCAAAATCAAAACAACTCCTCCTCTTCGGGCTTCCAATTCTTCGCCTGATCCCAATACCCCGCTAACCTCTGCCCCAACACCTCCTTAGCCATCGCATCCGTGGGACACCCCCTAGGCTTAAACGTATTAAACGCCCGATCTCTAAGTTGACCCTCCCACACGAGATAACACGCATTGTTTTCGAGAGAGACTGTTTCTTCGGGTTCTGCGGATTTACCAGGACCACCAGGGCCAGTAACATCACTGAAAGTGGCGCCATTGGTTTCTGTGCCTTCTTCGCTTGCGTTATCGAGGACCACATCCTCCCCACCGCGCGGACGCGCAGCTTCGGTCCAAGTGATACGATGAAGCATCAACCGCTTATAATTCTGAATGAACTTGGAAGCGCCTTCGACATATACCATGCTAAAGGCAGGATTAAAAATGCACACGCCCGTTAAGTTGAGTTGTTCTGCGTTTTTGCGGACTTTGAAGCGGTGGGAGGGGTCTGTGAGCGTTTTGACCCTGTTGCACAAGTAAACGTAGAAAAGTGAGTGAAAGCAAAGTCAGCTTGGATAGTACCGATGAGCGAGGGGCGCGCACTTGAAAACAGCTCCAACAATACCCTTCTTCTCCTGTTCAGTTTTCTTATTCTCGATCTTCTCTCTGCGTTGTTCATCTGTAAGTTTACGTTCCGCATTCGTCTTTTCGTGCGTGTGTTTTCTCATCGCGACTTCTCTGCGCACGCGAGCTTCGACGCGCGTGGGGTCTTGGACTGCGTCTGATGTCAAAACTTTCATGAGGTTCGACAGGCGGACTGTGTGACACGAATCGTCAGCAAGGTCGAAAAGGTTTAAAGCAGTTGAAACATGCCTTTGGGTGGGTCAGGCGGGATGAGACCCATACGAATACGATCACGTTTATCTTGACGTTCGGCTTGACGGCGCTGCTTTCGCATCTTCTTTGTCTCCTGTAGTGTCATGTCAGATTGTACACACCCATACAAGATATATGCGTGCCTTTTTGGTCAACATGAGCGGTTTCAAGCCAATTTTGTTTTCTTCCATTGGAGCTGGGATGGGAATAGGGTGCTGGACGTACAGTGTGACTGGCGAATCCTGAGTTCGGATGTTGAGATGCGAAAATCCGAGGTAAAGATCATCGTAGGTTTTGTTTGGCAGTAGAGCTGCATCCCACCATTCCACTGTTGGGGGAGGTTCACGCTAGGAGCCATGGTTAGGGATGAAATGAATGATTGAGTATGGACGTACCTTGATGTTCTTCTCCAGAGTCTCGAACTCTGAATCTAGACCAGCTTTACGCGCACTCTCGGCAATACGTTGCTTGAGCGCCTCGAGCTGCGCTTCCTGACGCATTTGTTCGGCGAGCTGTTGATACTTGCCTTGAGGATTGAACCGGAAAGTGCGACCATGACGCTCCTTTGGTGCACCTTCGAAACCACTGTCTTTGGCTGCGGTCGAGCTGGAAGCGTAAGGGTTGGCTTTGACTTCGACAATAGGGACTGGGGTTGGCGCTGGAGGAGGGGTTGGCGCATTTCGGATGTTTGCCTTGGAACAGAGTCAGTTTCAAGGACATGTGTAAGCCAGTCGTGCGCACCTTGATTGAAGCGAACTTGGGCTGCATTGGTTTGTATCGATCCTTCTTCGACTGTGGTGCAGCAGGAGCGGTATCAAGGAGAAGGGGATGAGCGGTCATCTTCAAGCCAGCGCCTTGTTGGGCTGGTTCGATGGGCTTATGCTTCTTGCCCATTTGAGGCACCGACTAGACGTATGACTTAGAAGTAAACATCGTCGGAAATTGAGGAGACTGACCATGTATGGGTTATCCTTGACGGCAAGCTTCGTTTGTGCCTCTGCCACACGGCGCTTGGCCTCTGCGACCTTGCGAGCAAGGTCTTCGGTGTTCTGAAGCGGCGTGCCTGGAGCTGGTGAGGGGCTGTCTGTCTTGACTGGTGGAGCCTTTGCAAGACCAGATATGCCGCCTTTCATGGCTGCGACCTTTGCCGCAATCTCTGCTCGTTTCTGCGCGATGAGAGCATCTCCAGATAGCTGTTGAGAAATAAATGAGTGATTGAATGAGCTTGAGAGAGATGCACTGACAGCTGCTGGGGCGTTGTTCCCATTAGAGTGAGCCTGTAAGGAACAAAGGGTTATAGAGACATGTGAGAACGATGTAGCAGGTGAATTCACCTTGAAGAAAAGAAAGTTGGACTCACAAAATCACTAGAAATAAGGGATGAGCCGGCTAAACAAAGGCACTAGTAGGATTGACTGACTTTTTTTGTTTTTTTTGTTAATGGAGACTCGCCATTGCCGTCGAATGCTCGCTTGCTCATTGTTCGTGGTGGCAAACAGAAGCTGCGCGCTCAGTTCAATATCACTTGACACAGCTTAACCCCTCCAAGTGGGGTTATGTCGAGAAATTATGGTGCGAATCACTTTTATGGTCTTAGAGGCACCTCAACGCATAATTCGGACCTTATTAGATTGCCATAATGGGGTGGGAATGGCATTCTACTTGGCAGAAGTATGATCTTCACTATCCCACTCACTGCCAGTAATACCACGAATAAATGCTTTATTCCCTAAACACTTGCTAACATAACTTGGCTATTATAGGAGGCTGCCGAGGGTAACTGTTGGCTAAGTCAGCAACGTGATTCCCAGGCAATCCCCTCCACTTTTGGCAGCACCCACGATGTGTGCTCATCACCCATATGCACTCGCTGTTCCCCACGATGAGCAAGGTAAGTCCCTCAGCTCTGGACCATTTTGTTTCATTTTTTATTCATTCAGATGCTATATATGTTGCCAATCACGCTCGTCACATTCCTAAAGGCCTGTGCCCTTGAGGGCACCTGTCATATCCTGTATTCCAGACCTATGTCCGATGATGTTCCCACACCTTCTGGATGCACATTCGGACATCCATACCCTTATCCATGACTCCAGTACTCCAGTCCACTATCAGTTCGGATCTGTACACCTTCATACATCCATATATCCATACCTACGGACCTCTGCAGCTAAGCCTGCTTCATCCACCCTTGATCCTATTGGATCCGATGTAGAGGCTCGATCCTGGGTAGCCTCACAATGGCACATATTGCAACATAGGTCGAGTCTACAGTATCATGCATGTAACACGACACTTGCGCGATAAACGCGACGCGCGCGACTTAGGCAACACTTCCGCGACATAGGCGACACTTCTGCGACTTGCGCGCGCTTTAGGCGAATTTTCCCGCGCCTAAGCGCTATAGGGCGCCTGACTTCCCACTGTGTTTTCCCATGTCCAACCAAGTTCCCAGGTATGCATTTCTCCATTTATCATTTATTTCAACATCGTACCATGTTTATTTTCACTTGGTACACATTTTTCACTACACATTTTTTTACTTTACACAACACACATTACCACGGACCACCATCATCATAGACAGTCACCATCTCCGAGTTTTTATTATGTTTTGAATAAATCATCGCAAGCCCTAGTAGCAGTTAGCTCTAGTGGCCATATCCGCATCAGTTGTCTTATCAGCATCTCAGTACACGTCTTAACATCTCACTATCGCTCGCATACCGCTTTCACCCAGTTCCGCTTTTCGACGTGCGACTTTCCCACGTGCTTCGCGCGCCTATAGCGCCTTTGTTCCCGCGCTTTCGCCTTATCACGCGCTTTGCGCATTCCCCCTAGAGTTGACCAGTGGATATTTGCTTTCTCCGCTTCCCCTAAGGGACGAACATATCGCACTCATATTTCCTCCCTTCAACAATTATATCAGCTGCACCCTCAGCTGAGTTGAAGATCCTTCAACTGGAGCCCACCGCGAGGGGATCAGTCAGCACATCCACACATATCCAACTCCATTCCACTCTACTCCACTATCCGCATATCCGCTTCCCACATTTTCGCCTTATTCACATTATCGCGTTTCTGCCTATTCCGCCTTTCGCTATTTCCGCCTATTCCGTGCATCCGCATATCTGCCTTTTCTGCTATTCCGCCTAAAATCGCGAAATTCGCGATTCACGTGCCTCCGCTTTCACGCTATGAATGCGCCAGTAGATTCCCTTGGCATGCCTTTGCGCACATACAGTGCAGCTCCACGTTTTGGAGGTGACTACACTCAGCTGGTCAACTTCCTGGAGTCAGTAGAACGACTTGCGCAACCACTTGGGCTGTCAGATAAGGACATCATCAAGTATGCCTTGAAGTATACTGCGCCTAACGAGAGAGAGCTGTTTTCAGTACTACAAAGGTAACAACTACGAAGAGTTCGCTAATTCCGCCTTGTTCATGTACCCAGAATGTGGCATTGAGCGCCGTTATACACGCCCTACTAGCGCGCAATCCGCTATTCCGCTTCCGCCTTGAAGCGCACCATGAAGCGCCACTCGTAGGCGCACCTCAGCAACCAGAACACGCCTTAGATCAGCCAGCAGTTGCAGTCATGGCGCCAGTACACGAAACACGTGAAACCATTCCCCTTCCGCCTACTCCAGCATCGCCTATCATTGAAATTGCTTTCGCACCAGCCCATATCGAGGCGCCTATTGTAGGCGAACCTACAGAGCTTCAAAGCGACCCAGAAGATCAGTTGGACGAAGTTGTTTTACCCCAGCAAGAAGTACAAGCACCTACCGCTATCGCGAACGCGCTAAACGCGCCACTAGAGGAGATCGCATCACCCATCATCAACAACGACCTCAAACCCCCATCGCATTTTAGCGCGCCTATTCAGGAGCATTCTGCAGTGCCAGAGCTCCAAAATGCGCCATACCTTGACCAGAGTTTGTCTCTGGTAAATCCGCTTGTTACTGACAATACCGTGCATATTGCGTGTTCCGCTTTCAGTGACTTCCGCTTGCCAGTCAAACATCCTTGCATCACATCACCCACTCACCATATAGATCATGTCTCAGGCGACCCTGACGCGCCTCCAGTGCACCCTATGGCGCCTGAAATCGTGCAGTTTGCGCGCCTAGAGGCAATGTACATTCAACCTTCGCCTTTTTCGCCTTTTTCGCTTGTTTCGCATTTTTCGCTCTCAAGGAGTTTTTTATCAGTTGCTAATACTTTGCTTTCCCCTTCAATCAAGCTCACCATCATTCCCTCACTTAGGCGCCACAGTCGCGCGCCTAACGCCTTAATTCTCACGCCGAAGGCGCCCATCATTACACCAAAGTTTTCCCTCGATCGCGTTTTTACCACCTTATCACTTTTAAATCGCATTCCTTGCATTCATCATGACTTATATTTCAATCAGCCATTCAGGCGCGACTTAGGCGCGTGCCTGGCATGTACACATCCGCCTACAGCATCCATCATTACAATTAACTTCACATCATTTGTCCTTATTCGCATTTTTCGCGTTTTCGCCTATCACGTCCATATCACCTTTTCATTTTCTATCAAACACCAACCATTCATGACCAAGCGCCTATGGCGCCTTGATAAATCGTCCATACTCATCATCTGCGCCTTATTCGCGCCTAATCTTGCTTCATATTCATCTTTCACTAACGCGTTTTCAGTATATCAGCCTATCCTCGCAAATCCAGAGGATATAATCATTTTCGCGCCTAAATGCGCTAACGTGCCAGCGTCGCCTGCAGCCTATCATGCTGTAGTGCATCTCTACTACCCTCGCCTCGCCTCGCCTTGGCGCGCGCCTAATAGGCGCCACCAAGTGCAAGAATTCATCCCTCCAGTCACTAGTCCGCCGCCATCGCGAGTTTGCAGAAGATTCAGTTCATGCCCGGTTGAAGAAGTTGTTGCAGAGTCTTGAAGATGAGGATCACATCATTTCCTGTCGCCTACCACTGTCGCCTCACGCGCCTTCGCCTCGCGCCTCATCCGCTTCAACCGCTTCAACCATCATTTCGCAAACATCAGCATATACCATGTTTTTCATAGGATATAGTTTGTTTTACCCTGGTTTTCATCCAGCGCTTTTCACCTTTCATTTTTATTATCATTACATCGCCCTTAACACTAATAACACACTGATATATACACTTATAGATCCGCTTAGAAGAAAACAAGAAAAACAACAAAACACCCATAGACTCGTGCCCACCTCACCCAGTAGGATATTATTTTCGCTTCTAACGCATGCTGTGGCACCATGCACATTATTACCTTAGAATGCTCCCCTATAGCGCCTCATTCTCGCGCTTATCGCCTAATTCCCGCGCCTTACGCGCCTCGCGCGCGCGCTTTTTTCGCGCTTAGCGCATAGAAGGACATAGATGTTGATAGTTGCACGAAGAAGACAAGACGGACAGGACATCTGCAAAGTTTACCATTTCACTTTCGCTTTTTCACTTATATTTTTACTCATGTCATTCATTCCCTTAGCACCTGTTTCATAGCGCGCCTAGTGGGACTTGGTTTGGACATGGGTTGGACCACTTCCTCAACACGCAGTTTCGCCTTCCACACCTTGGATATCACTGGACATTCGCCTCTTCACCTTCCCTGCACTATGCGATGCTTACGCGGCATACGCGACATTCGCGCTTATCACGCACATCCGCGCACCTCAGGCGCCTCAAGCGCGAATGTTCCCGCGCCTTACACAGCACATTCACGCCACACTCGCATCATCAGCCATCTATTGTCATCATGAGTTCGCATCCTTACGCCATCTTGAAGAGTCGCTATCACTTGAATACCGCATTCGCGCACTTCCGCTTCATAAGCGCGAATGTTCCCACGCTTCGCGCGCCTATGACGCCTTATTCACGCGCATACACACATCACTCTCGCCTCATTGCAGTCATCTCCATATCATTCAGGCAGTTGTCACCATCACATCCCCAAGCTTTTGATTGTGTTTGCACACACCAGAGTCACTTCGCGCATTCCGCTGTTCTACCGCGCTTTCACGCCCCTATGACGCCTTACGCCTGCGCCTCTCCCGCGCCTAGCGCGCCATTGTTTTGCCAGTCTCGCCTCATCACATTCGCCTCAGACACGCTCGCAGTACACTCCTCTCGCATCACATACCCCCATCACAACTTCGCTTGAGTTCACCACTTGATGCACTGAGTGGGGACACTCAGAATTTAAGCCCCCAGGAGATGTAGAGGCTCGATCCTGGGTAGCCTCACAATGGCACATATTGCAACATAGGTCGAGTCTACAGTATCATGCATGTAACACGACACTTGCGCGATAAACGCGACGCGCGCGACTTAGGCAACACTTCCGCGACATAGGCGACACTTGCGCGACTTGCGCGCGCTTTAGGCGAATTTTCCCGCGCCTAAGCGCTATAGGGCGCCTGACTTCCCACTGTGTTTTCCCATGTCCAACCAAGTTCCCAGGTATGCATTTCTCCATTTATCATTTATTTCAACATCGTACCATGTTTATTTTCACTTGGTACACATTTTTCATTACACATTTTTTTACTTTACACAACACACATTACCACGGACCACCATCATCATAGACAGTCACCATCTCCGAGTTTTTATTATGTTTTGAATAAATCATCGCAAGCCCTAGTAGCAGTTAGCTCTAGTGGCCATATCCGCATCAGTTGTCTTATCAGCATCTCAGTACACGTCTTAACATCTCACTATCGCTCGCATACCGCTTTCACCCAGTTCCGCTTTTCGACGCGCGACTTTCCCACGCTTCGCGCGCCTATAGCGCCTTTGTTCCCGCGCTTTCGCCTTATCACGCGCTTTGCGCATTCCCCCTAGAGTTGACCAGTGGATATTTGCTTTCTCCGCTTCCCCTAAGGGACGAACATATCGCACTCATATTTCCTCCCTTCAACAATTATATCAGCTGCACCCTCAGCTGAGTTGAAGATCCTTCACCGAGCTCATTCCATCTCAAACTTTACCTTCCCTAGACTACCGGTCTATATCCATGATCCATATCCTAGTCTCGTCTTCACCTAGATCTCTGGATCCGCTCATCCGATATCCAGACGCCTCATCCGATATCTCTAGACCTTCAGATCCGACCTATACTCATATCCGAAGCTCAAACCTTAAATCAGTGTCTATCTCCTTATGGTAATCCCCTTGACTCTGGACTTCGGTTATCTGTGTTTCCCTCTTGCTTATTGATCCTTGTACTCTGTTCATATCCGAGTTCATTTACTTATGTTCCATTCATACTTACCAATATGTTTCCACATGCTTGTACATAGCATTCGTGTTCAGCGTACTGATCCTCTCGGATCCCTTCCAGTATATAAACCTCTGTACAACTCCTGTAAAGTTTCCTGAGTTCGAATATCAACATAGACTTGCTCTCTCTCGCATCTGCTCTTGGACTTTGGTCCATCTTAGTCTGACCTTTCTTTAGGCCTAGGGAAGGATTCCCTAGGCTGACTTTCCAGTCCTCTGGATTTATCCTTCCGTCTACATCCACGCTTAGGGATTGACTCCCTAAGCTGGAGTTTTGCCTTTCCAGCACTTCCTGTCTTTCCAAGACTTCTGTCTACTTCCTGTCAACTCCGTCTCTACTTAAGTGTAGTCTACCTCTGTTTGTTTCTACTCTGGACCTTGTGCGTAGTAGCGTTTCTCCTCCTGTCCTAATCCTGTCCGCTCCTCCGGTCCTCCTAGACCTTTGTACGTCGTAACCTTTGTACGTCATAACCTTTGGATGTCTTAACCTTTGGACGTTGTAACATTTGGACCTCCGGATGTCCTGTCCTTCGGACCACTCCTCCTATCCTATCCTGTTTTGGACTCTGTCCATTGCAGTCCCTCCTCTATGTGTTTCCATCTAAGAAGCTTACTATGGGAAGTCCTTCAGCACTCCACCAGAGTAGCCAGTCTCCGGAAGTCCTTTGGACTTCGTCGGATTCTATCCAGACTTCATTCTGAAATTAAGGGCACGTACTCGGGTAAGGGGCACAGCGCACAAGCTGAGGCCAAGCCCTTTGGATCTGGTACCTCTTGAGTACGGTCTTAACAGCACCATGTATCAAGTGTAAGTCACTTTACTGGAACTAGAGTTTAAAAGTCTGGTCAAGTCCGGTTTTTTGCCTAATCTGGATGCAACTGGACCTGAACCGGTCCTTAATTTAGTGCTACTATGGTTGGACTCAAACCGGACCAACGGAAACCGGTCTTCGCTGATTAGAAGGGTCTTGCAGTCAGTCTTGGACCGGTTGGGAGTGCAACTGGTTCAAAAACCAGTAAAACCAGTTAGAACTGAGTTTTCAATATGTAAATCTACATGTTGGCAACATGATGTGTATATAGTGATGCACTACTGGTACCCACAAAGCCCACTGCTCATCCATACCCACCAAGCCCACCACCATCATGTATCGAAAATCTTCTTGTCCTAAAAAACCATCTGAAAAGGCTGCAGCGATGGCTTCGTCACATTCTCATAACAATACATGGTCTCGCCCACCAAAGTCCAAGGTGTCCCCAAAGCATGCGGGAAAGCGAAAAAGAGCACCTAGTAGTGAGGACAAATCACCATCTGAGTCAGATGATAGTATCATCAAAGAAATGCGCCATACCTCAAAAAGAAGGCGGGGGTGTAGAGACTCGATCCTGAGTAGCCTCACAATGGCATATATTGCAACATAGGTCGAGTCTACAGTAATATGCATGCAACGCGACACTTGCGCTAATAAACGCGACGTTCGCGCGGCGCGCGCGACTTAGGCGACACTTCCGCGACATAGGCGACACTTGCGCGACTTGCGCGCGCTTTAGGCGAATTTTCCCGTGCCTAAGCGCTATAGGGCGCCTGACTTCCCACTGTGTTTCCATGTCCAACCAAGTTCCCAGGTATGCATTTCTCCATTTATCATTTATTTCAACATCGTACCATGTTTATTTTCACTTGGTACACATTTTTCATTACACATTTTTTTACTTTACACAACACACATTACCACGGACCACCATCATCATAGACAGTCACCATCTCCGAGTTTTTATTATGTTTTGAATAAATCATCGCAAGCCCTAGTAGCAGTTAGCTCTAGTGGCCATATCCGCATCAGTTGTCTTATCAGCATCTCAGTACACGTCTTAACATCTCACTATCGCTCGCATACCGCTTTCACCCAGTTCCGCTTTTCGACGCGCGACTTTCCCACGCTTCGCGCGCCTATAGCGCCTTTGTTCCCGCGCTTTCGCCTTATCACGCGCTTTGCGCATTCCCCCTAGAGTTGACCAGTGGATATTTGCTTTCTCCGCTTCCCCTAAGGGACGAACATATCACACTCATAGTTTCCTCCCTTCAACAATTATATCAGCTGCACCCTCAGCTGAGTTGAAGATCCTTCAGCGGTGACTAAGCGTGCACAGTGCCAGAGCCAAGTAGCTGTTGAGGTTATTGAAGATAGTGGACCCGAAGAAGAGACACCAGGGATAGTCAATACTGAAGCTACAGAAGATGGCACTGAATTTGAAGAGATAGCTAATCCAAGTGGTAAAGAGCAGAATGAGAGAGATGAGGTTGGTCTCTTATTACCCTGAAATAAAACATTAGCTCAGTTGCAAAAACAGGACAGTGATGACAGTCTTGAAGATAGACATAGCGCAGCGCTGCCTGAAGCACTGAAACCCAAGAACAGATCCGATGGACATATCCGTCGTCTGGTCCACAGATCTGATCTGATTCTTATTTCATGTTCTGTTCATATAACTCTAACTATCATTCATCTCCTTTTGGTATTCCTGTACACCAGTATTCCAGTTATCCTTTACTTCCGCTACACTTACTGATCCGCTTTAACTTATACTTCATTCCTGGTTCATGATTTGTGATCCATCCGACTTACCAATATGCTGTGCACATACTTTGCTTATACTTCATACATAGCCTCGCACCTTTGCTTATTGATCATTCCGTTAGTTATCTGTAGTATATAAACCCTTGTACATGCGCTGTAGTAGATCAGTTCAAATATCATCTTAGATTGCACTCATTCCATCTGGACTCTAAGTCCCTCTGTTGTCTGTCCGGACTTGAGTACAATACTCTTGTCTACTCCGAGACTTAGGATTGACTCCTATAGTCTGTATCTTCGCCTCTGTCTTCGGACAGTCCTCATCTGTTAGTTTCTAGTTTGGATCTGATCCGGATTAGCTGTTACTCTATACGTTCAATATCCAGAAGCCTTAACAGATCCGTTACGGTACTTATCTGTCCTACTAGATGCGATACTTCAGTACTCTGAAATAAGGGGCAAGACTCAGGAAAGGGGCACAGCGCATGAGCTGAGGCCAAAGCCCTTCGGATCCGATACCTCTTGAGTATAGTCTTAACACTGGTGCAATATATGCAAGTAAGCAATAGCATTCAAGAAGATTTTTAAATACTTACCTCAGATAAGAGTAAATCCAAGATTTGTTGCAGAACATGGAAAATGGAAGACTTTTATGTTGGGAGCAATTCAAGCTGCCGTCAACATATTCGCAGCCATTATGAGGTGTATCAGAAGAAATGTTCCGAGATGGGACTATGCAAGCATCACCATGTAGTTCCATGTGCATTGGTGCAAGAATGGCAACAGGTGAAGCAACAAGAGAAAAGTGGTCAGAAGAACCTCACAAAGATGTTCCAAAAGAAAGTAGAGTTGTCCAATTTCTCAAGGGATGATGTGCTCCGTACAATTGCAGAGTTTGTCATCTCTGATGATCAGGTAAGAATAGTAGATTGCTGATTAGATGCAGTGCTGATGCCAAACGAAGTCGCTGGCTGTAGCAAACAAAGCCACATTTCGAAACTGTCTGGTTGCAATGCGTCCTTCTGCAACCAAGACTGATATTCCATCAATGCATGATATTACGGTCTTCATTCATAACTCCTTCCTTGATTTCTTCTCTCAAATCAAGTCTGAAATCCAAGTAAGTCATGTTTATTTTAATGAGCTACACTAACTATGTTTGCCTCATAGTCTTCAAATACTGGTCACATCTCAACAACAATGGACCTATGGTCTGTTGATCAGACAAAGGCCGCCTTCTTTGGTCTCACTGCACACTGGATACTTGCCAATAAGGAGACCTGGTAGATGGACACTCCAATCACAGGTGGTTGCATTCAAAGGTATATCAGGTGCTCATAGTGGAGAAAACTTAGGACACTACTTTGTTGGGATGTGTGAACGTGCGGGGATTGTGTCTGGTCAGTCATTGAAGGTACGTAAGTTCTAACTCATGCATATATATGTCGACTTAATTGCTGTGCAGCTTTTTTGTGTCACTGCAGACAATACTTCCAATAACGACACGGCATGTGCAGGAATTGAAAGCATCTTCCATTGCCGACAAATATATTCATTTGACACACTGCAACATCGTCTCCCTTGTCTCGCACATGTTGTCAACCTCAGCATCAGTTGCGGTCATGTCAGGAATCACAGTGGATCAGCTAACATTGAAACCAGCACGGCGATATGGGAATTTGACCCCAATGATCACAACAATCGTGTCCTTGGCAACTCATTAGATGTTGTCGCTGCAGTGCGCACCATTGCTATCAAGGTTTGTTTTATTTTATTGTATTCATTGTCATTCTACTAACATACTATACAGATTCAATGTTCTGGACAGCAGATAGAGTATTTCGAGATGCTTCAAAAGAACTGTGGCCTGGAGAATACCCTGAAGATCCCATTACACAGCAATATCAGGTGGGGCACTGCGGATGGATGCTTGGGCATGATATGCACTATGACAGGTATGTATACACTCGACTCATTGTTGACATGACACTTACCAAATTACATTGCACAGGTTATCAACATATTCATCAACACAGCAGACGAGCTCTTTGGGCCAGTCACAACCATTCGGCGCAATGAGAAACTGGTCAAGAACATTCCTTGGACGGCATTTACCTTCAAGAATGCAGATTGGGAGCGCGTGAATGATGCGCAAGAAATCATCGCTGTAAGTCAACATTTTCTTATATATCTCATGCACTGATTATTGTTTCATAGAACGCTAATGACATTCAACAATACTTTTCATCAGAAACACAACCAACACTGTGGCGCGCCATCCCAGCAATTGAGGAACTCCAGACTGCATGGGAGATGAAATGCGATCTACCAAAGTACGAGATCTACAAGGACACCATCCAGGCTGGTCTCGACAAGATCGGAAAATATTACCAGGAAATTTGATGACAAGCCTGTGTATGTTCTCACACTCGGTAAGTACCATTTACTTGCATGTCTACTTAGTATCACTGACACTGTATTTAGTTCTCCACCCATATTATAAACTTGCATACATCAAGCTGCAGTGGGGTGGGCCTGAAGAGCAAGCGAATGAGTATGCTGCTGGAAATCCAAACACTATTGATTGGTATGATGAGGCCCTCAAAATAGTCGAGGCCACCATGCAAGAATATTCCCAATGCACTCAATCATCGCTGCCATCAGCTTCTTCCACTGTCAGGCATCTCTTGTAACACTGTCGGCATCGAATCGGAATATGACCGTCATTGTCATGAGCCTGGTGGAGAAGGCAAGCCTCCAATATCATTCAGGCTGGCATGCCGAACTTTGCTGTTATCTTGCTGACGTGCCTGATGATGTCTCGAAGGACACAGACATCATTGAGTGGTGGTCGGTATGTATTTATTACAATCTGTCATGTGTCATACTAACATAACAATCAATCAATTCAGACGAATGTTGCCATCTACCCTATCCTTGCATGCATAGCAATGGACGTCTGCGCTGTTGTGGCATCTTCTGTGCCTTGAAAACACATATTCTCAGGTGGCGGGAAGACTGCAACTGACAGGCACTCACGACTAGGTTCCGAACGGTTTGAACAGCTTCAGATCCTTAAGTTTTTGTGGCGAAGTTCAGTTGTCGATCGCGTTGCTGCAAATTCAGCTGTCACCGAGGAAGTCTTACTTGAGGAGTATGTTGAATTGCTTCAGCTCAATGCTGAGATGTCCAAAAATACTGACAAGGAGATTGATGTAGTCCTAAACTGAATTTTATGTCATGTTTAAGCTATACAGTGTATATACAAGTGTGCCCTGCCTGTAGGCAACCAGTTTGAAAAAGACCAGTTGCAGTCAGTTTGAGCTCAGTCTTTTTTCGTTGGTGTAACGAGGCAACCACAACCTGCTAGAATTCTGTTGGTGAAGCAACCGCAACTGTGGTCCGGTTCAAAAAAGTCCGGTTCAGGTCCAACTGTGGTCTTTTTGCGGTTTTGCAACTGGACTCTTAAACTCTAACCGGAACATGCATGTGACTTTGTTATATCACCAACATTAAGCCCACTTGTTCATCACTGTCAGCAACATCTCCCTTACTCTTCTCTCCCTCCAACGCTATGCTGAAGGAAAAAGGCATCTCACAATTGGTCACTCTCATCATTGGAAATGCTTGCAAGCACAGCACACTCAGCATTTGACATCTTAAGCAATGGGACCTTGTCAATGAGCATATTCGTTGACAAGATAGATATGACCTTAGTACATCAAGTACAGTGTTTTCATTGAGTTTGTCTTGATCATACCTATTCTAAGATGACATAGGTCTAAGTGATGAGTCTCTAACACTACTCTCCAACCTCCAAAACCCAGATGCAGAGACCACTTCTGTAATGGATGTTGATGATCCTGCTATGGACCCAGACCTTGAATGGGAGACCGTCCCAGAGACATTAAAGGATGATGCTACATTCATACATGCAGTTCGGGATATTGTTGGAAGCCAGTAAGTACTTAAATCTTGTAATGAGTCCTGACCATCATATAGTTGAATTTTCTAGGTGGAGAGTGTATAAGGATGGGTGAACTTGGCACCAGCATGTTACTCACCTCCAAGAGAACTGAGAACCGATCATCAAGGACTTAACTCTAGCATATCTAACTTGGAAGTGCCCTTCAGAGTCTTCCCCCAGCAATGCAGCACTTCCACTGTAACTGTCACCATCCCCTTCCAGTTATGACTTCAAAATTGGATGCATTGACCTTTACACACTGTCCAGCACGACTCACATCCAGTGTGACACTGATATCAAGACTGTCTCTGAGGCTCTTGTTCTGAACGGTTATATTGGAGCAACTTCACAGTCTCCCTCCATTACTATCTCACTTTGCACACTGGAACTTTACTGCAGAATTCGCCTGCAAAAACTGTCGTTTAGTGCTGAGGCCTTTACAAAGGTTCTATGCGATCTTTATAATGTATGTCATCATGTTTATAGACTTGTCAACCATTTCTTATATCCACTTTGTCGGAAATTTCCTAGAGCCATTGCAATTGTCGTTGAGATGTCAGTCCCACGACATCACGTGGTGTTCCAGTCTGTTAGAATATTTGATAATCATTATCATATCTTGTTGATATTGGCATATCATTCCCATGATTGCGTGTGCCGTTTCAACACATTGGAATGCGAGATCTCAATTGATAACATTGCTGTCTGTATACCTGTTCATATCACTATCAAATTTGTGCATCTATACATTATTATTATTATTGGACTGTATACACATTCATGCCACCTGAACGGACCTCGATTTGTGATACCTGCAGCCAGAATTCAAGAGCCATGGACTTGCTGCCCACCAGAAGGCCTGCAGGAGGGATAACTTACGGATGCAGGAAGATCGCGAGAGACAGAATACTTGAGCAGGTGAGTACATTCAACTAAGTCTATGTGATCTGTGCGTATTAAGTATTATTCCTCTTGACAGCTCAAGCCCACCCTGAGCCACTGAATGCTTAATACCGTCCAGTCCAATTATCACAACAGCCAGGCACATCCCGAGGTTTGATTCAATTTAATGGATCTGTATTTTATTTAACAATTTCTAGGCTCTTGTGCAGCTCCTGCTATGCGCGGACCTACTTTCGATGACTATGTAAATCCTGACGAAGGTATGTTAATATTTCTATTGTCAATAGATTATTCATTCATTTCATGTAGGTCTATCATTCACAGCTGCTGCAAGATGCACCGGATGATCATGTCCTGCCACCTGCATTCCAGCAGGATGATATTAGGACAGAGTACCATCCTCATAGCGGCATCCCTACGAAAACCGATCACTTTGGTGATTTTCATTGCCATACTAATACTGCTCACTCACAAGTACCTCAAAATACTACTCCCTGGAAACTGTTCGGCTCACACATCAACTTTGACTTTGCTGAGTTAATTCTCAAAGCTAACCTTACAAAACTGCAGACGAACGAGCCTATCGCTCTCATCCATCACACTGCATTTGAAAGACTCTCAGTTACTGACTACAATGGTATCTGTAAAATGTAGGATGCAGCTTCTCCTCGCCATGCAAACGTAAGTCTCTGCTGAGTACTGACTTGCTATACGTCGCTGATGATTGATTTTCAAGTGCAGTTCAAAAAGGAAGTGATTTTGGTCCCACATAGGGACCAGGAGCACAACTTTGATGTTTGGTATAGGCCACTATGGGACTAGGTCTGTGACCTGCTGAAAGACCCTCGCCTTGGTCCGCATTTCATATTTGATGCTCAGCGGTTGTACAAGTATGATGGACAAGACTTTGTGTGTTTTTTTGATGAGCCATGGACGGCCAATGCTTTCTGGGATAGTCAAGTATGTATGTGCTACTAAATTTGAATGTTCTAACAATGTAAATATGTGTTTTGTAGTCATCCTTACTGAAGGATGAAGGAAAACTGTTCACTTTTATCATATACACTGATAAGGCAAAATTCTCTTCGTTTGATCGTCAAAAAGTGTATCCCGTCATTGCAAGATGTGCAAATTTACCTGTCGGAATATGCAACAGTGAAGGTTTTGGCAGTGGTTGCCTTGTAGGCTGGCTTCTGATTGTATGACAAATTATTCAATTTGTATGCTTATGGCTGACTCTTGCAGGTTGAAGAAGAGAAACAATATTCTGGGACTCAGTCCTTCGTCAATTTCAAGAATGTTGTCTGGCATGAATCGTTTAAGTGCATTCTCAAATCGCTCGCATCACTCTCGAAAATCAGGGTTTTGCGTCAAGTGTTGGGATGGTATTGAGCGTCTTTTTTATCCACTTATTCTTATTTTATCAGCTGACTACGAGGAGCAGTACGTGTGTTGCCTATATCATTCTGATTCACTAATGGTTATTCTACAGATGTGTTATGACCTTCATACGTGGAACGAAGTGCAAATTCCCTTGTCCCGTCTGTCTCGTTCCTAGAGAGGAACTCGGTAATGTGCTTACATCATATCCATTGCGAACAACCACGTCTATGCAAGCTACACTTCAAGAGGCTCAAAGTTTCACTTGACAAGAAGACAAAGAGAAGTTATTAATGTCTCGAGGCCTCCGGGATGTAGATGTATGTGTCCTGTTGCTGTATCTTCGTTCCCAACTCTAATTGTTTGTTTTAGAATGCATTTTTGGATGTCGCTCACACGAATGTCCATTCTGCAGTCTCATTTGACCGCTTACATGTAAATAATGAAGGTAATTTTTCTGACCATCTTTGGACCCAGTTTCAGGAACAGGTCAAATCAATTGGTTGGCGGACACAGTCTAAAATTGACAAATAGTATGTTTTTCGGCTTCGGGTATTATAGTAATAGAAACTGACTTTACAATTTGAATAGCTTCAGCTCGATGCCATGTTGGCACAACATCAATCACTTTAATTATGTCATGGACATATCATTTTCTGATGGCTCGAAGTACAAAGATATCTCTAAGGTAAGGCAGTTTCATTGATTCTAACTTAATATACTACCGATTCTGATGGTTCTGTAGCTTATTGTATTCGCTGTGCATGATGTCATCGACCAAACCTCCCACGCACTCCCTTATCTGCTCCTTCGATGCATCCATCAATATGTCAATGTCGACATGTATGCAGCTCTCGAAGTCCATATGTCCGAAACCATCACCGAAGGCTGTCAGGCCATACAGGAGTTCACACGACTATTGGATGTAAGCTTCTCATTTGAGTTGCGTGTGTTTCAAGAACATTGCTGAACAGGTGTGTACTCTCATTTGTTCATGAGATCAGACAGTATTTTATTGATCTTATCCAGGTACTTTGCCTCGACCATTGCTTCCTCATTGCACATTCAATTCATTTGGATATCAAAGACTATGATGACCTCATTATATCTGAGAGTGACCATTTGCGCTCGGATGGCGAGGATGATAATGAGCACCCCAACAATGATTCTGACAACACATTCCATGTTAAGTTGGGTGCTGTGCAAAAAGAGCAGACATTTGCAGCCGTGGAGCAACTACATGCAAATGACAGTGCATTCAATCGATTTCGCATCAAGCTTGCAAACTTTTTGAGTGATTCCCTCCCTGTTCACGTAATACCCTTACCTGGTGGAAAATGACTCAAGTTCATGCCCGATGAAACTGTATGTTGTTCTGTTGTTTTCTAATTCATGTCTAAAGTACAGAATGCAGGTGACTGAGCATCAATTCATAAAAGTCAACTATGAGTCCATTGTAGACTGGCAAACCACCACAGATTACCTTCGATGTAGTCCTCCATTTCATAACTTCCCTCGATATGACTGCGTTATCATTCAGGCTCAAGCCGGAGTGATATTTGAGGGTTTACTGATGCTTTTCACCTGTGTTGTGGATGGTCAAACTCATCCAGTCGCTCTCATTCACCCATACGATGCTCCAGTTGGACAATGTTCCCTCACAGATAATCACTTTCAGTTCTGGTGTATTCGTGAAAGACCGAGGATCTCATCCGAATTTTTTTCAGTTCATTCTATTATCCATGGTGCAGCACTAGCAGAAGATCACAGTGTCTGGGGTGATTACCTCGTTATTGACACAATTGACACTGACATGTTCTTGCACATGAAGTCAATGCACAAGTCCACTGGTCATCCAGCATGAAGAACTAGCCTTATCTCATCTCCCTCCCCACCAGCATCTCCAGCCCTATTGGACACAAATATGCCTGCGGAGCTGCCAGTGTCATTCAAACTAGCATTGGAACTTGCATTTTCAATGCTCTCATTCATTCTCTGCAATCTGACGCAGAAAGCCTCACATTTTGCCTGTTCGACTCTCAATCCTTATCTGTCAGTCATGCTCACCTTCTTGGCCACTGTCACAAAACATGCAGAAACACTTTTTATAATGGAGTGTTCGATACCTTGGCATGATCTTGCCCTGTTTTTTGCCACCATTCGCCATGCAGGGACTGGATATTCCAGCTACTGGCGGTGAGCAGTGGGCAATGCTGACGAGTGGTTGTGCCCCACCTCTCTCTGAGGATTGGTTCCTTTGTGAGATGGAGTGGGCTTGACTACAAGGAAGTGCTGGCATAAGGTAATGATTACTCTCTCGGTTGTGCCATGTAAGTGCACCATGCATCATTTTACCTGTTATCTTTGAACTGACTCATCCTGTCCAGTGTTTAATTACCTCGCCACCAGCACAAGGCACTGTCTAGTTCCTCATTTCAAGCGCTTCAAATGATAAATTTTACTTTACCCTTCCTTTCATCAAAGTGCTCTGGTCATTTCTGCCATCGCAATGCCACCATCAAACACATCAGGCCTTGCTGATGTCGAACAGGTCTGTGCTAACCCTCTAACTATCACTTATGTCTTCTAACTTTTGCTTCAGGCTTTACGGGAATTGCAACTCGAGTTGCAAGAACTTAAGGACGTCAACAAGGAGTTGACAGAATAGAAAAGGGTCCTCAAGGCAAACCAGCCAAAGCAGAAGAAGAAGGGCCAAACCATCTCCGAAGAAAACATGGCCTTCAACAAAGAAATCTGCTTATGCGGTTGCAAATATGGTGCCTGCTATGAAATGTTTGCGCCAGACAGGCAACTTCTTCAGTGTCCCAATACTACATTCCCTCCGCCTCTCAATGAACCATCACGCTATGAAACACTAGCCTCTGCAGAGTCTGCCTTGCTTGCGGAGCTATTCAGTCTACTTCTGCTGCACATCCACCCTCTTGTCAGGGAATAACCACTTTGCTGATATTGCGAGCAACATTTTTATTTTACTGACTCTTAGAACTGATAGTACTTAAGTTCGAGGATGCAATGAACAGTAGTCACGCATCTGAAATCAAGAAACTGCGCTCCAAAGCTGGGCTCATCTTCGGTCTCCCTGAACAGTATTTCACTGACACAACATACAATTGAGCAAGTGTATCCGAGATCCAGTGTCTCCTTGGTACCTCTACATCACAACACATGCCCAAGCCCTTCTCACCTATCCTTTTTCCGAACCTGGTCGAAGACTCGTCGCTGAGAACACTCTTTGGAAACTGGAAAACTCTTTGGAAAGGTGCTGTCTCTTAATTCGAAACTTGTTGTTATTATCTACCATGTTTTCAGATTATCCGGGTACTACTGTGGGGTGAAAATGGTTTGACTGTGCTTTGAGCAGGAGGACCACCATGCAACAGTAATAAGTGAGAGGCGACATCTTTGACACCTAGTTTGTTGGCATGGGCAGGAGTTGTTGTTCGTTTTTGCACATTTCGAAAGGCTCGCAGCTGATGTAATTTTGTCAGGTTATCTTTCTATTCAGTGCCGACAAGGAGTTTCGCTATTCCGGCAAGGGTGAGACTACGAAGATTCAGTACAACTACATGTTCTCCTCGTACAAGAAGTGTAATAATGTAATAGATTATAGTAGATTAGATAGTCAATAACTTAAAGATAGACAGTAGATAATATAATAGATAGTCAATAACTTAAAGATAGACAGTAGATAACATAGATAAGTATATAATAATAGACAGTTGATAATAATAAACAATAGATCATAATAGACTACTAGGATAATCACGCAGCCTAGGGTAGTACATCATAATTGGATAGATATCATTCCTGCGAACTGTACATTTATTTTAATACCATTATAATAATATTAATATTAATATTAATATTATAATGGTCATAACAATGGGCATTGGCATTGGCATTGATGCATTGGCATTGGCATTGGCATTGGCAGTAATTGGTGTCACGTTGCCATGACATTACCACCAGCACCTGTCAGCATTTCAAAACAGGGCTTACATTGCATTCCCATTGCCATGGTGCATTGTCATTGTGGCATCAGAATGCATTACAATGCATTAAAATCAAACCTAGAAATTTCTGACTTTAGATGCCTTATTGCTGCAGATATTGAACATGTCTGGTAGGTGCATTTGATGTATACAATGTTGTCCTCCATAAGTCGAACTTCAGGTTTCTGAAGCCCTTGGCCACAATTCACCCAACTGGCGTGTCTTAAACACTTGTCCACCATGCTCATTCAAGGTGTGTACTATGTGCTATCCCTAACTCATTAGTTCCTCAGATTTTTGTAGCTTGAGGGAGAACCGCCACTTCTCTACCGGCGCATGAATTGTCTTCAATGGCAACAACTCCCTATCTCATATGGCACCACTGGGTGGCCATAAAGTTGGTGATATGTGCACATTTGATTCAGACTTCTTCCTTTCCCATGACTATGTCAATCTGTTTGCTGGTGAAGTATCATCTTCTCAAGCACCAGCTGATCAAGATGTTCTGCAACTTCAAGTTAGCTGAGAGCCCAGAAAAACTGTGCACAGAAAATTGGAAGGCTGCTGCTGATGAAGCTAAGAAAAAGATGTGGGGAATATTTGAAGAAACAGGGATCTTTGCATGCACGTGCCATCATGGCATGATGCTGTGGATTGTTAACATGGTCCACAGTGGTAAACTGTATGTCACATTTCATAAGGCAGCATCTATTGATTTTAATTAATGTAGCTTTAAGTATCCACTCTCCATCATGAATAAGGCGCTCAAAGTCCTCAGCTCCCAGCTATTGATCAGTTACGATGTTGGATGCAAACTCGCTACCACTGTCAAGTCAACCTCCCTTGCTACTAAGTTCAATGAATCAAACAGCCACCTATGCATTGATGCATTCCACGTGTATATGCATAACTATGTGTGCCAGGATCAAAACCATCCAAATGTAATTCAAGGGATGGGACTGGAGGACTTCTCCACAATAGAGCGAATTTTCAGCGCATCTAACCAGCATGCCCACGTTATTCATTATGCAAGCACCTACAACCGACATTTTTTATTGACATGTTTTTCAGACAGTGGGATGAAGACAAGTATATGAATATCAGCAACATGCTTTACAATAACCATTGTCAAGCTTTTGACATCGTCGAACGCGAAGACTATCACATTCAAGCATGCCAAACTGTCCCTTTGCATCACAGATGAAAGCATTGAGGAATGGCAGAAGCAGCAGTCAGTATACCTTGAAACACTTGGTGAAGAAGCTGAGTGGGATATGCATGTGATGATGTACATTGAGTTGTTACAAAATCTCTGAGATGCAAGGTACGTGAAAGTAATACTTACATCTGATGAACTAACACTACGTTTCCAGGGCTGCAGCACAGAATGCATCAGCATCATTCCTTAATGCCATTCCCTTCGACTATCAATTTGTCTCAACTTCGACTGCAACATCAACAGATGCCACATATGCTGCCAATCTGTTGTGAACACACAAGCTGGAAACACAATGGAGACATGCAAATGAGCACCTGGATACCATATTACAAGAGATTGCTGCCATGGAGGTGAAGATAGGCATTACACGGAGGTGGGAGCCATCAGACAGTGAGTATGCTGAAACCATGAAACACATGGCTACAAGAAAATACCACTGTGCTCTAGATGAGCTGCAGCATCTTGTTGTACTGCGACTCTTTGAGTTGCACAAGTTAAACCTTTCACAGATGGGTATTTTTTTTTTCAATGTCCTTCTTATCTCACAATGTTCATGTTGCAGTTTATCATATGCGCACTCATATTGCTAAAGCCCTCCAAACTCACTGCAAGGCAATTCAAAACAAGGTGAAGGAATACAATGCAGTGGCATCTGCACTTGTCCTGCCTGCTCTGAGTCTCGACTGGTCGCATATCTCTCACTATGGCTTGATGAGTTCACACTTCTCCATGAAATCCAGCAAGATGTACAAACAAATCAATGGACCCGTCCGGAAGTGCGTGAATTGATGTGTCAGTCACTTTGCATCAAACACACTCATGAAGAGGTCCATCATTGCAACATTGAGCTCCATTGCCTTCACTCATCCATTATTGCTGAAAATTGTCACTTCGAAGCCACCCTCCAATGACTCAAGGCTGATGTCATATCCCATATTCCAGACCTACATCTGATGATGTTCCTATGCCTTCTGGACGCACATCTGGACCTCCATACCCTTATCCATGACTCCATAACCTTATCCATGCCTTCAGTCCTTCAGTCCACTATCGGTTTGGATCCATACACCTTTGTACATTCATATATCCATACCTCCGCAGCTAAGCCTGCTTCATCCATTCCTTGATCCTATCGGATCCGAGCTCATTCCACCTGGGACTTTACCTTCCCTAGACTACCGAACTATATCCATTATCCATATCCTAGTTCCATCTTCACCTAGATCTCTGGATCTGCTCATCTGATATCCAGATGCCTCATCTGGTATCTTCAGACCTCCAGATCCGACCTATACTCATATCCAAAGCTCAAACCTTAAATCAGCATCTATCTCCTTATGGTAATTCCCTTGACTCTGGACTTCGGTTATCTGTGTTTCCAGTCTTACTTATGGACCCTTGTACTCTGTCTCATCTCTGAGTTCATTTACTTATGTTCCATTCATACTTACCAATATGTTTCCACATGCTCATACATAGTATTTGTCTTCAGCTTACTGATCCTCTCGGATCCTGTCCAGTATATAAACCTCTGTACAACTCCTGTAGAGTTTCCTTAGTTTGAATATCATCTTAGACTTCACTCATTCTTGTCTCGGACTTTGGTCCATCTTAGTCTGACCTTTCCTTAGGCCTAGGGAAGGATTCCCTAGGCCAGCTTTCCAGTCCTCCAGATTTATCCTTCTGTCTACATCCATGCTGAGGGATTGATTCCCTAAGCCGAAGTTTTGCCTTTCTGGCACTTCCTGTCAACTCTGTCTCTACTTAAGTGTAGTCTACCTCTGTTTGTTTCTATTCCAGACCTTGTTTGTGGTAGCCTTTCCCCTCCTGTCCTAATCCTGTCCAGTCCTCCGGTCCTCCTAAACCTTTGGACCTTTGGACAATGTAACCTTTGGATGTCATAACCTTTGGACATCTTAACCTTTGGACCTCCAGACATCCTGTCCTTTGGACCACTCCTCCGGAAGTTTCCCATGCTCATCTGGAAGTCCTCTAGCACTCTACTAGAGTAGCCAGCCTCCAGAAGTCCTTCGGACTTCATCAGATTCCATCCAGACTTCGTTCTGAAATTAAGGGCATGTACTCGGGTAAGGGGCACAGTGTACGAGCTGAGGCCAAGCCCTTCAGATCCATCAACCCTTGAGCTATGGTCTTAACAGCTGAGAACAATCCCCTGTACCACCACTCTGTCAAAGAATTCACGACATGCCGCCTCTGAATCAATTCTCATAACCTTGCCCATGTATTTCAGACATCTAGCTTTGCTGGTTTCACAGGAGATGAGATGGTTGGCATGAAGAACTTATCTGCTATTCTGAATCATTCACCAATGCACTGTGGTGTCATGCATGGTATGTGATCCATACCATAACATATACACAACAGCAGTGACAAGGAAGGTAGAAGACACCTGACTGATTCCTATCACCAAGTTACCTTATCATTTTCCATTCATTTCTTAGCTAGTATTTTCACTTTCAAACTTCACTTCTATTTTTCCATGTATTTCTATTTTGTTCCATGAGATTCTATCTCTTTCTATTTTTCTAGGCACATTTAGCCACCAGACTTTTCCTCAAGCCACCAAGCATGTGAGTAATCATATTATGTGACTGGGAAATACTCTGATTTGTGAGGATTCAACTTGACTCATCATGTTTGGTCATGATTTGTCATGCTTTGTAAAACTTGCAACTGTATTTGTAATCCACTTTGTAATAAGGCTGATTCAGCACACCTAAGGACTTGGTTTGTAAGCACATTCTTACCAATCCATGTGATGACTCATGCTTTTCACTTTTCATTCTTTGTAATACTACACTTCATTTTGTATGTACATTAGTAAACAAGCTGACTCAACACAAGTTTGTAAGCACATTCTTACCAATCTATGTGATGAATCATGCTTAGTAAGATGGCCTCCCAAAAGGTATATAAGGAGCCCATTTTCACCCATGTAATATAAGCTTCCCACTTTAACTCTTTTCTCAAACCATGTGAGAACCAGTAAGATCTAAGTGCAGGCCATTCAGCAGCCTTGAAGTTAAGAATAAGAAACATCTATTCAGGTTATATACTACCTTACAGGGGTTGACTATATAACAAGTACAGCTACCTAGCTAAGTTCCACCAGCACTACTTTCCTCTCTCTTTTTCAGGAAGGGAGACATGAATCACGAGACACACTTCATGAATCCATGGGCACACACTTTCCAAAACACGTACAAACTTCACACTCAGTATTTCAAGAGCACAGACACATTTCACAATCCACAAACACACACTTGCCAAAACATGTACAAGCTTCACGCTCACTACTATGAAACCATGAGGTTTAAACTAACCGAGGAACAAGAAGGAGAATATTGAAAGACATTCCTTCCAAGAACTCAGCACATTATCTACCATGAAAACTAGAAAAGTCATAGACTGTGTACTTAAGGACTGGCAAGAAGTCTTATCCTGTATAGTTGTGTTGTCACTATATACACTATACCCAATTGTAATTTATTGAATGTACCTTTTGCTGATACATTTTTGTGCATCAGCTCAAGGAGAAAGTCATTCCCGCCTTTGAAAATGCACACAGACCTGCTTATCAGGCTCTCTCCATGGTCGACAACTCTCAGGGACATTCAGCTTATTCCAAAGATGCATTACTTGTGAGCCACATGAATATTAAACCAGGTGGAAAACAAGCCCGCATGTGAGATGGATGGTTCATGCAAGATGACACCAAACACTGCAGGCATTTTCCCAATTTTCTCCAACAAACATCCAAAAAATATTGATTGAGAACATAGAAATTTCCTCTCATATTGCCTGTCAAAACATTGAAAGAAATCAATTCATGTGTTAAAGATTTTCTGTGCATGGGACATGATGCAAAAATCGGACATGTTCCTTCAAGCATAATAATGGGTTTTCTACCTATTGTCCTTTGAGTGGTAACTTACAATAATGTTAAATTTTTGTCCAAAGATACTATGTTTTTCAAATGTTTTGTATATATTTGAAAACACAGACAAAAATTTAACCTCATTGAAAGCTGCTGTTTTAAAGAAAATAGATGGAAAATCCAGTATTATCCTTGAAGGAACATGTCCAATTATTGCATCATGTCCCATGCACAAAAAATCTTTAACACATGAATTAATTTTTTCAATGTTTTAATAGGCAACATGAGAGGAAAATTCTATCTTCTCAATCAATGTTTTTTGGATGTTTGTTGGAGAAAATTGGGAAAATGCCTGCAGTGAATATGCATGTTGGTGGCATGCAAGCGGCTGTGAGTGGAGTCTGAACTTTCTCTGTTTCCAACCATGACTAAACATGCTCTTTCTGGTTGAGTCAACTTCCAGCAGTGAAAGGAGATTTTTGCTGCTGTTATTGTCATAATCCTCTCCACACAAGTCCAGATCATGCAGATGACACAAGAAGAACCATCCAAGGAGAAGGTGCACTGGAATAATGCAGAGATTGAGTGAGTGATTGCATTGCTTGTGCAACCTTGAGTGTCTCTTGGACTTATTTCTGAACACGATCAGCATAGTACAACTTGGAGTAAGCTTTCTGTTTCTGAAGTGTTTATGTCAGTTTTTCACACTCTGTTATTTTCCTGCACAACAGCATCAAAGACATCATTGGCATTGGCTTTCGCTTGTTGTCCTACCTTTGACCCGCTGAAGTTGTTTTTGAATTGGGTGTGCAATTTCCATCAATCATTTTCAGTGTCACTACAAAGAGTGTTAATGAATCTCATGTCTTTCTGTTTGTCAATCACTTTATCATATTCTTCCACTGTTAACAGCCCCAATTTAGTGATATCATTTGGCTGAGGCTCTGGAAATGCTTTGAACCATTCTTCATACATGTCTGCAAAGAAATTTTTATGGTTTTTACTCTTGTCACTCTGCTTTTCAGAGAACTTTCTGTACCATGGTTCAAGCCACTCCTCCTGCTTGGATGTGGTCCATTTACGAGGAGCCATCTATGTTCATGATTTTGGCACAAAGTCATCTAGTGGAGGATGAGATTAACAAGATACATACTATTATGCAGTATTAACATTAATTGATGCATAAATTGACAAGAATTGGGTGTTTAGGCATTTAGACGTTAGAGTGCAATGAAATAAATATCAAAGTAAAAATTTGAGACCAATGTCCCACACATGGACTTGTATGACTACACAATTAGATTGCCTAAAGCCTCATCATAGACAATCAGTAGTAGTAAATATATTGTCTACTCAGCTGGAGGGGTATCCTAAAGGTTCTGAAATAGAGATTGTTTTTGTGCATACTACTCTCTTAGATCCATGTCCTGGACTATCACACAGGAGAATAAATCCTCGAGGGCTGATAGTACCTCTGCAGCCTGGTTAGAGTTATCCTATGCATTAATATACCTTCTACCTATTAAGAACTGATTTGCTCAAATGAAGAGAGGACTGATGTCTGAGGGGCTTGGCCTCAGCTTGTGTGCTGTGCTCCTAATCCAAGTATGGTGCCCTTCATTTTGGATGAAGTATGATGGTGGTTCAACAAAGTCCGAAGGACTTCTGGAGGCTGGCTACTTTAGTAGAGTGCTAGAGGACTTCTGGAGGAGTGCAGGAAACGTCCAGAGGAATATGGGAGAATTCTGGAGGAGTACAGGAAAGTCTAGAGGAGTTTTCACTGTACAGGAAGTAGAGAGACCCTAAGGCAATGCCTCTAGAGGAAAGTGGAGGAGAGACTGCAAGGGATCAAGTCAAAGCAGGATAGAATAGGAAAAGTGGAACTACATCAGGAGGATAGGTCTGGAGGTCTGAGGGTCAGGAGGACAGGAGGACAGGAGGATTGAAGGTCTGGAGGTCTAGATGAGCATAGGACAGGAAGTCCAGACAGACTACCATGGATATAGTTCCGGAGGTATGGTGTACAAATAGGGGCTACATCAGATGCTGTCGGAAGTAAAAACACACAGAAGGACTACACTAGATAGAGTCGGAGAGACAGGGATTGGACCAAAGTCCAGAAAGAGAGTAAGTGCTGGAAAGGCAGAACTCCAGTCTAGGGAATCAATCTCTAGACTTGGAATGGAGACATAGGGGACAAATCCAAAGGTCTGTATTTCCAGCCTAGGGAATCAATTCCTAGACTTGGAAAGGATAGAGCTCAGATGGACTGAAGTCCTAAGTCAAGAAAGAGCAAAGTCTAAGATGATATTCAAACTGAGGAAACTCTAGGAATTGTACAGGGGTTTATATACTGGAGGACATATGAGAGGATCAGTAAGCAAAGGACTAGGACTATGTATGAGCATGTGGAAACACATTAGTAAGTGAGATGAAACATAAGTAAATGAACTCGGAGATAAACAGAGTACAAGGATCAATGAGCAAGATAGTAACAGAGATAACTGAAGTCCAGAGTCAAGGGGATTACCATAAGGGGATAGACACTGATTTAAGGTTTGGGCTCAGATATAAAGTCTAGGTCGGATCTGGAGATCCATTTCTTTCATGTTTTATTTTAAATCTATTTAGCATATCTTACACATTTTCTTTTCAATATATTTTCCATTGCTTTCACATTATATTTTGAATATATTTAATCTTGCTATCACACCTTATCTTTTATATGTTTAGAATATCTTTCACTTATCATTTTTAATACATGTTGGCACAGATATACATATTTCAAATTGATGTATGATGCAATTTTAAATGTACTTGGCAATTATATGCTAAACACACTTCATACATACATGATAAAGATACAGTAACCAAACATCAATATAAATTTAGAAATGTACTTGAACAAATCCATGACATCATCCATGATACAACCACCCCCACTTGACTTGGTTCAGGACCCAAGAATTTTGAAGAGGCATCTGCTAGAACAATTAAGGCAGATGAGTGGTGATCCTTTACCATGATCTATCTTTCCATTGCCCTCATGAGCTTGTGGGGAGCTAACACCTTGCATTCTTCTGATGAACATGCTGTTTGCCTTAGAACTATTCTCAAACACACTATGGAATTAGCCTGTGCAGTGTATCTTGCTTATGTATAACAATGATGGCAAGAAGGGCTTAAGCCTATCACTCACATATCACTGCATATGTTGGAGAGTTACTGAAAATTCATCCCACCTTCTCTCTGCAACCAAATCACCATGCATCTTGCCACATACATGTATATGACTATCTGCTCCTATTCGGGCCCACCCACTTGTAGTGGTGTTTTCCTTTTAAATATCTGATTGGAATTTTACAACACCTTCTAGTGAATCACAAATTTGGTATGTCCTTGTCAAAACATGAATGAGAAAGTTGGACTTACAGTGGCTCAAAAAACTGTCCGCATGTTTTGACATTTTTCACTATCTATGATATTGTGTGAGAATGAACAAATTCCTCAAGGACATACTTATACCACATTGTAGTATGGCTTCAGGGCTTTTATTTGAGCCCTACACCGTGGGAATCGGCGGAGATATGGTGGAGATATAAGGCTTATAAAATGATGACTCATGTGGACAGTTTTTTTGAGTGTATATTAAAACTATATAAATCATTATTTATGACACCATAAAAATCATGCGACTATTATATAAATTATAAAGTGGTGTCATTATGTTATTTTATGACTATATCTAACTATATAAACCAGAATATCTCATGTATCATAGTCATAATCACCATGAAAGCCATCTCCTCTGCTCAAAGAGATAATATCCTCTCTCTGTCTTATGCTGGCCTCTCTGCTCGCCAAATTTCCTCTAGAACTGGAATATGCAAGTCCACTGTGGCCAAGTTCATCAAAGAAAGCCACCCAGACAAGGAAAACTCTTGTGGAGGACGTCCATCCAAGCTTACCTCTACTGACAAAAGGGCTATTATCCAACATATCACTACAGGAAAGGCTGATAATGCTGTCCAAGCCACCCATTATATCAATTCCACCATCACTACCCCTGTCTCTTCACAAACTGTGAGGAATGTTCTCAAGGCAGCTCATCTCAAGGCAGTAACAAAGAAGAAAAAGCCTCTTCTCTCCATCAAACATAGGCAGAGAAGACTAGCCTTTGCCTTAGCTCATCAACACTGGACTGTAGAGGACTGGAAGCATGTTATATGGTCAGATGAGACCAAAATCAATAGGATTGGGTCAGATGGGAAGGTGTATGTATGGAAAAAGAAGGGAGATGGCCTAACAGACAGAGAGGTTAATGGGACTGTCAAGTTTGGAGGAGGTTCTTTAATGGTATGGGGCTGTATGGGATGGAATGGTGTGGGAATGCTTGCTGAGGTTGAGGGGAAGATGAATGCTGAGCAGTATGTGGACATTTTAAATGACCACTTGCTGCCTAGCTTGGCAGAATCAGGGATTGATGAAGAAGATATCATTTTCCAACAGGATAATGATCCCAAGCACACATCCAGAAGAGCTAGGGAATGGTTTGAAGAACATAACATCAATGTTCTTGACTGGCCAGCACAGTCTCCTGATGTCAATGTCATTGAACATCTCTGGGGAACACTCAAGAAAAAGCTTCAAGCCTATGAAAACCCCCCTAAAGGAGTATGGGAGCTTTGGGAGAGAGTAGCAGTGGAATGGGGGAAGATCACAGCTGAGGATTGCCAGAAATTAATTGAGAGTATGCCTAGAAGGATAGAGGCAGTAATTAAAGCCAAGGGAGGTCATACAAAATACTAGAATACCTGGTTATTACTGTAAAATACTTGAGTCAAAAAACTGTCCGCATGAGTCACCATTTTGTGAGCCTTGTATCTCCACCATATCTCCACCGATTCCCACGGTGTAGGGCTCAAATGAAAGCCCTGAAGCCATACTACAATGTGGTATAAGCATGTTTTTGAGGCATTTGTTTGTTCTCACACAATATTATAGATAGTGAAAAATGCCAAAACATACGGACGGTTTTTTTGAGCCACTGTATGATCTTTTAGGGGAGCTTGGAAACACAATACTTCTTTCATATATCAAAGCTACAAGAATTAACTGTTGGCTTGCTGGAACAGACTGTTCACCTGCTATTCAAGAGTGTGGGGTCCTGTTTGATCAAGCCTTTAACCCCCAAAGCACTATGAATTCTATCCACAAGCTTGCCAAAGATCCTATAAATAATGTCATCCAGGTTGCTAACTGTGCAATGAGTAGTACAGTGCCTGAAGAACTGTATACCCTCCTTAGATAATGAACGACAGTATTACATGCTATACTCAAGTTTAATAGTGTTATTTATAGTAGAGTATATATACACTTGGGAAACAGCCAAATTTTCTTCTACCTTCGCAGAGATCAGTGTGATGAACAAGTTTTGGCTGGGCTGTAGGTAAAAGCACCAAACCAAAATATATGAGTCTCCTGCTCTGCCTAGCTGCTACTCCTGCTAGCAAGAACGTTTGACCCTAAAGGATCTCTGACTAGGCTCAGGCTCAAGGAAAGAGAGTGGAGAAGGTACTCCAAGTCAAGGTAAGAAAACTATGTTCCAGGAGCTATCTGGTGAGCTGAGAAGCTACAACTAGGAAAGCTACAACTAGAGGATGCTACTGAATAACCCAAGTGAATAGGGAGCAACCAAAGAACTGGAAACAAGGGAAACTAGGTAAAGAGTGAAGTGATTGTGTAAGCAGTAAAAGTGCGAACCTAATCTAAGGAAAGTGTCAATAGGACCTGCATAGTGAAAACTACCTTTGTAAGGCTACAGAAAGTTTGAACACCATATCTTATGGAGGCTTTGCATACTGACTGTCTCCAGTCAGCCACTCAATATAAGAATCAGGCCAGGAAATCTGTAAGCAGTGAAGATCTCCAGTCAGAATCACCTTCTCCAAACGCTTGATCTCTCCAATAAGTCTAGCAAGGAGCCCATCTTCTCTCTCATTAATCTCCTGCAGGATCTGGCTGACAATGGGCTGAAGAATAGGATGCAAGGTAGCCTCAGTCAAGGGTTCAGAGTCAGGGGATGGCAGAGGAGTGGGTGCAGGAGTAGTAGGGAGTGGTGTGGGAGTGTCCACAGTGAGAAGGGAGAGAGGATGGACAGATGGTAGAGGTGCTGAGGGGTGGAGTGAAGTACGAGCATGAGCAGCACAAATACAACGTCCAGCACGACAAGTCTTCTTCCTAGGTATAGGAGGGGAGTGGGATGAGGTACAGTAGGTATAAGAGTGGTAGCAAGCACAAGGAGTAGCTGTATGCAAAAGGGTGGCAGTCCACATAGCAAAAGTTCAGAAAAGTATGTAAAAGTGACAAAAGTGCGAAAATAAAGATTGCAAGTCAGGGGATGGACAGATCAAGGAGTGGATAGAATGAGTGGATAGCTGCGTTCAAGAGCTTCAAAATGAGTATAGGGTTTCCATGGTTCCAATGAGAGGATGGCTGGAGAAAAATGCAAAAGTGTAAGTGTAAAAGTGCGAAAATGAGGTAGGAGGAGGGGGGTAGGTATAGGAAAGGAAAGGCTGTTCAGATCAGGGAGTTTAATGGGTCATAAGACAGGACTACTAAGGGATGATAGACCACCAAAAAAGCGAAAAGAGACAGGCCTTGGTACTCCCAGGAAAACCTTATCTCTCCTAAACCTCTCAAAAACACAAAAATATGAATATCTCAATAACCTCTGCTCCAAATTGGACAAGTGAGGTGTCCTAGAAAAGCCCTGAATGAGGAAAATATAGCCCCAGAAATGCGAGAGGTCCTGTCAAAAAATGCGTGGGAAAAAACACTTATCAATGTGGAGGGGGGAGGAGAAGGTGATGAAAACAAGGGAATGAGTGACTGTAGTTGGTAAGGGGTAGAGGATATTGCGGAATGGGATGGAGGAGACACCCCTGGGTGAGCACAGAGAACCTAGAACAAGAGACCCTCATGGTGGGCTCCACTTGTGGTGAACACAAGATGACTGGCCTCGGGGAAACTAGCCAAAATAATTGTGAATCTATTCTCTGCCTAGCTGCTACACTTGTAAGCAAGAATGTTTGACCCTAAAGGGGACTGCTACTGAGAACGGCTATGAATCTATAGGAAGTAGAGATGTGGGAATGTAGATAGGGGTGGACCAGACGTGCAGGAACAGGTCCAAAGGTTTCCGAAGCGTGGGAACAGCCGAAGCAGACGGAAATAGCATGAGAACTCGGCCAATGCAAAGCGGACAAGTAAGGAAAGTGATAAGGAAGGACTAGGTTTCAAGGGATTGAATTGCAAGGTCAAGGAAAGACTAGGCAAGATGTCTGAGTATCAGGTAACCAATAGGGGCTAAGAGCCCGTTCAGCAACCAACATTTGCCCATGTTTGATACAAATGAACAAAATGTGATGAGAACAGCATTGAAGCTGATGTGATGGAGTTTTAATGGTCAGCCTACAATAAGTGCATGTATCTCTGTCATATGATAAGGAGCTATATAGCTATGGATCCAAGACTCACACACCCGCCATTTGCTAACCCTTCTAACCCTTTTTTTCTACAGAGACCTCTCGTGACCCCACCAGTTCAACCTGCAGATCAGACTCGCCCCCACCAGGCTGATTTAACATGACAAGCTGCAGTTCGCCAACATATTCTGCCCTATGTAGCGCTATGTAGCGCTTCTACTCAATATACTGCTTGTTGCCTCAGCGCAATTCCTCCTGCTGCAGATTCAAGATGTCAGTGGCCCTGAGCCCTACCATACATCAGCCCTGACAGGGCAAGAATGGGTTATGGAATTGATTGAAGGGCATCCAGAATGCATCCGCTGTGAGCTTGGCATCAATGTCCACGTCTTTGCGAGCTTAGTTGATGACCTTCGTGGCCTCGGATTCACGCTACATTTTGCTGGAAGAACAGCTAGCCATTTTTCTGTACACCTGTGTGACAGGATTGACTGTTAGACATGTCGCAGAACGATTCCAGTGCTCGAACACTACTATTTCTAAGTTTGTGATTTCGTATATGTCTCACACTTCAGCTTATTCCGTCCCATAGATATTTCCGGAAGATGCTAGATATATTCGCCTCCCATCCCTTCTACACCACTCATGTTCACCTTCCTCCTGCTGATGCACCTGTCACCTGTGCAATTCGTGACAGTCCGAAACGATGGCCATACTTCCAGGATGCTATCAGAGCTATCAATGGTAGCCACATTCATGCATTCCCTCCCTCAGCCACACGTCACCTGTACTACAACCAAAAAGGATTTGTCTCTCAAAATTGTCTCTTTGTTTGCGACTTCAACCTCAATTGTACGTTTGTACTAACTGGATGGGAGGAATCTGCGATGGATGCGCAGCTCTGGGATCAAGCTCACAATGACAGTTTAAAAATTCCACCAGGAAAGTATCTCCTCGCAGACCTAGGCTTTCCCTCATGCCAACAACTGTTGGTCCCTTATCATGGTGTCTGTTACCACCTTGCTGAATGGGGTCGTGCTTCTGTCAGGTAAGACTTACAGCTCTCTTTTGCAGTCCAGCTCATCCAATGAATGTTTTAGGCCTCTCAACAAGGAAGAACTATTTAATCTTTGTCATGTGTCTGCTTGTAACATTATTGAACATATTTTCGGTGTGGTGAAGCGGCGCTTTCGCATACTCTTAGTATCCCCAGAATACAAAATCACTATTCAAGCTTGCATTCCTACAGTGCTCTGCGCTCTTCATAACTATATACGCGCCCATGACCCAAATGAAGGGCCTCTGCCTCAGAGAGCCATCTTCAATGACAACCCCACCATTCAAGTACAACCAGATGACACACGTGATGATGATCAATCCAGTCATAATTCAATCGCCAATGATGCAGATGCAAATGTGTTTCATGATCACATGGCCACGGAGATGTGGGGAGACTATCAGAGGATTTTACAGAGCACAATTTAGAAGATGTTTTTCATCAGTTGGACATAGACGAAGAACCGGTAGGAGGAGGAAGACGTAGATGAGTACTATGGGAGTGAGGATGATGCTGACAATGATCTTTAATTTCACAATGTACTCTAGTGTACATTGTGCTACAACAAAAACGAAGATGATGCACTGCATATAACAATGCTGATGAAAACGAAGGAAAAGTGCAACCGGCACGGAAATTACAGCGCGCCAAAGTCCCCCCTGAGAGCCTGATGGATAACAGATCGTAAGTAAGGCAGGCGATTCTCAGGCCTACTGGACACATAAGTGGCGCATGTCGATGGGCTCCTTCCAAAGACAATCATGAGTATGACCTTGTCCTCTGGTGTGATTTCTTCATTGTCTTGCATTATGGCCAAAGCCTGCGATCTCTCATCTGCCACCCAACTTTCATCCGTGTTGGTCATCGACTTTGACAGACTGTCTGTCAGGTGGTTTATGGCACTTTGAAGGTTCATAAATGCCGCGGTATTGCCAGCCACCTCCATGGCAGCCTTGGAATTGCATTGACTAGCAACACGCGACATGGTGCTGCCGCCATGTGCCGAAAGCTTCGGCTTCTTCTCAGAGCTGGCAGAATCTACATGAGACATGGAAGATTGGGTGATGTTACCAGAGAAGAGCATGTCGGAATGCAAACATTTTCTGGTGCTGGAGGCTGATACTGAAGATGGGGGAGGAGGCATGTTCATGGAACTGCCGCTGACAATTCCAATGTTAGTGGATGGGAGGGCAGACATGACCCTATCCCATCCAAAGCCATCTGCATGCGCCGGGCTAACAGGATATGTTGTGAGGAGGAGGGGGCACACAAATAGCAAGACCCATAGCATTGCTGCCCACCTCAGTACTAGCAGCGCTAGGTGCTGATCAACTGGCCATGGTGCTGGCAGATGTGCTGGCAGATGCACTGGCAGATGTGACAACTGCTGGTGACTGTGTGGCTAATGAAGCCAGGTTATAGGCAGCAGCACCCACAGCACCACTCCCATTTGGCAGGATCTCCTCCATCTTGGGGAAGAATTTCCATCTGGAGTTCCTGAATAATTTCATTGCCTAAAAACAGGTAAGTAGCCAGAAACCAAAGTGATACGTGTACACACCTTGTTGCTGTTGGACTCAAGGAACTGATTCCACTGAGTTTCTGCCACTCCCCCCACAATGTTCGCGCTGGACTCGTTATCCCAGTGGCATCCAGATCTGTTGCAATATCTGTTAATGGTGCTGTGGATATTTTTGAGCTATATAATAGGATCGCGATTAGTGATGGCGAGTGCTGATCTGAGTATGACACATACATATTGCCATTTACCCTTGCAATGTCCCCCTGTCTTGGTTGGGCCATGTGTTGTAAACTGTGTGATCACTCTTGCAGCCTGGTTGAAGACATTGTTCTTGAATCCTCCTCCTGTGACCTTTGCTTTTTCAGAGATCAGATGATCCAGGAAAGCGAAGATCTCGTTATCATTCCATTGAGTGTTGGGTGGCCTCTCTGAGGCCATTGGTGAAGTAATACAGAAAAGTTTAACCTGGGCACAGATTATGATGGCAGATACAGTCGCAAAGATGTGTTGTCGCTGCTGTTGACTGATTTGATGCTTAGGAGTAGAAAGACTGGTCATAGTCAGAAGGAGAGATTATTAAACTCCGTCACATCGGCTTCGATGCCATTCATCGTCACATTTTGTTCATTTGTATCAAACATGGGCAAATGTCAGTTGCTGAACGGGCTCTAAGAGTGGAACCTAATGGGTGACTACTTCGAAAGTAAAACCTAAGGGAAGGAAATACCACTGAAGGGAAGTAATGTTTAAAGTAGTCACTACAGGCTCTTTATACTAACTAAATCCTCTTGGACTCAGAAAGGATAGGAATAGTAGAAATATGTAAGAACATGTAATAAGACTGAAACACTTGTTACAACACGAGGCAAGTAAAAACTCGTACCTGTGGAGTTTGGATGAACATGGAATTGACACGGGGCTTTCCTAAAATGGGTTCTGACTGGTCTGAAGGCACAGGAACTTGGCCAAAGGTGATCAGAATGTGTGGGAATGGTCCAGACATGTGGGAATAGGCTCAGGTATGCAGGAATGGCTGATGCGGCTGTGCAAAACATTGGACATGAATGGATATGAGGTAGATGCAAGGGAAATGTGATAGGGAGTGATTCTGACCATCCTAAGCATGCAGGGGTGGGAAATGCATCAGACTGCAGTCGGGTTAACTGATAATGGCGCGGGAAATGCGGATTTGCAAGGGTAGAGAAGTGGTGAAAGATGTATGGAAGGTAGTGCCAGGATAGTTTGACCTCTATGTGAAAAAGGGCTTCTGCAAGGCTAGCCCGAGCTTGAACACCACATCAGTTGTTAACTCCTGTTTCCACTAGTATTAAATATATCTATGCTATGCTGACAGGAGAGTTATTATTTGCTGTACAGCGACATCTCCCACTAGATCATCACCACTATACTATTGATCCCTTCTCAATTTATCCTGATTTCCGGCAAAATTGTACTCAACAGACCTCAAAAATTGCTTTAAAATGCCAAGGTTTCATGAGTTGTTAGTCACTTTGCACAATGGAGGGTTTTGCAATGGAGGGTTTCTGACCATCATGCAGTGATTGTATCCTTATCTTGTGACTAAAACTACCTACTGTATACCATTATTAATGTTTCCTCCTGACTTGACTTGTAGATTTCAGTCTATATAAATATATTATTTAATCTCTTGCATTTTTGCAGGTTGGTGAGTGGGCAAAGGGCAAGCAATGATCAGGCAATATATTCAATCTGAAGACAAAACTTGAATGACACAACTTAACACAGCAGTCATGGACCAAACTTCAAGTAATTGTCCCAAACTAAATGTCATAATAAAACTTTAAATTCAAGTGGGCACTTAAATTCTGAATATATATTTTTATTGCTGGTGATGTATGATCAGTGCAAAAATGATTGCCAAGCTTAATATTTTGAATTTCACACAAAACACTGGTGAAATTTGAAGTTATGTATCCATATTTATGTTAGCTTAAATTTGAATGTTTTTTTTTTTACATTCTGGACAACTGTTAAGAACCAGTTTGCTCAAGTGGAGAGAGGACTGATATCCTAGGGGCTTGGCCTCAGCTCATGTGCTATGCCCCTTACCCAAGTATGTGCCCTTCATTTTGAATGAAGTCTGAAGGACTTCCAGAGGAGTGTGGGAAATGTCTGGAGGAATGCAGGAGAGTTCCGGAGGAGTACAGGAAAGTCTAGAGGAGTTTCCACTGCACAGGAAGTAGAGAGATCCCTAGGCAATGCCTCTAGAGGAAACAGAATAGAAGGGAGACTGCAAGAGACAAAGTACAAAGCAGTATAGGGTAGGAAGAGTGGAACTACATCAGGAGAATAGGTTCAGAAGTCTAAAGGTCTGAAGGTCAGGAGGTCAGGAGGACTGAAGGTCTGGAAGTCTGAATAGGATATAGTTCCAGAGGTACAGAGTAGAAATAGAGGCTACATTGGACGTGGTCCAATGTAGAAACAAATAGAGATGGACTACACTAGGTAGAGTCAGAGAGACAGGGATTGGACCAAAGTCCAGAAAGAGAGTAAGTGCCAGAAAGGCAAAACTCGGGTCTCGGGAATCAATCTCTAGACTCAGAACAGAGACATAGGAGACAAGTCTGAAGGTCTGGATTTCCAGCCTAGGGAATCCATCCCTAGGGCTGATGGAAAGGACAGAACTCAGATGGACCAAAGCCCAGAAGAAGATTGGACAAGAAAGGAGCAAGTCTAAGATGATATTCAAACTGAGAAAAGTACAGGAGTTGTACAGGGGTATCACCAGCACCCCTGCTTTAACTGGATCACGGACTTCAAGTCGGCCTCAGCAGAATCACAGCGAAATTCGCGATCATTCTTTTCATCTGTATCGCCACCCATCCTCTTTTCAAGAGTGTCACTTTTTGATCACATGTTGGGCAGTTCCAATTGTGACGATTTATCAGAAGATACGAGAAATGGCAAGGTAGGACCCTCTTGTTTCAAACCTTGCATAATTCTCATCATATGGATCACAAATATAGCCAGATGATGTGTTTTTGACGCATTTGGATAGGCTTGGCCTGAGAGTTTTCCGCTTGGTTGTCCATTTAAAGGAAGCAGTCAGTGAACGTCAATGCATGCGCCTCTTTACATCATACTGGGAACTGGAAGAAAGCGCCAGATGAAACACATTATGCGATCTCTTGTATCGCGAAGCGCAAGTGGAGTTCGCTCATGCAGAGCAAGAATCATGAGTGTTGTTGAATGCACTCCTTGAAAAGCATCCACCGTCTGTTGGTGTCACAGGCACCCAATATCTCACTACAATCTGTGCCCACAACAAGGCTTCTCTCTGGCAGGCTGACGCTCAACTTGATCTTTTAGCAGATTGTGTCAAGAGCAATGGGATGACCAGGTCGTCCTTTGATGAGGACCGCTTTGCTAATGATGTTAGTGTTTCTCTTAAATAATAACAGCTGACTGACATATTTTCAGGTATATTCATAAGGACGCTCACCATATGTCTTGTTAGTGCAATGGGAGAATGAGATTGTATGATCAGTCGGATTCGCACGACTCTTGTTCGAAACGGGGCTTGGCAGACCTAATCAAATTGATAAACAAAGCTTCTGATCAAAATCCATGACGCACTGGCATAGATAACATCAATTTCACCCAGCTTGGGCATCAGGGGTAGGGGCCTCTTATCTCCCAGAGATTGGAGGGGGACGGGATTTGTCCTCTCTGCGACATCAATGGTGTGCTGAAGGCATAAGTGCAGGCATTGATTGTATACCACCACATTAGGCATTTTGGCAGCTTGTATTTCAGACGCTCTCATAGAAAGTCATACAATGCTCTTGCAAAACTTGTGCGTCAACGAGCCCTCCACCTCAGTTGCGCTGGTGGAATCATGCTGTGTAACATTCTCCTTGCTCACTTCCCATTCTTGGAATCATACACGCTTTCAGTTCACTTTCTCTTGCAACTCTGATATGTGGATCTGCTGCAACAACTTTGTACATGGGTGTTCATTGATGTCACCTCGTCATATGAAAGAAAAACTGATTGGATTGGATTTGAGGGGTCTGGACCTCTGTGACATTGATCCAATGAGTGTTTTTGAGTGAAGCATGTATCAATATAAGTATGTATATCAGGTCCATCATATGCTTTAGAATTATTTTAGTTACTGATATTAAAGCAACTTACTTAAGATAAAGGGTTCCATTTTTTTTGCTAACTATTCAAGCCAAAATAAATCAGACAACAAGACCTTAGATAGTCACTTAGATGTGCTATTTTCTTATTGGATGGCATTGGAAGTGGGTGGTAATTTCTAATGAGATTCAACAAGTGATCTTCAGTACTCATGAAAAAAAAGTACAGAGTATTAATAATAGGCCTTACTAAATTGACAACAACAACTATCCTACAATGATATTAATTAAGACTGCTACAACTCAATACAAACACTTAACTGACCTTAGTGGTAAGTTGATACCTGCAGCCAACCAAAAAAGACTTCATACCAAGCAGTTGTATTGGAAGTGATGCACAAACAAAGTCTTGACAAGTTCTAGAAGCTGAAAGTCAACAGTAAGGGAAGAGGTGATGGGAGTACAGGCAAAATAACCTTGAGTCAGGAGCTGAAGGGGAGTAGGCACACAAGTGCAGCAATCAATTTGTAATATCTTATTATCTACGATATCATCAACCAATCAATAGATCAGGTAATAAGGAAAACATATAATTGTAAAGTATACAAGTGATCTCAAAAGCCCTATGTCAACAAAAGGACTTACACTGAAAGGCAGAAACCTCATCTCACTGCAGTCCAATTTGATCACAAAGCAAAGTCAATTTGCACAAGAATGCAAGATATGAAGCAATCAAGTTCAGCACTACCACTGACCTTGATCTGACCCAATTTGATAGACATTGTTATCCCCCATGGAGATATATGCGAAGTCACTGACGTGGTAGTTTACTCCCCCATGAGAGAAGCTATCTTGATTGGCTCGTAAATCTGCTAAATTCAATATGCGTTCCTTGTGATCACAAGCAAGGCACTACTTATGGGCATTGCAGAAACTCAGGAGAGTTTGAGTTTCTAAGTCTGAGAGCTGAATGAAACTGGAGTTGAAACTGTTGAACGTAAGTCTGGGTGGTTATACTTAGCATAGTAACATGAAGCACTGCTGTAAGAGCCTGCATACCCAAAGTGAAAATTGTTGTCCTCCTCAAGAGTTGACTCATCTGGCTGGAAACTGTCCTTTGCGAGTTCGTGGACATTACACTTTTGCGAGATAGCTTCAACTTCAACATCACTGCAGTCAGAGAGCATCAAATAAAGCGCATGTGAATGGCCCACTTCTTGGAGCAGTGTCTTCGAGCTATGCATGAACCATTGCGCATGAAACTTTTTGATGCCTTCATTGTCCTCAAAGAAGTACCAAATCAAGCAAAACCTTGGAATGCAAGGCAATCAGAAACCAACAGGGCACACGAGGTCATGACTGACCAATGATTGTTTGCTCATTTGTTTGTCCACTGGGAAGGCTGGCACTTATAGGATGATGCGCGAACGGTATCTTCATCCTCTCTGGGTAAAACCACAATAGCATCCCCAACCTGACATGAATAAGACACACTTTTTTGAGAAAAGAAAGATCTTACTGAATACTTTATGCCATCCATGAGAACAGAATGAAAGAAGCCAGGATGGTCATCCAGTGCTAGCCTTTTTACATTTTTCATCAGCAGCAAGAAAGGTTTACTGTAGCCATCCAGGACAGAGGTTAGGATTCACATGCTATTCTCATAGCCATGCCCACCTCTTCTATGATTGTAGGATAAGTATTGTAACAGATCCATTAAGGCTTCCGGATATCGGATGTATAGAGTAATGGCAGTCTCGGATTAGACAAGAGTAGAAGACTCAAGTCCGGACAGATAACAGAGGATGAACAGAAGGACTTAGAGTCCAGATGGAATGAGTGCAATCTAAGATGATATTCGAACTCAAGTACTACAGCACATGACAAGGGTTTTATACTATGGATAACTAACGGAATGATCAATAAGCAAAGGTGCGAGGCTATGTACAAAGTATAAGCAAAGTATAATCAAAGTGTATTGCTAAGTCAGATGGACCACGAATCATGAATCAGAAATGAACACAAGTTAAACGGATCAGTAAGCATAGCGGAAGTAAGGATAACCGGATTACTGGTGTATGTTAAGACCGTACTCAAGTAGTATCGGATCTGAAGGGCTTCGGCCTCAGCTCGTGCACTGTGCCCCTTTCCCGAGTTTTGCCCCTTATTTCAGAGTACTAGAGTATCGCGTATATTGAGACGGATAAGTCTCGTAACGGATCCGTTATGGCTTCCAGGTATCGAATGTATATAGTAACAGCTAATCCGGATCGGATCGGAACTAGAAACTAACGGGCGAGGACTGTCTGAAGACAGAGACGGATATATAGGCTATAGGAATCAATCCTAAATCTTGGAGTAGACAAGAGTATTGTACTCAAGTCTGGACGGATAATGGAGGGACTTAGAGTCCAGACGGAATGAGTGCAATCTAAGATGATATTCGAACTGATCTACTACAGCGCATGTACAAGGGTTTATATACTACAGATAACTAACAGCATGATCAATAAGCAATGGTGCGAGGCTATGTACGAAGTATAAGCAAAGTATGTGTACAGCGTACTGGTAAGTCGGATGGATAATGTATCATAACCGGGAATGAAGTCTAAGCTAAAGCGGATCAGTAAGTGTAGTGGATCAGTAAGCATAACTGAAGTAAAGGATAACCAGTATACCGGTGTACAGGAATGCCGAAAGGAGATGAACGATAGTTAGAGTTATATGAACAGGACATGAAACAAGGATTAGATCAGATCTGTGGACCGGACGACGGATATGTCCATCGGATCTGGATCGGATCTGAGATCCGGATCTTCGGATCTGTACCCGGGAATATGGTATATGACAGTGTACAGGAATACTGAAAGGAGATGAACAATAGTTAGAGTTATATGAACAGGAAATAAAATAAGAATCGGATTGGATCTGTGGACCAGATGATGGATATGTCCAATGGATCTGGATCAGATCTGACATCCGGATTCTCAGATCTGTACCTGGATATATGATATATGATACATATGTACAAACAATGACTGCAAGAAGGGCACAAGCCTATTGTTCATACATTGCTAGTTACATCAGAAAGTTGAAGGAGATGACAGACGTGCCTACAGTATCTATCTCCTTTCAGTAATTCTCTAACTACAGGACTTCCAGATGAGCGCAGGAAACATCCAGAGGAGTACAGGAAACTCTGGAGGTGTTTCATCCACTGCATTAGGTCCAAAGATGAAACTTCCCAAGGTAAGTTCCCTAGATGGTGACACATAGAGGATAGGCTGCAAGGGATAGAGTCCAAAGCAGGATAGGATAGGAGGAGTGGTCCAAAGGACAGGACATCTGGAGGTCTGAAGGTTAAGACATCTGAAGGGTATGTTGTCCGATGGTTATGACATCCAAAGGTTACCACATCCAAAGGTTAGGAGGACCAAAGGAGTGGACAGGATTCGGACAGGAGGGGAAAGGCTACTACAGACAAGGTCTGGAGTGGAAACAAACAGAGGTAGACTACACTTAAGTAGAGATGGAGTTGATAGGAAGTAGACAGAAGTCTCGGAAAGACAGGAAGTGCCGGAAAGGCAAAACTCCGGCTTAGGGAATTGATTCCTAAGACAGAAGGATAAATCCAGAGGACCGGAAAGTTGGCCTAGGGAATCCTTCCCTAGGCCTAGAAGATAGACTAAGGACAAGTCCACGAACAGAATGAGTGAAGTCTAAAATGATATTCAAACTAAAGAAACTTTACAGGAGTTGTACAGAGGTTTACATACTGGATGGGATCCGAGAGGAATCAGTAAGCTGAACACAAATGCTATGTACGAGCATGTGGAAACATATTAGTAACTATGAACGGAACATAAGTAAATGAACTTGGAGATGAACAGAGTACAAGGATCAATGAGCATGATCAGATAACCAATGTCCAGAGTCAAGGGGATTACCATAAGGAGATAGACACTGATTTAAGGTTTCAGCTTCAAATATGAGTATAGGTCGGATCTAGAGGTCTGGAGATATTGGATGAGGCATCTGGATATTGGATGAGTGGATCCAGAGATCTAGGTAAAGATGGCAGTAGGATATGGATCATGAATATAGTCCGGTAGTCTAGGGAAGGTAAAGTCCCAGGTGGAATACGCTCGGATCTGGGTGGATCAAGGGTGGATGAAGCAGGCTTAGCTGCGGAGGTCTGGAGGTATGGATATATGGATGTACGAAGGTGTACAGATCCGAACCAATAGTAAACTGGAGGACTGAAGGCATGGATGAGGGTATGGAGTTATGAATAAGGGTATGGAGGTCTGGATGTGTATCCGGATGTGCATCTGGAAGGCGTGGGAACATCATCGGACGTAGGTCCGGAATATGGGATATGACAGTCTCGGACTCAAGTCTTCCTCCATCTGTCTTCCGTCCTCTGTCTGGACTTGAGTTACTTCGACTCTTGTCTGATCTGAGACTTAGCATTGATTCCTATAGTCTATATCTCTGCCTCTGTCTTAGGACAGTCTACCTCTGATAGTTTCTAGTTTGGACTCTGTCCGGATTAGCCATTATGCTACTCGTCCAATATGTATCTGGAAGTCATCCAGAACAGACTACAATACTTGTCTGTCCCTCTAGACACAATATCCTCAGCCTCCTGAAATAAGAGGTAATACTTCGGAAAGGGGCACAGCATATGAGCCGAGGCCAAAGCCCTTCAGATCTGTTACCCTTTGAGCACGGTCTTAACAGATTGCCTGATATTCCTCAAATGTGTTGCTTGGCTTTATTCTGACTGTCCTGCAACATTGACAAAGAATTCAGAGGTCACTTTATCCTTGAAGTAGAAGATGACTGCAAGAATGGTGGAGGATCATTCTTCTTGTTGTCAACATCATAAACAAGTTGAGAATATAATTGCAGGAAAAGGGCAGCTGCCATGCACTAATATACTGTCACTTTGCTATCACCTGACATGTTCTGATACAAAAACATTATATCTTATATTATCTCATAATTGTGACTCACTTACCTCACCTTTCTTCCACTCACCTAGAAATACAACTCTGGTATCTGATAGCTCAATCTGCACCAAAAGCTCCCAGATCCAGCCATTGTTCCAGACAATCTCTAGGATCATGATGCCAGAATCTTTCTTCTTCCTTATATACACAGATCACAATGATGAGTTATAGGAAGAAGACCAGGACCTGTTGTAAGTCATTGTACAACTAGATGACTCCCAACTTGTTTCTATCAAGACTGTTCAAATCTCAATGTGAAAGCCTTTGACGCCAGTTGATATCATAGCCCAGTACTTCAGATGGTTCTGATATTTGTGAAGCAGGAGTTTGTACAGGGGTTTATATACTGGAGAAAGTCTGAGAGGATCAGTAAGCAGAGGAGTAAAACTATGGACAAGCATGTGGAAACAGATTAGTAAGTAAGACAGATCATAAGGAAATAAACTCAGAGATAAGTCTCATACAAGGATCAAATAGCAAGATGAGAACAGAGACAGCTGAAGACCAAAAAAGCAGAAATATCTAAATAAGGACAGAGTACAGATATGAACAGATGAGTTCCAGAATTAGACCAACTATATATATGCCTGAGAATGACAATGGCTCAGCACAAGTTCAAGGGGAATGAGTAAAGGCTAAAGTAATATATAATATTCTGACTAAGAAAGATACAGAAGTTTTTCCAGAGGTTTATATACTGAAACAAAATCCAAGAGAATCAGTAAGCATAGGAATAAGGCTATGTATAGGTCCAGAGATAGATATAGATGAAGTTCAGAGTTCCAGAGGTCTTGGTGGAGATGGGACTGAGATATAATCATATAGTAAATATGATCTGGATTTCTAGAAGAGGCAAAGTTCAGACAATGAAGATATCCTTATAGACTTCCCTTTGGGTTCATCACTCTTGGCTATTCCAATGCCCATCAGGATCAGCAATTTAATTCTTCACCTTCTAGAAAAAGTATTAATGAGTCCTCTAGTGCACAAACACTCTTGACAGCATCTACTAGCAGTACATTCTCAGGCTCAAATGTACTGGTTGGCATAATTACTTAGTGCCAGAATAGAGACCATTTTATTCTACTCTATACAGTATAGAAAATGACTACAGTCCTCATCATAGCATCATCAGAGGTTTCAGCCTTTGTTGCTAGAGGGCCTTTATTTTGGGCAGGATTTTCATTCACCATCTACTTCTAATAAAGGCTGCATCACCATCCATCTGCACTCCTTTGATTCCTTTCATATCAGCAGACATTCATGATCTGTGTGACCTTTATTTAAAGAATAGAAAGTCTTTCTGCAAGCAGAGTTTTAAAAAACAGAGTTGGCAGTGGCA